TAGGCTATGAACCAAGTGCAGGTAAATGGAATTAGTGTAGTTTTGTTTGTTGGTTGGCATTGACATGGTGGGCTGAATTTGCTGTATGAATCTATGCTTTATCTGTTTCTATGTCAATGACATTACAGTGCATCTGGAGTCACATGTAGGCCATCCATATTAGGAGGGCAGATTTCCTTCTAAAAGGACATTAGTGAACCAGTTGGGTTTTATGACAGTCGTTACATGGTTGCCATTAGGGTAGTTCTAAATTCCAGATTTTTTATTGAATTCAAAATTCACATTTATCATGGTGGCATTTGAACCTGTGTTCCCAGAACATTAGCTTGGGTTCTGGATTACTATTTCAGTGATAGTATAGTGACATTACACCAACCCCACTGCCTCCCCATCAGTTCAATGATAGTTGTAATTAATTATCCCATGTCCCTCTGATTTAATCTACAATCATAGATGCTCAAAATTTGCCCACAATTGATTTGAGGTATAACTGGTCTATGATCTTTAATGTCCATCCCATCTAAGGAATCAATTAAGGAAAATCTGTAGGACTTTGATTGCACTCATTGTACATCTACTGTGAAATTCTCCAGTGGATTAACTACAGGAGGAAATCTTATCAAGTAAGTACCCAATCACCTAATTTATCCTGCTGTCCTTTCTTAAACGGAGATGAGACATTGGTTTGCAAACTTGACAGTTGTCAATCTGCAAATGGAGTGTTGAAAAATTGTGGCAGGGGCTGCTGTTATTTCCTCTCACACTTAGTTTATCAGCCTATGGTGAAAATGATCAGAATTCAGTGCCATGTCCACCTTAACTTTTGCTATTTTTATCAAAAGCATTTATTTTTCTACAGTCAATTCTGATAAGTGTTCCACAGCCTTCTCTAATGCAATAGGGCATTAAATTGTCAAAAGTTAACGTATATCTAAAATTCCATTACTTTTTTTGCCAATGAAACAATATTACACAGAAACAGACTTTGTGGCAGTAATGGATTTATACATTTTAGAAGGGGATTGTGAGATTCATTTTCTAGCAGGGTCTGGGAAAATTATTTGCCTTTTCTTGGTGCGCTTTCTAGCAATTTGGAGTCTACTGTTATTGTGCCCATGAAACCATACATAATATATTTTGGAAAGGTCTTTGGCCACTTAGGTCTTACATTGTTATTTTCACTTCATCATTTCCTGCTCTTGGTTCAAAAACCTGCTGAAAATTCATCGCTTTTTTAGTTTCTTGGTTGACCCTAGAAATATCCCCCTACTCAATGTCTGTTAGACATACAAATTCTTTAAATGCCTGTGATTTTTCAATGGTAATGGTGCAGTTTTACTTTGAATTCCTGCCAATTTAAACAAGAGCTCTGACAAAAATGTTCAAATATAGTAAATTTGCAACAAGGAGTATTTTCCTTCTCTTCAAAAGAAGCTCTAATAAACTTAATATTAGACTACAGCTGGATGAGCACTAATAATTGTACAGAAGAAAATAAAAAGAATGTTTTAAGTGCTGTCCTTTAACAGCTACCTTTCTATATATAAATTGTTTGGGAACAACTCAAATGTATATAGCTATAATTATAACTCTTTAAGTCATCTTAAATATTTTCTGTCTTAAATTTATGTGCAAGAAGAGACAAGAAAGTAACATCTAATTTGTTCATACAACTTTTAGCCTCATTTTCCAGTCAAACAGGATTCTGACAGACTCCAACTTAATTGTTCTACTAATCTGATTGTTGCCAATGGAAATAATTATTAATGTGGAATGTTAAAAGGCTGCCACATGGATGAAAATGTTACGGTCAGCTTAAAACAGTGACATTTTGGAGAAAGACTTATAGTGCCATTTTAAGAGGCTTGGAGACAATAAGGACTGCAGATGCTGGAAGCCAGGGTCTATAGGTGTGAGGCTGGAAAAGCATAGCAGGTCAGAGAGCATCAGAGGAGCAGGGAAGTTGACATTTTGGGTTGAAAAGGGTTTCGGCCCAAAATGTTGATTTTCCTGCTCCGCTGATGCTGGCTGACCTGCTGTGCTTTTCCAGCCTCTCACTATTTTAAGAGTCTCTGAAACATGACTACTGTTTTAACATAGTGAAACACAGCAGCCATTTAGTGACAATGTCACAAATTAAAGGTTTTTAAGATTAATTTGTTTTGGGAATGTGATTTTAATATAGGGTAAAATAGAGGAATAAATGGATCATGTGATTTTCTCTGAACTTCGCTGACAACAAACCCAGGAGGCTTTGTTGTTCAAGGTTAAAATGGGGCCCAGGTTGTTTTACTGTGAAGGAAGTGCAAGTTTTTCACATCAACAATAGCTGTGCTGATGATGGATAGACTGTTAGTCTCCAAGTCCCACGGAATGCAAGGAATTGTACATGGTTACATTTTAAACTGTCCAATTCCAAGATAGAAAGAAGTTGTGGTTCTAGACGATAACTAATTAGGATTTTTACCAGGCCATGTAATTCAAATTGTAATGGAGGTTGGCTTTGAATAGGGAAAAGAACATAGAAAGCTATTGCACTGTCATCTTACAGACTTTTTATAAGAAATCCTGGAACCTCATGACAGGTCAGTCTGCAAAAATCTGAAAAAGAATGAAGAGAAAGATGGAAGCAGCTAGTTTTGCACCATAAGCAGAGAAAATTCTGGCCTTGTTTCACCACTTTGCTACAGGGAAGATCTTCAATTGATCCTTCATTGTCAAAGTCAGTTCTGGGACAAGGAGTTGCTGAGCTGGGAAAGGAGGAGAAAGTGAAGCAAATCTGCAGGAACTAAGAACTACTTTTGACTGATACATGGAGAATGAAGTGTCCATTTAAGAGACAGCGAAAAGTATAACAGTGAAGGAGATTATTCTTACTGTAAAATTTAAATAGGAACTTTTTTCTCCTGTAGCTTAGAGTATAAATTGCCTGCTGAATAATATTTAGACCATGTTGCTTTTAGTTTATTTAGGTTATTTAGTACATTAAAGGTCTTAAAACTTGAAATCTTGAGTAATCCTTCCACTTAATCGCCAAAAATTCAATTATCTTTCTAAAAATTATCAGTTTCTACCGTGCTCAAAACAACAAGTTTGGTTGTCCAGAAAATTGCGTTAATTCCTGTTCTTCAAATAGTAATATAGGATTGGCAGTATATTCTTGAATAAACATATAAAGCTGTCATCAAAAAGATGAAAGTTTTATTTTATTTGGAATAGCTATCACAAGATTATGTAGCTAAGTCTGATAATGGAACAGAGATATAGATCAGTAATAATTAATTCAATGGAAGAACCGGCCCAAAAGGATGAATGACTCTTACAATAAAAGCAAAATAGTGCACATTCTGGAAATTTGAAATAAAAACACAAAGTGCTGTAAATCTTCAGCAAGCTTGGAAGCATCTGTGGTTAAAGAAAGAATTAGCACTTTGAGTTGAGTATAATTCTTCTTCTCATTGAAGGAAGGTTGAAATGTGATATATGACTCCTATGTTCAGAGTGGCACTTTCTAGTGTCAGCCAGTACTAAGCAAACTTTTGGAGCTGTGGGCTAACAAGTTTTTGGGTGTAGACAGACTTTATCCTAGAAACTTGAAGGGGTGGATAATGGGGAGTAGATGTCTTAGTGTTAATTTTCAAAATTCTTGACATTCAGGAAGGTTTTATCAGACTGAGAAGTAGCAAAAATAATCCCTTTATTCAGGAAGAGAGGGAGGGAGAAAACAAGAAGTTTCCGACCAGTTAGCTTGATGTCTGTAATGGGAAGGTATTAAAATTGTTCATTGAAGAGGTTATAGCTGAGCACTTAGGAAAATTCAAAGGCAATTGGGAATAGTCTGCTCTTGCTCCTAGGTTCTACGTTTCTATGTAATATTTCAGTTGTTCTGGGTATTGGTGAGAGCAAATCTCGAATACTGTTCACAGTTTTAGTCTAAATAAAAACCAAAAGAACTGTGAATGCTATAAATCAGAGACAAAAATAGAAATTGCTGGAAAAACTCAGCAGGTCTGGCAGCATCAGTGGAGAGAAATCAGTGTTAATGTTTTAGGTTGATTGACCCTTCCTCAGACCTCCTCAAAATGTTAACACTGATTTTTCTCCACCGATGCTGCCAGACCCGCCGAGCTTTTCTAATAATTTCTATTTTTGTCACAGTTTTGGTCTCCTTATTTAAGGAAGGATGTAAATGCATTGGAGACAATTCAGAGAAAATTGACTGGATTGATTCCTGGAACAAGTGCGTTGTCAATGAGAAAAGGTGGGACAGACTGGGCTTGTTTCCAGTGGAGTTTAGAATAGTGAAGGTGACTTGATTAATGTGTGTAAGATCCTGAAAGAGCTTGACAATGTGGAAATGGATAGGATGTTTACTCTTATAGGTGAGTTCAAAACTAGGGGTCACTGTTTTAAAATTAGAAATCGTCCTTCTCTCTTTCAGAGGGTTGTATGACTTTGGAACCCTCTCTACTTAAAAAGATGGTGGAAGTGGGGTCATTGATTTCTTTTAAGGCAGAAGTAAATGGATTCTTATTTGGTGAGGGAATCAAAAGCAATCTGGAGTAAATGGGAATATAGAATTCAAAACACAATAAGATCAATTCTGATCTGTTTGAATAATGGAGCAGACTTGTGTGGCTGAATGGCCTACTTCTGCTCATATTTAGTATGTTTGTAATATTATGCACGCTAAATCCTGAAATGGAACATGCAAACACTCAGAGGAAAGGTTGCCACAAATTTAGGCAACTTAGTCTTTAAGCATGATGTTTTGATTTTTCTTTCATTTCTTCAGAAGAGAAAAAAATTTCAGTGCATGCTATCCAAAGTTTTTTCATCACAATATCATCCACTGAATGGGTAAATTACCTCTTTAATTTACTATCAATTCAGAACAATGATCATAAATATGTTAATGTTAAAAACTTGCTTCGATACATTCATTGCAAACATTGAAAGGATTAAATAAAAAGAGTATCTTTAAAAAAGTCTGCACTTGCCTCAAGTTCACTCTCAGTATCAATCTGCCTGTAGATTCCAGATTCAGAGTAGACAAAACCTTGTTCTAGGACGTCTGAATTATAAAAGTCTGCCAAAATATTCATTATGCACCGCCTATCCCAGTCATCCGTCACACGACCTCCGTAATTAATCTCCCCAGCAGTATACTTCAGTACCTGTGAAGTCAATGCAGCAGGCCATTAGACTGTTGGTACAATCCACCAAATTAGGTTATGATTTGCTTAAGGACCAGTAACTTTTTCTCTTTAAAGTAGATGAAGTTTGAGATCCAGGCCCTTACCAAGAGAATAAAGCCACAAACTGCTACAATTTTGAACAAACAAAATGAACTTGAGTATAAAATGTTAGAAAAGGAAAACAACTGACTAAGATATACGTATGAGGTAAATATGGGCAACCAACTATGGTGAAGGACTCCACAGAAAACATCAAATAGCAGATACAGTCAAGACAAATCCCATGTATTTCTCAACAACCCACCCAGACATCAGTGAAATCGCATTTCTTCAAATCTCATTAAAACTTTGTCCCCTTCATGGGGATTCGAGTTCAATAATTTTAGGGCCTAAGCTCTCCCATACCCTAGTCCCGTACCCCACACACCAGGCCTTGTTATCACATAGCCTGCCACTACCCATTCCCTGTTATTAGACACTAATAGTTCCCATTAACAACTCCTAGCCATTCATCCTCCTAGCCAGATCGTTATCAACTTTGTCTATCCAATTGCTCTTCTCTCTCTTCGGGCTCTATCCTATCATTTACTCCCTAACCTATCCTCCTCCCTATTTTCTGCATATAATGCATATAAACCGACATTTTCCTAGCCACCATCAGTTCTTAGGAAGGGTCACCGGAACCAAAACGTTAACTCTGATTTTTTTTCCACAGATGCCGCTAGACCTGCTGAGCTTTTCCAGCAACTTCTGTTTTTGTCACTTTCTTTGGCTGTTCTTCTCTTTCCAACACAGATTCAATGACTTTTTGCCACCTTCTTAGCTCCTCAGCATCTACTCTGTGGGGCACAGATGGGGTAGATAAGGAGGAAATTTCCCCATTAGTAAAGGAGTCACGGTTCAGTAAGAAGCAGGAGGTTTAGAAGGGTTTTGAGGAAATTCTTTTTCACCCATTTGGTTGTGGGAATCTGGAACTCAGCCTTAAAGGGTGATAAAGGTGGGAACCCTTAAGATATTTAAGAACTATTTAGATGAACACTGAAAAGCATACAAGGCTATGGGCCGAGAGCTAGAAAATAGGATGGAAAAAGATGGATGTTTGATGACTGATGACGACACATTGCGCCGAAAGGCCTCTTTTCACACATAAAATTAATGACTGTGTCTCTCAACCAAGACTACAAGGAGTCTACTAATAACAGTATTTCTTCCCCCTGCTTTCATAGATTATATAATCCCTACAGTGTGGGAAGAGGCCCTTTGGCCCAACAAGTCCACACCGACCCTCGGAGCATCCCACCCGGACCCATCCCCCTATAACCCACCTAATCTACACATCCCTGAATGCTACAGGTAATTTAGCTTGGCCAATCCACCTAGCCTGCACATCTTTGGACTGTAGGAGGAAACCGGAGCACCCAGAGGAAACCCACACAGACACGGGGAGAATGTGCAAACTCCAGTCGCCCAAGGGTGGAATCGAACCCGGGTCCCTAGCGCTGACACAGTAGTGCTAACCACTAGGCCACTGTGCTGCCCCCTTCTAAGTACTCAACTGACCAAAGCCAAACCTTCTGCTTCAGCTGCTTCCAACCAACTGACTGGATCCTGTGGACTTCCTTTTCATAGTTTCCACAGTTCTATGGTTACCTTTTCATGCTAGCCTCCACTATGAAGGTAAATTACTTCTTCAAATGTATGGGTCCACCTGTTGTTAAACAAACAATTTGAATGGAGCATGCAGAGCTTTGATGCATTCCATTCATGCTTTGGAACTCTCAAGCCTGTCAGGAATTGGAGTTCTTCTACAGCCCAAAACAAAGCAATTTCAGATTTTCATAATACTTCTGTATACTGATAAAAACTCAATAGTAGTTTGGGCACAGCAGCTTGTTCTTACTAACTTGTCATAATGTTCAAACTTGAGAAGGTGAACATCAAGAAATCAGAACAGCAATGGCAATTGGCTTTTGCAACTGAGAGTCAACTTCTGGACTTGCAGTCTCAGTCCCTTTTGTACTTAATGGTAAAATTGTAACATTTTATTCACATGTGGCAGTACATACGTTGGGCCAGCATGAGTTTGTAAGTTTTGAGAATTGAACGTCTTCAGAAGATGTAAGCAACCAATTGGTTGGTTCCCAGGCAAGTGCTTTGCTGTCCTGGACATGATCTAAGAAGTGCCACTCATGAGAATTGTACCTAGGTTACATCATAGAAAATTCTCTTTGTAGTACTCTCTGGATGCACATTTATTGACAATGTTACAACAGAGGGATAACTAGCCAAACCAAAAATCTTTGCTATCACTGGATACACAAAATATTCGATGACTCTCAAAATTGCCCAATTATTTTGTCCAATTATTCCTAAACAGACTTTACGAATAATAGATCTTGGATGCTAAGTTTATAACTTAAACAAAAGTAAAGAGTATTATTAATATTGTAACTTTAGTATGACAGAGCTAATCAACAAGTAATCTAATTAATGTCTATGATTTAAACCCAATCTTCTTTGATCCTAATCTCCACTCACACACGGACAGACAGGCACAGTTAAGGGATAAATTAGAAAGAAAATAAAAGAATTATAATTTGCTAGTTCAATTAACCAGTTTTAACGATGAATGTCAAGCCTTCACATAATCCTTGATCAATGTGTTGTTCACAGGCATGTAACTATATGCCTAATTTTGAAGGCAGTGGTGAATATGAATGGTTCAGTAGGTCACCAGAAGTATTTACTTATTTCTTATAGACTATGATTTGTTTTTCAGAACGTTCAACACTTCTTTAACTGGAGAAGAAACTAAAGAGAGTAAAAAACAGCAGCCAGTCTTCGCAAGTTTCAAAAATCACTCTGCCTCTTCCAAAACCGGTCAGAACCAGTTTTCTCCCTTTTTTTTAAACAACATTCTGTGCTTGGTTGGTTAGCACCAGTTTTCCCCAATTGACCAATTCAATATCCAACCAGCTGCCAGTTCTGGACATAGCAACCACCTAGTACCAAATCATCCACAAAGTTCCTTGGATTAGCAATTAAGTTGCAATATCTTCTGGGCTGGTAGCCAACTGCAAACATTTGATGCAAATGATGCAAATATTTGCATTTGTTTTCTTCTCTTTTAATTAAAAATACGTAGGTGTTCAAAATCAAACTCTTAGTTCCACCAAAACAATAGGGAAAAATAAAGGAAAAACAGCGAGGGTCTCTATAATGCACATGCACATACTAGTTCACATGCACACACCAACCAAAAGCAAATTCTCTGTAAGCTGCACAGCAATCTGTCAGTCATTCCCTAATACTGTGGCTTGTGTGAGCGTACAAAAGAATTTAAATGTACTGCTTATCTAAATGAATATTCTGTAATCAGTTTTAAAGAATTAGAGAGGATGTTGCCCATTAGGCCAACTATTTGGACATCTTGTCTATGGGATCCTGGTTCAGGTGCTAAACTGCAGTTTTACCAGGAGGAAGATCCTGATTCAGGATAGGTGACCAAATATTGGACTCCACACAATAGCTCAATAAATTCATTTGAGGAATTTTCCACCCTCCAAGATTATCCTAGGGTGTCCAAAAAACTGAAAATTGATCTCTAGGAAATTGCTAAGAGTAATTCAGGAGAATAATCATCATGTTATTAAAATTTCTGTGGTCTGAATTTTATGTTTTATTGCTGAAGTCCAGTTTTCTCATTGTATCTTACCAAACACCCCTCATTAATTGCCTACCCAGCCACTGTGACGTTTCTTGCATCCAATTTCTATCCTATTGTTTTAGGCGCAATTCCAGGAACAACTTGCCAGTGAGCAGATATCCGTCAAAGCACTGGCATCCCTTGCCCATGTGCCCTCTTTAAAGAGGACACTGTAGGGTTGACAATCAGACACTTCATCCTCATGCATGAGGAGCAGCAGCAGCAGACAGGCATAAGGGATGCAATAGTCTTCATTGCCCAGATGCTGCATTAGCAGAGAATTCTGCAATCATCTGGACAGGTTGGGGGCTGCTGTGGAGAGCCAGGATCTGCTGGAGACAGCAACAACCTGTACTCTATTCCTGGATACCAGCACCGTAGGCATGGCGACAGGAATGGAAAACTTTGACCTCCAATCTAGGTGCACCATTCTCACAAGGGGCCTTTGGCCCACCATACCAGTACTGACCACGATGCCATTCTAAACTAATCCTATCTGCCTGCACATGGTCCATATCCCTTTATTCCCTGCCTGTTCATAAATCTGTCTAAATGCCTCTTGAACATTTCTATCGCATCTGCTTCTGTCACCTCCTCTGGCAGCACATTCCAGGTACAAACCACCCTCTGTGCAAAATAAACTTGCCTTGCACATCTCCTTTAAACTATCCCTCTCACTTTAAACCTATGTTCCCTAGTATTTGACATTTTCACTCTGGGATAGAGAGTCTAACTATTCACCCTATGCATGCCTCTCATAATTTTATATACTTCTATCAGGTTATCCCCTCAGCCTCCGACACTCTGAAAACAATCCAAGTTTTTCTAAGATCTCCTTATAGCTAATACCCTCCAATCCAGGCATCATCCTGGTGAACCCTCTCCAAAGCCTTCACACCCATCCTATAGTGTGGCATCGAGAACCGCACAGAAGGTGTCATCAACCGTGCTATCGAGAAGCAATTGCGTAGCAATAACCTCCTGACCAAAATTCAGTCTGGGTTCTGCCAATGCATTCAGCTCCTAACCTCATTCCACCTTGGTTCAAAATGGAAAAAGAGATCAATTTCACAGGTGAGGTAAGAGTGGTTGTCCTTGACATCAAGGCTCCATTAGATGGAGTGTGGCATCAAGCAGGCCTAGAAAAACCGGAGTCAATGGAAATCGGGGGAAATCCAGCACTATTTGGAATCATTCCTAACACAGAGCAAGATGGTTATGGCTATTAGAGGTCAGTTGTCTCAAATCCAGGACATCTCTTCAGGAGTATGTCAGGCCCAACCTAGGCTCAGTCACTTTCAGCTGCTTCATCAATGATCTGCCTTCCATCATAAAGTCAGAATTGGGGATGTTCATTGATGATTGGACAATGTTCAGCACCATTTTCAACTCCTTAGATACTAAAGTGGTCCATGTCCAGACGCAACAAGTCCTGGACAACATCCAGGTTTGAGCTGACAAGTGCTAAGTACAATTCATGCCACACAAATGCCAGGCAATGACCATCTCCAAAAAGAGAAAATCTAACCGTCACTCTTTTGATATTTAATGGCATTACCATCACTATCAACATCCTGGGGTTACCATTGACCAGAACTTGACTGTCCATATGAATACTGTAGCTATAAGAGCAGGTCAGAGGCTAGGAATCTTGTAGTGAGTAACTCATCTCCTAACTTCCCGAAGCCTGCCCACCAACTACAAGGCACAAGTCTGATGGAATACACCCCACTTGCCCAGATGAGTGCAGCTCCACTAACACTCAAGAAGCTTGAAACCATTCAAGACAAAGCAGTCCATTTGATTGCCACAAATACCCACTCCTGCCACTGATGCTTGGTAGCAGCAGAGTACACAATGTGCTGCAGAAATTCACCAAGGCTTCTTAAACATCACCTTTCTAACCCTTGACGACTTCTATTTAGAAGTATAAAGACAGCAAATACTTGGGGGCACTGCCACCTGCAAGTTGCCCTCTAAATCATTCACCATCCTGACTTGGAAATCTACCACTATTCCTTCAGTATCGTTGTGTCAAAACCCTGGAACTCCCTCCCCAATGACATTGTGGGTCTACCTATAGAACATGGACTGCAGCGTTTCAAGAAGGCAGCTCATCATCACCTTCTCAAGGGCAATTAAGGATAGACAAAAAATGCTGGTTCAGCCAGTGAATGAATAAAAAACAATTCTTTGATGGAGGGTCTCCTGGCAGCTACGCTGAGCAGATCAATTATAAGCTGTGGTGCTGATTCTTTTATATTACCACTTTGACTTCCTGTCATCTGAATAAATTTAATTCAGTACTTTGCAGTTACAATTATAAATGTTCACACACACCTTGAAGGGCAGTTCAGTATACTCTTCCAAGAACATTTTTAATTGGCTGATGCAGATTCGTAAGTCTCCATCTGTAAATTCATAGGGAATATTGAAACCAAGTGGCCCAAACTTCCTACGTTCTATGGTGATTCCATGGAATAAACATAAGGATAAAAGGAGAGCCTTAAAATCTGAAACCTGAAATTAAAGGAAAAATTGTAAAATCTAACTGCAATAACAAAGCAAGTTTATATTTCATAAGGATTTACACCAAACCTACAGTTTCTTACTTCAAAATTCTTTCATCAGAAGAGTTGTTCACAAACATTACCTGCTTGTCATGATGTTTTGCAGTTACTATAGTACCAAATTAAGGTTTACTTGGCGCAAGGGAGAAGTATACATTTTTGGAGGGGGACCAGTTTCAGTGGAATGAGAATGGATTTGGAGCAGGTAAACTCAACAGAGATTGGTAGAAAACTGCAACTGAACAATGAACCACTTGAAAGGTGTGAGAGCTTGGGTGACTAATACCTTAGGACCAGCAAACCAGAGGGAATATTTGCTGACACTGAAGTAAGTAAAAGTGGAAATTGTGGAGACAGTTCTTATTGGACACAGGGGTGGTGTCAGAGAATTGGAGAAACTATTATATCTTTGTTATCAAGATGCTTTTTAGTTTAATACTGATTGGAGGAATTATATTTTGAAGAATTGTGGAAAATGGATTTATTTCAAGTTTTGTGGAAATAGCTGGAGTTCACTGCGGACATTCGAGATTTTTAAAAATAAGGCTTCCTATAAATCACATAACTGGTGATAACTTGTAGAACCTACTAGGACTGTTTTATAACAGTGACTGGTTTGGAGAGTTTCTTGTTTTATCTGGTTCAGTTCAAAGAAAGCCTGTTAAGAACCCAGTGAGTTGGAGGATAGGTTGTTAAGAACAAGCTACCCAGTTGATCTCTCTCATTTCTGAAAAGAAAAGGCCTGCTGTTGAGTTCAGGGATAAAATATTTGTTCTTCTGAAAGTATAATTGAGGATCAAGATTGTACTTCCTGAACAAGTTGTCTGCAAGATTACAGAGACAACTGTGTGTAATTTGATAACACAATGTGGAGCTGGAGAAACACAGCAGGCCAGGCAGCATCAGAGGAACAGGAAAGCTGATGAAAGTTCCTGACCCAAAACGTTAACTTACCTGCTCCTCTAATGCTGCCTGGCCTGTTGTGTTCCTCCAGCTCACACTGTGTTATCTCTGACTCCAGCATCGGCAGTTCTTACTATCTTTGTGTGTACTTTGAGACTTGATTACAGGTATCAAAACTTCAGAGCAACACACTTTGGGACATACTACGGTTTATCCTTTTGCCTTCAAGAATAACCGATTGACCAAAGTGCTTTTTTCCCCCAGAAAGCCATCCCTGCAGGGAAATTATTTTTTTCACTTTTCCTTAAAGAGTGTGTTTTTGGATGCGTGTATAGGCGATATTTAGAGGGATAACTAGTTATATTTCTTTATTACTATGTTTATATGTTAACCAATTATTGCATATTCATTTATTCTTTATATGGTTAATAGATCTTAGATCTTATTGTTTAAAACCTGATCTAGATAAGGTATTAAATTGGTCATTGTGTAACTGGGAAAAATACATTAATTTTATGTTGTGATCAATTAAGTATTGGGACTACAGTGGATCAGTCTCAGGCAAATAGGATTTAGGGATAAACCCAGTAGCTGCAGGCCAGTCAGTTTAACCTCTGTGGTAGGAAGGCTTTTGGAGACAATAATCTGGACAAAATTATCAGGGAAGACTAGCCTGGGTTTATAAAGGTAAATTGTGTTAATGAACTTGAATGAGTTTTTAATTATGTGGTGCAAATGAATTTCCAACAGGCTTTTTATTAAAATGCCTTGCTAATAATGTTGAAGTTTGTGGAATAAAAAGGGTCAGAGCCAGTATGGGTACAAAGTTAGCTATATTCCATGTGTTCCCTAGCAGTAGATTTTCTTCATACGTATTAATGATTTAGACTTGGATGCACAGGAAAGAATTTCAGAATGTACAGATGACATAACCTTGAAAGTGTTATGAACTGTCGGGAGGGTAGAGACAGACTACAAATGGGTATAGACAGGCTTTTGGAATGGGCAGACATATGGCCAATGAAATATAATGAAGAGAAATATTCTTTTTTACTCTATCATGGCATCTGGCCATTGCTGGCAAGGTCAGCATTTGTTGCCCATCCATAATTGCCCTCAAACTGAGTGGCTTTTAGCCTATTTTGGTGAACAACTAAAAGTCAGCTGCATTGCTGTGGGCCTGGAGTCACTGATGGCCAGACCAGGTATTGATGACAGATTTCTTTCCCTAAAGGACATACATGAAACAGGTGGCTTTTTTGCTGATAGTTTCATGACAGCATCACTGAAACTAGAGGTGGGTCTCTCCTCCACAGAGGTAGTGGGTGCACAGTAGGAAGTTCAAGTAACTGGATGGTTGGCACTGCTGAGATATCTGCTCCCTTCCTGCCACTCAGTAAATGCGTTTGCTAGGTTTAAGGGTTTATCGCTTCTGAATATATCTGCCACCACAGCTACTGCAAAGAACACTAAATCCAGCCAAAGCTTTCAATTCCACTTTTTAAATTAATCAAGTCTATTAATTAACTGAATTTAGTTCCATCACAAATCATCGCAAGTAACAGGAAGAAACAGAGTTAATGTTTCAAATCCAATGCAACTCTTCTTGGTTCCAAAGAAGTCATATTGGACGCGAAAGGTTAACTCTGTTTCTCTCTCTATAGAAACTGCCAGTCATTCTGAGTTTTATTTCAGGGTGTACAAGAGGCTTACCAGGATGTTGCCAGGATTGGAGGGTATTAGCTATAGTGAAAGGTTGGACAAACTTGCATTGTTTTTGCTAGAATGTTGGAGGCTGAAGGGCGACTGATAGAAGCAAGTTCTTTTTTGCACAGAGGGTGGTTTGAAATGCTCTGCTAGGGGAGATGGTAGAAGTGTATTTGATAGCAAAGTTTGGACGGACACACAAACAGGCAGAAAGTAGAGGGATACTGACCATGTGTGGGTAGACGGGATTAGTTTAGAATAGCTTTGTGCCGGGCACAGACATGGTGGTGTGAGGGGACTGTTCCTGTGCTGTACTGTTCTATGTTCTTTATCTCCAGCATTAGCAGTACTTTGCTTTTAATTGAAAATGGCAGGTCAGGTTAAGAAGTTGATCATAAATGCATACTGGATCCTGAGCTTTAAAAGTAGAGACATAAAATACAAAAGTAAGGAGGTGATAATGGACCTTTATAAAATACTGGCGCAGCCTCATTCGGAGTGTTTATCCAATTCTGTAAACCACACTATTTAAAGTATATGAAGTCTTTAAAGAGAGGGAAGAACAGATTTACAAAAATGTTTACATGAATGAGGGAATTCAGCTATGTTGATAAAGTACGGAATAAATTGGTCTCTTTAGAGATGAGAAAGTTGAAAGGAGATTTGGTGGAGGTGTTCAAAATCATGAAGAGAAGACAGAAACATTTCCCATTGGTAGAAGGATCAAGAACCAGAGGGAACCAGTTTAAATTGAATGGCTAAAGAAAGAATTGTGATGCAAGGGTCACTTTTTGTAGCAAACAGGTTAGGATCTGAACTACACTGCCTGAAAGTGTATTGGAGGCAGGTTTAATTATTACTTTCAAAACAAAATTCGATAAGCACATTAGGAGAAAGGAAATACAGGTCTTACTGGGAAAGGCCAAGGGAAGGGGGGTAGCTGAGTTTCTCTGGCATAGAACTGGTGTAGATATGAAATGGCCTCTTCATTGCTATGATTCTCAGTTAGTTTAAAGATTTGGAGGTAGATAAGCAGCGAAAAACATTTAAAATAAAATTCAAATTCTCTAAGAAAATATATATCTCCAAGGTGCAAAATTGCCATGGAAAATTGAGCCTTCCATCCTGTTTAGATGAAGCTAATAACATTGCAAGGATGACTAGCAAGCCTTAAGATTGGAAGGTTTTGGACAACTAATAAATTGATACAAAGAGAAAAAGTAAAATGGGAGTAAACAAGCAAGAAGTAAAAGATCATAAGAGCTCCTACAAGTATGTAAAATGGAAGAAAATAACAAAAGTAAATGTTGGTCCCCTGGAGACTGAGGGGTATGAAATTGCAGTGGGAATTTAGGAAATGGCAGAGACCATTAAAAATGACTTGTAACTGATTTCATAATAGAAAGCATGTAATAAATTTCAAAATAATGATGAACCAAGGGGTTAATGAATGTGAGGAATGTATACTGATTCATGTCATTAGTATAAAGTACTAGAGAACATTATGGGATTAAAACCAATAAATCCCTTGGACTGGATAACCAACATCCTAATGTTTTAAAAGAGGTATCATGGAATCCATAGTATCCCTACAGTGTGAAAGCAGGCCATTCGGCCCATTGAGTCCAAACGCATTGAGTCCCACCCAGACGCATCGCCTACCCTATCCCTGCATTTCCCACCCTAGACACTATGGGCAATTTAAGATCGCCAATCCACCCAATCTGCACATCTTTGGACTGTGGGAGGAAACCTGAGCACCCGGAGAAAACCCACGTAGACACAGGGTGAATGTGCAAACTCCACATAGACAGTCGCCCGAGGGTGGAATCAAACCTGGGTCCCTGGTGCTGTGAGACAGCAGATATATGATATTTGATACATTCGTTGTGATATTCCAAGATTTATTCACTTTGAGAATAATCATAGTGAATGAAACCTGATGGGTCACATCCCAGGAGATTAAAAGAATTAGCTATAGAGACAGGGGATGCACTGGTATTAATCTTCCAGGAACCCTCAGATTCTGGAAAAGTCCTAGAGGTTTGAAAAACTGACACTGTAATACTTTTATTTAAATAAAGAAAGAAGACAAAATAAAAGGTAACTATAGACCAGTTAGCTTAACATCTGTTATTGGGAAAATGTTAAAGTCTATTGTAAAGGATGTCATAGCAGAACATTTAGAAATACATAATATTATCGGGCAGAGTCAGCATGGCTTCATGAAGGGGAAATCATGCCCGACAAATTTATTGGAATTCTTTGAGAAGTAACAAGCAGGATAGATTAAATAATGTAGTATGTTTGGATTTTCAGAAGGCATTTGATAAGGCATCACACATTAGTCTATTTAAAATAAGAGCCCAGGGTGATGGAGGTAATATACCAAGATGCATAGAAGAATGACTACCTAGAAGAAATCTGAGAGTTTGGATAACGGGGACATTTTTAGGATGGCAACTTGAAACTAATCGAGTGCCACAGGGACTATTGCGGGTCACAATTATTGACAATATATGTAAGTGATTTGCATGAGGAAAATGTATGTACTATGGCCAAGTTTGCAGATGACATAAAAATAAGTAGGAAGGTAACTGCTGAGGATTACACAAGAATCTAGAGAGGGATAAGTGAATGGGCAAAAACTTGGAAGATGCACTTTGATGGGAAGAATAGAGGAGTTGAATATTATTTATTCACTATTGAGTATCCCATATATTAAAACGATAAACTTTACTTGTAATAAAATATTAATTATAAATTTACTTTAGAACAAGAGTTCAGGAAGTCATTGGTGAGGTTCATGTAGGTTTTCATTAAATTTGCTTTTATTCCCCTTGGTGGTTCAATTGTCATCTTAGAGCCATTCTGAAGAATTGAAACTGGAAATTTATTGCTTGGTAAACTAGTCAGCCAAATCCTGAAGTCTCGATGAACCTGGATATTAAAAAAAAGAACAGATAGCTTGTTTCAGAGATAGTAGGAACTGCAGATGCTGGAGAATCTTTCAAAATCTCCCGTCCCCCAACCGCATCCCAAAACCAGCTCAGCTTGTCCCCGGCTCCCTAACCTGTCCTTCCTCCCACCTATCCCCTCCTCCCACCTCAAGCCCCACCCCCATCTACTACCTACTAGCCTCATCCCACCCCTTTGTCCATCCTCCCTGGACTGACCTATCCCCTCCCTAATTCCCCACCTACACTCACCTTTACTGGCTCCACCCCCGCCTCTTTGACCTGTCTGCCTCCTCTCCACCTATCTTCTCCTTTATCCATCTTCTATCCGCCTCTCCCTCTCTCCCTATTTACTTCAGAATCCCCTTCCCCTCCCCCATTTCTGAAGAAGGGTCTAGGCCCGAAATGTCAGTTCTCCTGCTCCTCTGATGCTGCTTGGCCTGCTGTGTTCATCCAGCTCTACATCTTGTTATCTCAGATAGCTTGTTGATTAATTCTGAAGCAATTTCAATCATAAAATCAGTCAAGTAGCACACATCCACACCTGGTATTCCAAAATGCATGGTTGAAAGCCCCCAGGACAAAATGTTGGGGGTGAACCTGCCTCTTCTCGAGCAGTTTTCCTGCAGTGATATAATAGCAGTCAGACAGGCTGTTAATTGGTATAAGTTAAGAGTTTCTCCCCATCAGGTGCTGGCCAATCAAATGGCCAGCAGTTCTCCAGTCTCCACAGTGCTACCAGGAGGGGTGGTTACTGCTAGAATTGCATCCAGTCCTTGACCCTGAAGATTCAGTGGAGCCAGAGTGAAAGTAACTTGAGCAGTGGGTACTGCTGTGGTTAGGCCAGAAGACCTGGCAAGCAGAGAGGACAGTAGATAAGGCAGTGTAGACAGAAACCTGGTGGGTCACGTTGTATAAGAAGTTAAATTTCATGTTACATTGGCTGCACCCATTTTACTGATGTCGCATATAGTCTATGGTGGAGACCAGGGGTTTTCCTCTACCTTTTGGACAGAGCAGATGTATCCATAGCTCCCTAAGGTCCTAGTAATTTTGACTGACCAAATGTAGTTATACTTATCGCTTTCATGCAATAAACCTACTTGCTATCTTAGAAGAGTACCTGTTCTGATGATGCTGTATGGTAGTGTATACTCCATCATTAATCACTAGGTAGGCCCAAGTCAAAGCAAAAACAAAATAGGATTGGTGGCAGCAAACTACCTCAAACAACCTTTATCCAGTACCACATCAGCGAATGTGAAAAATACTTCAAGCTACCAGGATCCAGACCAATATGACAGGCTGTGTTGGGGGATGGCAGGGGAGAAGGATCTTGGGGGGATCTCTAATGAACATTGATGACTCTTAAACAGGCCCCATCCTCTTGTCACCAACAGCCATACAAGCTTTGAGGTTGGATGCTTGATGTGAACCCCTCTTGCCACTAATTAAGTTATTTTAATCAGCCTATTCAGACATGTCATGTTTTACCTCAAGGAGAGATGGGACTTGAAATCAGACCCATTGATTGAGAGAAGGGGACATCACCACGGTAGCACAAATGCTTTGCCCTTCCATTAGTTAAATCTGAGTGGGGACAGAATGAAGCCCTTAAGTGGCCTTTAGTTAAATAAGAGTCTCAATTAGCCCTCAGGCAGGTGGATTTCCTGGTCAAATTATGACAAGGATAAGGGGTGGGCAGTAGGTGGCAGGCATGGTATCCATGAACTTTCACACCTGCTAAGCTGTCAACGAGGTGGGGAGGGGTGTGGGAGGGTCATAAAATCCACCCTGCAGTGATTATTCATTGATGGACAGTATGTTTGATGTCATCACGTCACTGTTTCTAATTTTAGGCATAAATTGGTTGCAGCTTACAATAATGACTACACTTCAAAAGTGCCTCTTTGGTATCCCCGAGGTTGTAAGAAGTAGTGCATGAATACAAGTTATTTTCTTTTAGCAGAAGGAATGTTAGGTGCCACTCTAAGTAATAAGCAAAAAATAAGAATTTCTTCTGTGGCAATTGACATGTGTTGCAGGCAGGTGATTTGGAACTGCATTGATGGAAGTCAGTATGCAGTATCGCACCCTTTCGGCAACAGCATACAATGTGACACTACAACAAGCTACCACAGTTCAAAACATACTTCATTGGCTCGAGTATGCTTTAGGATGCCTTCAGGTTGCAAAAGGGGTGTATGAACGCAATTCAGTCTTCTTTAAAGGCCCAAACAACTAAGTAAAGCAAAGTAACTTGGCCCATTCAACTCAGTTCCTTCACTGATTTGTTGTATCAGTATGTAAAAGAACGCTGCTTAATGTTCAAGCAGATTAGAATTTATTGCTGCTTGCTATTTCTGAAGACTGCAGAGAATATACACTGCTGTCTGTTAGAACATGGACAATTTCTTAGGTATTAAGACTTATCAATTGACTGTTTTGTTGGGTAAGAGATAGTTATGTATGCTGACGTACATTAATATTTACCAAAATACAGGCATGGCAAGTAAAGGTATTTAATGTTTCACAGAGGACAATAGATCCATTTTTATAAATTGGTCAGTGTTTTTGAGTCCAAGAAACTCTCCTAATCCATTCCAACTTCTGAAGGAAAGCTGGGCAAAGTTGCTGCTGCGTTAATTCAAGAGATGGATGGACCAAAACTATAGAATTTTTATCTACATCCCTTATACCATCCTTGATCAGTTGAATTTACAAAGATGACACTTTCATGACTCCAGTAGTTTCCAAACATTCACTGTCTCTACATTTCCCTCACAATCTTCAATCTTGTTTGTAAAAAGCTAGTTATCAAATTATATTGAAAGGGGTGAACTGATATGTACAGCATAGGTTGTTCATCTTTCTTCATACGAAAACAGAACAATCACCTTGTCAGGGTCCACAGTTTCAATAAGTCTTTCCAGAGAAGGCATCCAGCTAGGGGCCAGATGACAATTTTGAAAAAACACCCACTTTCCTCGCTCCATAGAATTACGCATCATAGCTTCTGCCCTTGGCCCCTGTGAATAAAAAGGCATTCAATTAACATTTATCACAAAAAAACACTTCCTAAAAGTGTTACATTTTAAATCAGGTTTCTGGGCTTTTCAAGATGCTTATAAGCTCTTTCTAGCTTTACAAGTCTGGCAGCATCTGTGGAGAGAAAGCAGAGTTAACATTTTGAGTCCCGTTCAGTTCTGAAGAAAGGTCACCGGATTCGAAATTTTAACTCAGCTTTCTCTCTACAGGTGTGACCAGACCTGATAAGTTTCTGCAGCAATTTCTGTTTTTGTTCCAGATCTTCCTTCAGCATCTGCAGCTCTTTCATTTATCATGTTATTATTTAAGCTTGCCTGTCTAATGGTAATCCAGCAACAAATCCCTAAAGACAATGAAGTTGCTTAACCAAGTTCTATTTGGGAATGTTTTTGCTTACCTGTCCCTGCCCTAGTGAAATAGCACTCATTTTTTTTGAAAATTTCATCTCTTCTGCAAATTTATACAGGTCAGCTGCAGGATCTGTGCCTGGCGATAACACAAAGATCAATGGAACGCTGGGAGCTGAATCTTTAAAAACTGTGCTCAGATCAGAGGTCTGAAAGAAATAATAACTTTAAAAAGCATACTCTCAGAAATATCATAGCATTATCAATCAACTGATCTAATCAGAATATATTTTGTTTGTTCATGGCATGTGGGGCATCACTAGCAAGTCCAGCAATCTTTGCCCATTCCCAATTATCCCTGAGAAGGTGGTAGGGAGTTACCTTCTTTAACTGCTGTATCCTGTGTGGTGAAAATAATTCCATGGTGCTGTTAGGAAGGGAGTTCCAAAATTTAAATTCAGAAGGAATGGTAATATATTTCCAAGTAAGGATAATGGGTGATTTGGAGAGCAGATTGCAAATGCTGGTGTTTGTGACGATTGGCTTTGTCCTTCTGGTAGTAGAAGAAACCGTGGTAAGTTATGGCAGTATATCTTGTAGATATACAAGATACTAGATTTTCATTGGAGGCCATAGTATTGCTAGAGGTGAAGGGAGTGAATGTTTAAGGTGCTGAATAGGGTACCATTAAAGCAGGCTGCCTTACAGAGAATGTGTTGAGTTTCTTGAATGCTGTTGGAACAGCACTTGTTCAGCAGCAGCAGCAGAACTCAAGGATTATAAATAAAAATTGTGTGGATAGAGTATTAGAACCCAAATAATATTCTTTATATATACATAATAAGTAGAAGTATCAAATGCAGAAACTGCAGGTGCAAATTCAAGTTGGATGGTATGACATAGTAGACATGATTGTAGCATGACCTCAAGATGGTCAGGTGTGGGAACTAAATATACCAAGTTGTAAGCTTTACTGGAAGGAGATGAAATTCTTGAGAGGGAGGAATAACTTAATGATTAAAGATGACATTTTTTCAACTATAAGGACAAATCTAGTGCTAGTCAGAAAGATAAGACTTCTTGCACAGAATAAAAAATTGTGAAGGTTTTAAGATTGTAGTAGATGCTATGTATAGGTACGCTGTAGCAGCTGTGTTGTGGTAGATTGGATAAATGCAGAGATTAGGCAAATGTGGTGCACAAACAGAACGGCCTTAACGAAATGAATCAAATAGCAGGTGACACAAAATTTGGAAGTGTTTTGAATTACAAGGATAGTGATTAACCTCAAAAGGACATAGGCTGTTGAAATAGGAGAATTGTGACAGATGAAATTTAATGCAGAGTGGTGAAGTGTGCTACAATTTAGTAGGAAAAACAGGGAGAAGCAGTATAAAACAAAGGATACAATTCTGAAAGGAGTACAGCAACATAGAGACTTGGGAATTTGTGTGCGCAAATTGGGGAATGTTGCAAGGCAGGTTGGGTAAATGGTTAAAATGCATACAGAATTCTGTACTGAAAGAACAGAAAGAGTAAATATGAAATGAAGTTATGTTGAACCTTTAAAAATTGCTCATTTGAGCTCAACTGTCCAATTATGGATATTACATTTTAGGAATAATAAATAGAAATAAAAATAGCAAAGTTATTGAAAGATTAAGGGAATAGACAAAACTGATAGATTAACTTCAATGTACGCAAATGTGGGGTTACCTAGTTTGAATGAAAAAGAGGATAGAACAATACAATTTCTAAATGGTGAAAAGCAATGAACAGAGTACCCGAGGGTCCAGGTACACAGATCATGAAAAAATAATGGCCGGGTACAGGAACTAATTATATACAATCAGACTGACCTTTATGGTGAATGGACTGATATATAAAGGGGACTGATATATATAAATCATGAACGGACTGATATATATATAAATCATGCTACTACTGTACAAGTTTAGACCACACCTTGAGTACTGTGAACAGTTGTGGGCACCGCACCAGAAAAGTATTTTGATCTTGGAGGGACTGCAGCATAGGTTTAGCAGAATAATATTTAGATTCCAAGTGTTATATTACAAGGAGAGACGAGACAAGCTAAGGTTACAATCCCTGGAACTTATAATGTTAAGAGAGGATCTGATGGAAGTTTAAGATATCCATGGAAACATTTGGGGTAGATAGAGGTAAGCTGTTTCTGCTGGTCCAGGAGTCTAAGTCAAAAGAGCATAATTTACCGAAGCTGAGCCAAATCTTCATGAGTGAAATTAGGAAACAACTCTATACTCAAAGGGTAGTAGAAGTTTGGAATTCTCTTCCATAATGACAATTAATGCTAGATCAACACTCAACTTTAAACTGAGATGGATAGATCTTTCTAAGCCAAATGTATTAAAGGATATGGAGCAAATGTTGATGTATAGATTTAGATCAAAGATCAGCCATGATGTTACAGAATGGCAGAACAGGCTTGAGGGGCTATCTGGATTTCTTCTATTACTATGGTCTTGTTGCAATTACACCAGACCTTTTTTTGATGGGTGCCTTCCAAGATTCTTTTTGGAAACATGAGGGAACTCCATTGTAAAATGCAAATTGAGTCCTATTGTTAAGGCAGTGATACACAAGTTGCAAATAACTTAACCCCAACCACCTATATCTCACAGAAGTGCAACTTAATTAACCATCCCTATCCAATTGGAGAATTGCTTTTAGTGCACAATTAACTCACCATAAAGTGGTAATGGCAGCTGAAAAGAGCAGAAACATCGCTGGGGTATAAAACCAGCAGTTAATCTGACCCCATTAGTTTGAATCACCCAGGCCATTTTATTGGATATTATTCAATAAGTTGTATTATTGTATTTTGAAATTAAACCATAAATAACAAAATGTAGACATATTGTAATCAACTTGTTCAGAAATGTTATTACACACCCTCTGGGGCAGGTAGGACTTGAAGCCAGGCCTCTATGGCTTAGAGGAAGGGATGCTACTATTGTATCACAAGAGTCCCAATAACAAAGTTTATAGCAGATTGTTCAACATGTAAAACAGGGAACAGGGAGATAAATACTGGACTTCTAGAATAGTTTCCCATTCAAAATTTAGCTCACCTTACTCGTTTAGAAGCTAGATGATGTACTTTAGCCTTTGCTGTTCTTACTTTAGGCATAGATTGACATAGAGATGTTTTCACTTTTGGGGGAATTCAAAACAGGTGACATTAAATTAAGATATGTGAGTTAGTAATAACTCCCAAAAAGAATTCAGAAGACAGTGCTGTAAATACTGTGACAGGTCAGAGGCTGGCTAGGAGTTCAATGACGAATAGTTCACCTCTTGACTTCCCAAGGCCTGTCCGCCATCTACAAGGCACAAGTCAGGAGTGTGATGAAATATTCCCAACTTGCCTGAATGAGTGTAGCCCCAACAACACTCAAGAAGCTTGACACCATCCAGGACAAAACAGCCTGCTTGAAATCAACACACCACATCTACTGCAATAACTCACCAAGGCTACTTTGACAGCACCTTTGCAACATTTGACCTCTACCACTTAAAAGACAAGAGAGGCAGATACATGGGAACACAACCACCTGCAAGTTCCCTTCCAAGCCATTCTTCATTCTGACTTGGAAGTATATCACTGTTCCTTTACTGTCACTGAGTAAAAACCCTGGAACCAGCTTCTTATAGGCACTATTTCTGTTCCTACACCCCGAGGACTAAAGTGGTTTAATAAGACAACTCACCACCACCTTCCAGGGTGAATAGGGATGGGAAATAAATACTGGCCTTGCCAGCAATACCAACATTGCATAAATGAATTATTTAAAAATGCAGAAAGTTGTTTGAATGTGGAACTTGCCACCACATTAAGTGGATTACAGAAAAAGCAGAAGTGCATTTATAAGGAAGCTATATGAACACAAGGGGAAAATGGATTGGAAAGATATGGTGATAGTATTGCATTAAGGTGGGAAGAAACAAGTGAGAAGGAAAAGTGTGTAGCCAAATGTGCTGTAAACTCTATTTAATTCCAAATTCAACTCCAGCATTCATGATTTTTCTTTTATTGCTCTAAAAAGCTAAAATATATTTTGTAAAAATAATGTATTACAAATGTAATTATGATAGCAGCCAAACTTAAATAAATATGAAGCAGTAAGTCTGACCTGAGGCTCAATAAATCTCTGGCCGAGGTGAAGTGCCACAAAGTCCTGCATGGCATTGGTGACTTTGTCCAGTCGCAGACAACGCATAATTAGTAGTCTCTGAAATGAATTTGTTTCAATCTCTAAATCTCCTGGCAAAGTTTGTCTACAAGAAAAAAATGTTTAATTTTTTGAATGCCATCATGTAACCCATGCCAATGTGACATGTAAACGAAGATATAGCATTGTTTAGTTGCAACTTTGATGCTTTTCAACTATCGGTAGGCAACAATCATAAGACCGATAGCTTCTGATGGGATGATGCTCATTTGCCAAGTTCTCCTGGTTGCTGCTGTTCTTCTCTTTGACTGCAGCTGTTCTTCTAGTCAATTGTTAGAACTATGCCATCATGAGACTCATTTGCTCAGTGGCCTGTACCCCTGTCTGTCCTTTAATGTTCCTTCTGTGCTAGTTAAAACCAGTCTGAATGTAGTCCAGAAAACAGCACCAGTTAATACCATGAACTGCATTCAGGTATTAATGGGTGGCTTTAAAATGCCATAAGAAACGTAATAATTGTTAAACTGACAAACAATTGGGGTGACACATAGAGGTAACTAAGAGTGGCTGATTCAGCACAGAGTTGTAGAATTATAGACAGAGAGTGAGGGAGGGAGAGGTAGAAAGTCGATAGTCTCGAAATATAAGTTGATTGGGGAGAGTAGGTGAAATATGGGGGGGCGGACAGTAGAGGAGAGGTAAGGTTTAGGGGAGAACATCCTGGACAGCAACTGACAACAGTCTCTGACCCCTTAGGGCTCTGGAGATGTATCTGTATATGCAGATGGCTTCTGTGCCCATGTAAATTCACTGCCTTCCTCCCAGTCCTGCACATTCTGATGTTAGCCCTAAATGACACTAGCAGCCTTTGTGCACAAACTGGGGTCTACAATCCCTTAGCAAGATTTATGTCGATGAATGTACAGAAAGCTATCTCAATCAATGATTACTTAAAGATCACCTGTGAGGTTCTGGACTGTCAAAGATTTCTTGGAATTCATCCAGATAGTTTATAAAATCTTCTGTAAAGTTGGCAAAGTGCTTCAGGCTACTAAGACTCTGGATGTCCTTCCATGCTCTGTCTGACAGCCAATCAGAGGCTGGGTTGGGGGTGGGTGTACGGATGGTTCCTCCAGACAGAAGGTAATGCCATTCATCCTGTTCAATACATTCAAATTAGGGTAGGTCGTTACAACAGTATGAATAATTAAGTAAATAAAAAGAGAATCCCCACATGGCACATCTCCAATCCACTAACAGTGGAATTCTGTACTTCAATGCTGCAGTTTAGAGTGCATCAGTACCTATCATTGAAATGCTGCTTCCAGCAGATCATCTTTAATTGAAAATGAGAAAAGCCAGGTTTAACATTTTCAGTAGACTGAACAAGAAAAGTTAACCTGCTGGAAAAGTGAAATAGCCTCTTAATCCTGGGCAATATCTTGCCTGGGCTTTGGTGAGAAAGTTGGGAAAATAGGGTGAGATTGGTAGTCAGAAGATTTCTGATGTCAAGATGAATAAGTCCCATTCTCCAACAAAGTGTCAACTGACAAGATACGAATCTTGCCAAGACTGGTGAGAGGCTTATTTGCATGCATTAACATGTATCAACATTGTATTATTAGTTAATTTAAGCTCATTTAATGCAGTTTCTTGTTCTACCTCTGGACAATTTTTGACATGAAAGCCAGAGCTGTAACCTGGTGTCTCCAGCTTGTTTTTGCTCCTCCAGCCCTTCATCTTGGATACCAGTTACACCATGTCTCAGGACACAATCCACGGCAGTGACCGCAAGCACCACTGTCCATGCTAATTAGCATTTGGCATATAGAGCTTCGCCAAATGACACACCTCCAATCCACTTGGAACACATGTCTGCACTTCAGTGCTGTACTTTAGATTGCTTCAGTACATTTCGAAGGAATGCTGCTGCCAGGACACTTTGCGCAAGGGACAATCACCTATCTCACGAAACAGACAAAAGTATATCTCAGGCCTCCTTGCTTGTTTACCTAGTGCTCACTCACATTGTACCTATTTGGATGCTCACAGCATTTCTACCCTGCCTTGCCTTGTTGCAATTTAACCCCTCAGCCAGAGCTTAAAGGCTCACTATATTTCTATCTTGACTTGCCTTTTAGACACAAAGCCAGGCAGCATGTCATGGCTGACAGCAGCATTCAGTCAAGGGATTTTGACTGGTCAGTCGGCAGCTTGGGGTGGTCAGGCTCAGGAAGTTCTTTAGGGTGTCAGGAGCCAAATGTTGGGAATCCCACCCAGGCTTATCTCTTTCAGCCCTATTTGCTCCTCGAATGAGCCAACAGGAGGGATTGAAAGTGACAGGCGTAACTCTTCGTGGTGGAGAAAAGGTGGTGAATTGTGAATGAGTAGGTAGCACAGAGGGTATCCTATTGTGTGGGCAGATGGCTTGTGAAAGTGAATGAGCATGTTGCATGTGATAGTGAGAGTGGCAGACCAGGAGCTTTGGTGGAAAGTGTGCGCAGTAGAAGGGATAAAGTGACTGTGAGGCAACAAAGCGAAGATGGTGGCACTTACTCTTGTGGAGTGTAGAAAACAATTGATCTTCCTGCATTACAAGTGTAACTCGAGACCATGACTGACCCAAGTGACAACCTCAGACCAGGATGGCTGCGTCTGGTTTCCTCTGTCAGTCTTGAGGGAAGAAAACAGCCCTCCTCTCTGCCACCCCATCCATCATGACCTCCAGGTCACAGTCTGAAAAGTAAAGTGCCAATTTCCCTCTGTCCTTCAAGTCTGAGACAATTCATACGACTTGTGCAGTGCAGCTCCGGACTGACAGTGCTTGACTTGGTGCATGGGCTGGTCTTTAGAAATGGTGCCAGCATCAGGAATCCCCAGTCTGCACCAGCAAAAGTGAGTACTTCACCTGTTGCAAGAAGAAGGATATGGCCAGCAGGTACCATTGGGGTGTGGTGGATAGGTAATGTGGCATGTTTGGGATGACAGCATGAGAAATTTCACTTGGACTCAGACAGAAACCCTCTTGAAACTTGACAAAATTGATGCTTAGCTGATTTCTGGTAAAATTCAATCTTCTGTGTCTCTCTCCACAAATGCTGCCTGACCTGCTGAGTGTTTCTAGCATTTTCTTTCTGTTTTATTTTCATTTTATTTCTGAGAACTTAATATTTCTTTTCTCTCAGATGCTCAGTGAGCTGCTGATTCCATGGAGGTTGCAAGAACTGCCGACGCTGGAGTCAGAGATAACACAGTGTGGAGCTGGAAGAACCCTGCAGGTCAGGCAGCATCAGAGGACCAAGAAAGTTGACATTTTGGGTTGTGACCCTTCATCAGGACTGGGGAGGGGAAAGGGAGCTGGGAAATAAATAGAGGGAAGACGGGTGGGGCTGGGGAAAGGTGGGTGGGATGGTGGTAGGTGGATGCAGGTAGGGGGTAGAGGGGATTGGTCAATGGGAAGGGTGGGGTAGATAGGTGGGAGAGAAGATGGACAGGTTGTGTCAGGTCAAGGAGGCGGCAATGAGAGGGAGGATTGAACATGGGATGAGGCCAGGGCGGGGAGATTTTGAAACTGGTGAATTCTATGTTGAGACCATTGGGCTGTAGACTCCAGAGGCACAATATGAGGTGTTGCTCCTCCAGTTTGCATGTGGCATCATTGTGACACTGGAGGAGGCCCAGGATGGACATGTCATCCAGGGATTGGGAAGGGGAGTTAAAATGGTTCGCAACGGGAAGGTGTTGTTGCTTATAGCGTACAGGGTGCAGGTGCTCCACAAATCTGTCACCGAGTCTACATTTGGTCTCACCAATGTGATTCTCATTGATTCCATGCATCATTTTAAAAAAATTTTCTTTTGTATTTTCAATAAAAGTATGTTTTTCTACTTTTGATCAGCTAGTAAATAATTACTTGCAGATTAGTTGTGTTATTGTAAAAGGCAGTGCGCTCCTAGAGATCGGTGCTTTCCAGTGCTGATTCTGCCAGTGTATTCAGAGTCAGTGGGAAGACAGCGACTTTGCATGGCTTGGGAGGCATCTGCAGTCCCTACAGATTAACTCCTCTGAGGTAAAATTTTCTGATTAGTAACACGTCTGTCCTTTCCAGCTGGCAGAGGGAGACATTTATCCCTTCAGTGAGAGCTAAGTTGAAACCCATTCCCTAGATAGAAAGAAGGAAGACTTTCATTCATTTGGCATCATTTATGCTTTCAGGACAAGCCAAAGTGCTTCATTGCAATAAAGTACCTTTTCAATTTAGGGCTAAGTTTTATGTTTTTTTAGCTAAGCCCAAATTGCGTTTAGTTTTTTTTGGAGGGTTCTTTTGCTGTGAGGCTTGGTGTGTTTTCTTGGCCTATCTTACCAAACTAGCCTTGTTAATTACCTTACATGCTCCTATGGTGTCACTTCTTTTTGATTTTGACCATTCTCAGAACAACTCATCACCAAAAGACTGGCATCTCTTGTGCCTGCACTACCTTTAAAAGCCCATTGTACCCAAACAAGTACTGTTAGTTTTAGTTTCCCTGCACAGTTCCTGACATTTGCCCTGGACATGGCAGATAAGGAAAAATCGGTGCTCCCACTTTGCAGGCACGGTCCTGGAGATCCTGCTGGACAGAGTGCTGCCAATGCAGACTTCCTTTGCATCCCCCCCACCACCAGCAGTGGAGGCCATCACACCAGACCATGGCAGCCGAGTTCAAGGTTGCCCAGTCACAACTGTCTGAAGGAATGCCCAGAACGGTGGGAAGAAGGTCATTGATCTTTCAACTGTGCCGGCATAAGTGCCACCATCTTCTCTCTGATATCTCATACATACTCTATCTCTGCTCCTGTACCCACTTCCCACCAAGTCCCAGGCTCTTCCACTCTCACTATTGTCTGCAATGTCATCACCACTGGCTGTCACCCGCCCAAATTCTGAATCCTGTTAAGCTTTCCAGCTTTGTGTCTGTGCTAAACAGCACAGCAAGACAGCAGTAATATAAGCCTAATATCTCTGGCTGAGGGGGCAAAGCACAATGAGACAAGGCAAGACAATGTAAGACATGGATGCTGTGAACGTCCAAGTAGGCTCAGAGTGAGTGAGCACTTTTACAGAAAGCAAACAGGCCAAGATGCAACCTCATTCGGTCCATGAACTGGATGCATGTTCCTAAGCACAAAGTTCACAAATGCTGCAGGACTACACTGATAGTTGGCAGTGCAGCACACAATGCAGCATTGAAGTGCGTAAGTGTAATGTAACGAGATTGAAAATGTGTCGTGAAGTTTCTAAAAGGCTTGTATATTTCTGACGCTAATGTCTGTAAACTTAGGGCAAGTGAATAGCTGAATGTGACCAGGTGCTTATACTGGTTTCCTTGTCAAGTTTTCCTGGTGTCTAGCTTCTTTGGTGCGTTTGGTGACTTGTGAGCCTGAATGTTAATGAGGCAAGTTGTGATATTAACAAGGCATTTAATAAGCAATAATAACTATCAATTGTGTAATATATTCTTCCTGCCTATAAATATCAGGGTCCTATGTGTGAATAAACTCAGCTTCTAGAATATACAAAGTAATTACATTGCAATCGCTGATAATCTTAAATTTGTTTCTGGTGTCATTCTTAGCACAGTCAGGATTATATAGTTAATGTTCTCCAATAACAGAATTACATCTAATGTTGGACACTATGTTTACATATTGTCCTAGGTCCTAATTTCACAGTTCAGACTGAGTAGTTAAATAGTGAAATATTCTTATCATTAGTTAGGGAATTGGCAACAAGGGAAAAACATGATGTTGATTAATGCAGGAAGTATAACGGGCAAGGTTAAAATGAAATGTTTGCCATGCACAATGTTATCAGGATGAGGAGTACGTTGCTACAATGAACTATTGAAGACAATATTTAAGGCAACTATAGAGAAGTGCAAAGAAATTGTACCAAATGTTGGTTGCTTGAGCAACTTTGGCTCACAGTTGATGAGCTGGAGTCTGAGCTCGGATACTGAGCAGCGAGGAGGAGAATTACCTATATTTCAGGAGGCAATCACACCCCTTACACTAATTACCTCAAATTCAGTTAGTGAACAGGAAATGGAGGGTGTGACTATGAGTGAGGTAGGTTGAGAGATTCAGAGGTAACACTGCAGGAATATAGCTTGGATTGAGGATTGGCTAACCAACACAAAGCAGAGAGCTGGGATGAATGTGTCTTTTTTTGGTTGGCAACTTGTAGGGTGCCAAAGGGTTTGGTCCTTGGGCTCCAAGTATCCATAATCTATATTAATCACTTGGATGCGGGTTTAGAAATAGCCAGATTTTTAGATGACACTAAAATAGGTGGGAAAGTTGCAATGAAGGAGTTTACAAATGGATAGGTTAGGTGAATGGATTAAAATTGGCAGATGGACTTTAATGTAAGTGTGAGGTTTTCAATTTTGGCTGGAAGAATAAAAAGGCAACATATTATCTAAATGGAGAGAAACTTCAAAATGCTTCAGTACAGAGGATTTAGATGGCCTCATGCATGAATTGCAGAAAGCCAGTATGCAGGTACAGCAAATAATAAGGAGAGCAAATGGAATTTTAGCATTTATTGCTAAAGGAATAGAATAAAAACATGAAGTGTTTTTGCAACTGTACAAGGCATTGGTGAGACCATATCTAGAGTATTGAATACAGTTTTGGCATCCTTACTTAAGGAAGGTTGTAATTTCATTGGAGGCAGTTCAGAGAAGGTTCTCTGGATTAATTCTAGAGATTAAAGGCTTGTTTTAAGAGAACAGATTGAACAGTTAAGGCCTTTACTGACTTGAGGTTAGAAGAATGAGGGACTATCTAATTGAGGTATTTAAGATGCAAAAGGGGATTAACAAAGTAGACATAGAACAAATGTTTCCCTTTATGGGGCACACTAGAATGAGAGGTCACAGTTTTAGCACAAGGATGGCAGATTTAAAACAGGTTAGGAGGAATAACTTCTCTCAAAGTGTTGTGAAACTTTGGAATTCACCATCCCAGACACTGAGTCACTGAATAAATTTAAGGAGGATGTAGACAGATTTTTAATTAGTAACAGGTTAAAGGATTATGGGGAGCACTCAGGAAAGTGGAGTTTAGGCAGATATGAAATCAGCCATGATCGTATTAAATGGTTAAGCAGGCTGGAGGGACTGAATTGCCTACTTCTCCTCCTAGTTCTTATGTTCTTATTAAAAGAAATATTAGATTAGCTAAACACTAAATGATTTAAAATGTTAAAGGACAGGACAGGGGATTTAAATCCTGATCAACACTAGGCATCCACAGTTGCACAGAGTCTTTAATGAGTCAAAAGTCTCAATAAATTAATGAAAAAATCTTCACATGAGTATTACCAAACAAAATCTGACACCAAACCATTTGAGTAAATAAAACAAAAGAACTGCAGATGCTGGAAATCTGAAACAAAAATAGAAATTGCTGGAGAAACTTGCTAGAAACTCAGTCCCTCAGCATCTATCCAGTGACCCTTCTTCCGAACTAGACTCAAAATGTTAATTCTGCTTTCTGTTCACAGATGCTGCCAGACCTACTGTGTTTCTTCACCATTTAAGTTGGAAGTTGGCAGAGGAATGAAAGCTTGGTTGAAAAGATAGGTTTTAAGGAGTGTCTTAAAGAAGAAGTGAAAGTGAGGCAGAGAGGGTGCGGGAGAGAATTCAAAAGTTTTGGTTGTTGGCAGCTGATGGCACAGTACGGTGGGGTATTTAAAATTAGTTGTGAACAAAGAGTGAGAATTGGAGAAGCATAGCGGTCTTAAAAAATTGCATGGCTGGAGGACATTTCAGAGATAGGGCAGTGTGATACAATTAAAAGATTTGAAAGCGAGGATGAGAATCTTAAATTCAGGCTGCTCTTGGTCCTGAAACCAATGTAGATCAGTAATCCAAATCAGCTACACTTGAGATGTATCATTGGAAGTTTATGTCAGTCACATAGCACAGTTTGGTTCAGCCTCAGACAGTGACTAAGGAGGGGAATAGAGTTTGTAGCGGGGTCTATAGACAGTGGCTTTGCTCTTCCCAGTATTTAGTTTGAGAAAATTTCTGCTCATCAAATACTCAATGGTGATGGGCAGTGTGACAAATCAGAGAGAGGGATGAAAGGCTAAAAGAGGTTGTGGTAAGGTGACATCAGTGCACATGTGAAACCTGACAAAGTGATTTTTTATTATGTCACTGAAAAGGCAGCATGTTAATGAGAAATAAGAAGGGATCAAGGACAGGTTTCTTATGGACTTCATAGGAAATAAGATCATAAGACTATATAAATAAGATTACAGTTGAAATTTGTAATGGGGAGCCAACAGTGGCACAAGCAAATAAACAGTGAATCAAAAGCCCATCTATTCGGCTGAGATTTCTATGACTTGGCAATAGAATGTTATGCATATGGTACTGACCATGTCAATCTTGTTATCATTCATCATGATTCTCACGCACACCAGGAAAGCAAACATCAGCTTGTGCTTCTCAAAGAGACTTCTGCAGACGCTGAGATACAGACTGTAGGTGAAGTAATTATTGATAAGTTTTATCCGCTTCTCCACTGTATCTGAGGGACAAAATGAACAGTTGTGTCTAAGTCACTCCCACCTCAATCTAATATTATTTTAGGACAATATTTAAATGCAACTTTTTTTCCACCTAGTTTTCTATCTGCCTCTTTTAAAGTTGATGAATACTTTCTTGAGCTCTGGCCAATTAAGGATTATAATAGATAAATGCTGTCTTACAGGGAAGATGTTAACCACAGCCAGCTGGTGAGAAACAGGCATGTAAGCAGTCAAAATTGCTCAAGTGCTCCAACCTGAAGCCACCAGTTTTGATTTTCCTCTGCTGTCCTGGGTTGGCAACAAGGACACCTGTTCAAAGCCAGCAATATTCTCTTTTGTGTATATATATATATTGACAGGTCCCAATGACATAATTGGGACTGGGTAACAATTTTTAATTGAGTGGCCAGAGCAGGAAGCAGTAATGCGCTTCTCTGAAGGAAACACAGCACAAGACTGGTTGGGACAGTAAATCTAAATAATAGTTTTTCTGGTGGGGCCAACAGGAGCGTGAATTTGTTTCTCTAGGTCTCACAAGAGGGGCTTACATCTTGCCTTCCACAATCTCCCCTTCCACACCGATTGCGCTCCCTCCAAAGACCCAGGAGGTAATCTTACCATTTACTAACTGATGGCAGGCAGCTTTTGCAACATATGACTTCCTGCCACTTCCGTAAATAGGTGGGGAGTAGATACGCAATACTTAAAAATTGACTAGAAGTTAGAAGTCTTTTTCCATGAGGAAAGGAAAAATAATTTAATCAGTACTCACTGTAAAAATCCAGATCATTGAGTTTTTATATACAAGTTTCAGAATTTTATAACTCATAGTTATAAAAAAAAATAAATATACATTATAAATAAATACATTTATTGATGGTTGGATGTTAATTTACTCATAACTTAATTTTCAATTTTCTTTAATTTCTTTTCCATCCTCATTTTCAGAATTATCTGGATACTTAAAACCTCAGCAAGAATGTGGGGAGGAAATCTATAACAAAATCTCTGCCTAGAACCAGATGAAAGCAGATCTGTCACCATGTAGAACTGTCTGGCTTGCAAAATGGATCAGAGTGGGCACTCAGTGACTGAGGAATCACATTCTACTGAATGTAGGTACTAGTATGATACATGATACATCCCTCACTTGCAAAATTATCCCTAAGGAATCAGTTGAAGAAATGGCTGTAGAATAAAAAATAGGTATAAAGCAGTGGGTTATTCAGTTAACTTGATGTATATGCAAACTTAAAATTGCATTTTGTTGTGATTGGTGTACCTGCTCGCTCAGAATTTGCAATGCCTGACATGAAGATGCTGAGGAACCATTCCAAAGAATACTGGTACATGGGATCCACATTGGACAAATCGGACACACAAAAAAACAGGATCTGTGTGCGGACAGCAACAGGAACATACTGCAGCCGAGTGATATCAATATCTTTTTCCGTTTGTTCTGCTATTGTCACTTTTATCTGTGGAAAGATTAATTACATATTCAGCATGGCAGAGAAAGTTGATAAGGTGCATGTTATATTATCCATGTGCTTTGTACTGCACAGGCTTAGAACGTGTAAGTATTTCTTTGCCAATTTTCTTCATTAATATTTCACTCTGTATTACCTTGCCCAGGTGGCCAAAAGTCTGTTGTGAACCAGAGCTAATTAAGTCAGGTCATCACAGCCAGTCTAATTCTGTCATTCCGAAGGGCAACAGAAGTGCAAGAGCAATCATAAACAGCAAGAAGCTCATTTTCTCTTCCTTATATAAGGGCTAGTGAGCCATTGAAAAGGGTCCCACTTTCAAAAAAAAATTGGGAAACAAAGTAATCAAGTTTGAAAACAGTAAGTGCGGAGCTGAGATAAATGAAGAAACTGTTAACACCAATCTGTGGAGTGCAGTAGAAAGGGAATAATGAGGGAGGGAAGGAATTCCAATTCTGAATTCCTGGGATACCAAAAGGCTCTCTATGATATCTCAATTGATGAGACTTCATTCAATACAACTAAGATACCTGGAGGAAAAAAAGCGTATAACTGTGTTTTCAGAAATTCCATGGAACTTGTGAAATATTTTGAGAAGTGATAGTGGTTTGACAAATAATAACAGTTTTAACAACTTGCATTTGTACCATTGTTTTTCCACCAATATTGCAGTATTTCTCGGAATATCATGGAGATGCTCTTAGAAATACTGTTTCTCCACTATTATCACTGTACTCTGATTAATAACACTATGCTCCAATCCATATCACTGTCTTCATATTGTTAGTGTTCTTCCATTAATGTCACTGCAGATGATGAATTTCATCACTCTTTTATTGATGCACCTTCCCTTCCATTAATATCGTGTCATTTTCACTTATATCACTGCTCTTCTATAAAAGTCTTCAAAGTAATGTCATGGTGCATTCATTACTATCACTATTATTCCAAGACTTTTGCTGTCCTTCCATGAATATCAACAACTTCCATTAATAATATAGTGTATGCATTAATAGGAATGGGTTGAATTTTCCCAGCCAATGACATGTATAACAATGCGTCATTTGGGAAAATATCACGTTTTTGGAAACACTTTCAATGTCAAGAAAAAGAAAGGCCAATTTTCCACCCAAGGTTTGAATGGTAAGACAGGAATCTCACCAGTGAGCACAAGAAGCCTATGTACATGCATCAATAGTACATAATCTCACCTCGTTTATATGCAGTTAGCTATTCTCCCATATGGCAGACAGAAACTACACAATGACAATTCCTGACATGAAAGTCAGAGTGGGTACCCAGCATCCCCAACTCACCTCTGGCTCTTCTGGCCTTCATTTTGGCTAGTTTCTTCACTATTATCACTCTACTCCAATTATTAAAATGATGAAACTTTCTTTGAAAGCTGCATCACATGTAAACAGGGTATTATAGAAGGTGTTTGGCACATTCGCCTTCATTGCTGAGACCGCTAAGTATAGGAGTTGGGACAGCGTGTTGCACTTGTACAGGACGTTGATGAGGCCACTTTTGGAGTACTGTGTACAGGTCTGGTCGCCCTGCTTAAGGAAGGATATTATTAAATTGGGGAGGGTTCAGAAAAGATTTACAAGGATGTTACTCGGACTGAAGAGTTTGAGTTATAAGGAGAGGCTGGATAGGCTGGGACAGTTTTCACTGGAACATATGAGATTGAGGGGTGACCTTACAGAAGTTTATAAAATCATGAGGGGCATAGATAATGTAAATGGCAAAGGTCTTTTCCCTAGGGTGGGTGAATTCGAAACTAGACAGCATATTTTTAAGGTGAGAGGAGAAAGATTTAAAAGGGACCTGAGGGGCAACTTTATCACACAAAGGGTGGTTTGTATATGGAATGACCTGCCAGAGGAAATGGTAGATGCATGAACAGTTACAACATTTAAAAGACATTTAGACAGGTACATGAATAGGAAAAGTTTAGAGGGATATGGGCCTAAAACACAGGCAAATGAGACTAGTTTAGTTGGACTGAAGGGTCTTTTTCCGTGCTGTATGACTCTATGACTAGTTGGTTCCGATATCTCTGGGTACGCTCCATGGGAGGTATCCTGCATGCCTGTCCTCAAAGGTTGGCATCAGACATGTACCAGCTTCATCACATCATCATGATACATAACTAAGCCACTTAAAGTACAGATACTCCAATAGTGTACTTTGGAGTGTATCAACATCTTGCATTATAATGCTGCTGCTGCTAGGCCACTTTGTGCACATGGAAAGGCATCCATCTCATGGATTGGTGCAGGGTACACCTCAGGGCTCTTAGCTTTCTTTCTTAGCATTCAATCACTTTGTGACTATTTGGATACTCACAGCATCTTTGACTTGCCTTGTCTTGCCTTTTTGTACTTTGCCCCCTCATTCTGCGTATAAAGCATGTATGACAACACTGTTCACTGTACTTCGGTACATGTGACAGTAATAAATCAAATCAAAATCAATTCATTGAAAACTTACATGCTCACAGCAATTGTATCTTGCTTTGCCTTTTTGTACAGTCAGAAAGCCAGGCCACCTGTCATGTTTGCCAGCAGTAGTCAGTTAAATGGGTGGACGTAGTGCTGTGCTTTTATGCGATGCCAAAGCATATGCCAGAAGCTTATGTGGCAAACACATTGACTGTGCTTCAATCAAATGGCTGTATCTGAAGTCCAAAGGGATTAGTCCTCAGTCAAGTTGGGGGTGGCTGGCAGGGTAGAAGCTATCTTAATTCGGGGATTCTGGCACTGTATGTCAAGGACATCATCCAATATCAATCCAGGGACTTGAACACAGTAATTTGGGTGTGTGGGCTGTTGAGTTAGATGGTTCATATTACTGCAGTCTGGGAGCTGCACAGAGGTTGGTTGAGATCCAATCTCTCATCAGTTGGAGCTATCTTTCCGAGTACGTGGGTGAGGCGGTGGGGGGGCGTGGGGGGCATAGTGTCTGTTCATTAAAAGTCAAGGAGGGTTATTAGGGGCCAGTTCTGTGGTGGGGAGATAGTAGGAACTGCAGATGCTGGAGAATCTGAGATAACAAGGCGCAGAGCTGGATGAACACAGCAGGCCAAGCAGCATCAGAGGAGCAGGAAAGCTGACGTTTCGGGCCTAGATCCTTCTCTGGTGGGGATGCTGGCTCAATCAATTGTGGGGATTTGAAACAGTGTGCTGGGTTGCAGAGGGGATAATAATTAAGAAGTGGGGGGGGTACAATACAACATATAAGAGTTGGAGACAATACAATGTTGGACTGCAAAGGTTGCTATGGTGGGGTGGGGTTGAGGCTCATTGATAGTCACCACACTAGGTATGATGCAAGGATGGCGCATCAATATGTTCGGCGTAATTAAATCATATTGGGGCACAGGGAAAAAATTGAGGAGATAAATAACAGTTAATTACAAAAGAGTTTGGGGGTAACATAGGAAGATCAAAATCAATGGGATTGACAGGGAGGACAACGTAGAAAGGAGCATGAAGTTTTGTGGGGAGGGAGGTCACCTAGATTGTGAGGCTGAACCTGCTAATTACTCCGTGAAGTACTACCTGTGTTTCCTTCCATCCTCAAACAAATTGCAAGTGCACAAGCAAAATGAAAAATAACTACCACCAGGGTTGAGTGGGTAGATTTTTTTTATTCATTCATGAGATGTGGGCATCATTGGCTGCACCAGCATTTATTTCTTGTCCCTGGGAGTGTATTTTTCTTTCTCTAAGGACGCAAGTTTGCTTATGAGCAAAGAGAAGACCTTTGAATGCAAAAGCATTAAACACACACTCACACAGTACAATGTGAGAGACATCTTATTGCATTATTCTTATGTGGATCTCATGCACTGAACTAATACATGGACTAAAAATCCTGGCCACAGGCAATCTTGAATATTTCATTATAAGTTAATCCTACTAATTGTTGTGAAGCACCAGTAATGTCAGATGATTTATAAAGATTCACCTTAGTTGCAAAGATCACAATCTTCCATGGTTCCATGGCCTGCAGAAGGTGCAGGAACTGCTTACTTCACACCTTAGACTATGAAATGTCTACATCATTATCCTATTTGCACTGCTGCCTTTCTTAGGTAATGTCAGGTGGGTGAAAAATGTTCATGTTTGGTACCATAGGTACAATCTCCTACTGTATGTAAACAGTTTCAGCAGCATATATCTAATTCCAATCAATGATGTCTGAAGTCTATGTAGGGGTATTCCATTGGCCCTTTTGGAGACCTCTATGTCACAATGTTTGGAGGACAGTGTTCAAATGTTATTTATGTGTACTGAGACTGCTCAATGATCACATTACTGAGAAGCTGTTTTGTTTCTGATATTGCCCACGTAGGCTGATTGCAACCAACCCCAGTGGAGCCAGTCACTGAAGTTGTTGGCTCTGTGGCCACTGCATGAAGAGCATTCACATGAAAAATACGTGTCTGGAAACCCAGGACCAACATAATGTTCAGCAAATGTGGAGCAGCCTCCTAAAGGGGACTTTCCAGTCATAGTTGCCTTCATGATGTAGCAAAGATACAGTAGAGCCACAGTTACTTGGATTCCATGGATGCTGTGCAGTTGAGAGATGGGCAGTGATACTATACAGTGTTTAGAGGTGGTGGTCAGAATACCTCGTCATGATGTCCAGTGTACCTCTAATGCCACACTGTCTCCACTGGGATCAACAAGAGCCATAAGATATCTCCTCCACATCAACTATCAAATGGTGTTGACACAGCAATAACCTGCTTACTGATGCTCATTTTGGGTTTTGCCAGGGATGCTCATCTCTTGACCTCATTACAGTCTTTATCCAAACATGGACAAAAGAGCTGAATCGAGGAAGAGAAGTAAGAGTGACTGCTGTTGCCATGAAGGATCAAGTATGGCTTCAAGGAATCCTAGCAAAATTGAAGCCAATGGAATTGGGAGAAATCTCCCCAGTGATTGAAATCATGCAGAGCAGAAAGGAAGACGCTTGTGACTGTCAGAAGCCAATCATCTGAGTTCATTCATATAGCTATAGGAGTTTCTCAGAGTAAGGTCTTCAGTCCAAACTTTAAATAACTCCATTGAGGCCAGTACCCGGTCACCAAGTCACCATTATTTACAAGTGGAGAGTCCTTGATACTGATCCAGCTCCCTCAGAGTCAGCTCTCAGAGTGAACAGGATGTCTTATCTGTCAGCCAGGGCTCCCTGATGGGACCAGATTAACAACCCCAAACAGGTAACTGATATTCTACTTGCCTGATCTCATTATAATCATTACACGAGCATCTTTGTTTTCTTTATCAATGACTTGCCTCCATCGTAAGGTCAAATGTGGTGATTTTCTCTGATGATTGTGCCATGTTTTATGTCACTTGCAACTCATCAGATACTAAAGCATTCTGTGCCAACATGCTGCAAGAACAGAACGCCCAGCATTGGACTGATAAGTGGCAAGTAACATTTGTGCTACATAAGTGCCAAAGACCATCTCCAACAAGACAGAATCTAACCATCTCATCCTGACATTCAATGGCATCATGATCATTGAATACCCCTGGCATTGCCATTCCAGAAACAGAACTGAACCATCCCCAACTGTGGCTACAAAATCTGGTTACAGACTGGGAACTATGTGGCAAGTAAATAATTACCTGACTCCCTGAAGTCTGTCCACTACCTACAAGGCACAAATCAGGAGAGGATGGCATACTGTCCATTGCCTAGATGAATGCAGTTCCAACAGCACTCCATGTTTGATACCATTCAGGCCAAAACAGCTCTCTTGATAAACAATCTATCTACTAACTTAAACATTCATTCCCTCTATCAAATGTACACTTTGGCAGCAGTATGTATTATCTACAAGATGCATTGCAGCAACTCACCAAGGCTCCTGTACAGCACCTCCCAAACCTGACACTTCTACCACCTACAGGGACAAGGGGAGCTTGCGCATGGGAACATCTCCACCTGCAAGTTCTGTCCAAATTACACATTATCCCGACATGGAACTATATTGCTATTCCTTCCCTATTGCAGGATCATAATCCTGGAACTCTCTCACCAGCAGCACTGTGGTTGCACTTGTATTAGATTTACTGCAACAGTTCAGAAAGGTGGCTCCATCTTCTGAAAGACAACTAATGATGAGCAACAATTGCTGGCCTAACCAGCAATGCCCACATCTCATAAAAAAGTTTCAAAATTATAAAAATGAATATATTACACTTTCACTAGTATGAATATCTTTCAATTAGTATCATTGTGCATTTATTGCTATTACTATTCTTCAATTAGTATTACTGTAGTTTCATTGATATCACCACTTTACTATCAATATCATCATCCTTCCATCAATATTACTGCACTTTCATCATTATTTCACCTTTTCATTCATATCTCTGTCCTTCCAGTCATATCTCCACCTTGCCATTCCTATCACCACCCTTTCAGACATATCTCTGCCCTTCCAGTATCACTGTATTTCAATAAATGTTGTGAACTGAATTTAACATTTCTGAATTTTGCTTCAGTTCAACCTATCCACATTCAGAGCAACCTGGATCCAAATTTATAATCATAGAATCCCTAAAGTGTGGACCCCATCGGGTCCACACCGACCCTCTGAAGGACATCCCACCTAGACCCATCCCCTACCCTGTCCCTGTAACTCGCATTTCCTATGGCTAATCCACCTAGCCTGCGCATCTGTGGACTGTGGAAAGAAACCGGAGGACCCGGAGGAAACCCACCCAGACATGGGGAGAATATGCAAACGCCACACAGATAGTCGCTCGAGGATGTAATCAAATCCAGTTCCCTAGCACTGTGAGGCAGCAGTGCTACTCACCAAGCCACCATGCTGCCTTACTTTGGAAATATTTTAGTGTTGGAATTCTAAAAGTACTGGATTTGATTCAGAACAAATGAGGATGAATTTTAATGTTATCATAGAAAACTCTGTATCACCTTGGAAGTCTACTGTTATATCTGTGTGTTCATTTTGTGTGTCACATGCATGTATTATGCTGTGCAACATACCATGTCTGTGTACCACATATTAGTACATATGTGTGTAAAAGCTTTAATGTTTCTCACATTTCATTTGAGAACTGAGGAAATGTTCACCACTAACCAGAGTGAATAACTGATACTAACCTTGATTTCTCCTGCTTTAACTTTAGATGCTTCTAGCACTTTAATTAATTCCACATCATCCACAGGATTGCCCTCAGAGGTGCTCAGGCGCATGAGTATCTGATCCTCTATCTCTTTCAGCTCATTCCTCATTTTAGCATTGCTGACAATCAACTGATTTTTGGCATCTTCCAGATCTGGGCGTTCTTGTGCTACCACACGACCCAGGAGTTGGTCTTCTAGACCGCTGTGACGTTAACATACATTTTAGAAGTTCCATACTAAAATCTAGTGATTTTCTAATTCTAATTACTCTTATTGTACTCTTAAAATCTAGTAATGTTCTACATTTTCACATTAGGAGGCGGAATCAGAAACATAACTATTTTGCTTTCAAAGATATTACATTAATATTAATTTTGTTATGTCATAAAAACAAGTAAACTAATCAAATCAAAGCATGGCAACTGAATTTTTTGGTTAAATATCTTCTTTATGTTTGAAGGGGCTGAAAGACAGAATTCAGATTTGTTCACCAGTATATAAAAATGATGTGAGAAGTGAGATATCCAGGGCTGCTGTCTACAAATGCAGGAAAGGAACTGAATGAGTGTTCCCGATCAATTCTACAAAGCAGATTAACAGTTGAAAGAAATAATTTTCTTAAACTGACAATATCCAGGAGACCTATTCCTGGCCCTTTAAGGATACCCCAACATGGGCAGCCCTCTCCTTCTCCTTACAGTCTCAGCTTGGAAAGGAAGGCTAAATTTGTTAATTGAATAATTGTTTCAGGTGGTGACTCTTAATTGTCTGCTGCTAGTAAAATCTTTTCCACAGTCCTTGGTTGTGGGATCCATGATGTGCCAGTAAAATTCTGGCCAACATCACAGCATGTAACAGTATTCATAAATTAGTGATGCTTCCTATTCCATCCTCAATGCTACTTGAGCAAGAGACAATGGAATACGTAGCAGCAGGGAGTGGAAGGGAGAAAAAAGTAAGAGAGAATGGAAGGCAGGAGGGTGTGACCAGTGGACAGCCTGACAGCAGATGGTTTAGGAAAACAGATCGCAGGCAAAGGAAGCAAAATAATAGTGCAAGTGGCTGGAAGAATCTGTGCATATGGCAGGGATTGATTCCTTTTCCTGTTCGGCAACTGAAGTTAACTGATGTTTCAAATATATCCAAGAGCAGCAATATCATCAACATTACAAAGACCAAGTTATTTACCTTGGAGAAAGTGTGAAGTTAATGAGAGTCACCCTAGTTGATATCTCAGGAGTGTAGTGAGGATTTGGTAGCTTGGTGGTGATGTACATTTTAAAGTCCTCATGATAAGGAATGACAGAATCTCCCAGCTTTATGACGGTACTGCCCTGCTGTTTATAGGTCTGAAAAGCAGAAGAAAAAGCTTTGATGAGGCGCGGACCAAACATCCTTCTCATAAGTTGCTGTTCAAATGTTTGCCCTGTTTAATTTTAACTTTTAGTTGACATGAAATCAATTTCAACAAATATACCCAAGATATCTTGTACAACATTATGAATGGTGGGTGGCAGAATGCAACTGTGTATACACCCAACAGATGTAATTGGTACAAAATTGTACCACCTGTGAGAAAGCACCTATGCAATTATAGCAATTTCCAGTGAAGGAAGGGGAGATTAGATGTCTGTTGTATGTGTTTTACTTTAATGTGACTCCACAGAATGAGACCAATATTCACATGACAATGGAAGTCAAAACTGGACTGCTTCTAAAATAGATGAACAGGTCCTGCCAGTTTATTGTGCAAGTCACACAGCTAAGAAAATGAGCTTCATAGACTCCACATTAATTGAATAGGTAGTATCTTTTGAGATTTTCTTTAGTTATGTGCGGCCAATTCATTTACGTGCCCTGCACAAATCCTGTAATTTGTTTTTTGCATGGCTGCATATGGCAAACTTAAAGGGCCAAAATGTGCATGGCTTGTATACAGACTTTGTATGTTGTACAGCTGCAATTTATAGGAGTCAACTATTCCATCTCAATTTAGGGCATTCTATTTAAGTAACAAATACGTGTAAATGCATTGGCTTATGAACTCAGTATATGTGTTTTGGTGCTGAACTACAAGCAGGCTATTGAATCTGTGGCAATAGTTAATACTGTACAGCTTTTGAATTGGGATTTTCTTTCTTTAAAAACACAAATATCTCATTCAAACTATGAAAACATTCTATCTAGAAGTCAATAGAAAATAATCTTATTGATCAATGAGTATCTTTATTAAAACTGTGGTCTTGTGACCACTTATACACCAGCTACAGCTCCAAGTGAGGGACCTCATGGGCTGGTGGCACATGCTGAAAGATTGCCTCTTATATTCATTATAAATGGACAACCAATAGCTGGAGTGCATGATTTTCTGCTCATGTGTTCTTGGTGAGTAAAACCTTATGTGCTGGGATCATGCGATCAGAACCAGTTTTGCTGAAAAAGAGGCATGCAGTCGAAGATTTTTGTCTTGCACTCAACGGGACAGATGCAAGAATGCTAACTTTGAAAAGAAGCAACAGTTTATGCTGCATGAGAAAGGGGTGCTTAATGGCAGACTTACACAGAAGCCTGTCTTCTCAGGCAAAAAGAACACATCAGACAGTCTCGGATTCTCCAGCATCTGCAGTTCCTACTACATCAGACATTGTGCCTTTTCTGAATTAAACAATAAAGTGTGAAGACAATAGTGCCCTGATGCATTCTCCATGGCAATGCTTCAACCAATTAGACTTGATTAGTTGACCAGCATACTTCTTGCATGCAGTATAAATTATTGCTCCATTTGAAATTTATATTTTTCCACCTGTCCTTTGACAGCCTGCCTTTTTTTCAACAATACTCAAGTTCTGTATTACAAAATGACTTTTCCGCCAGTGTGTATTTGCTGATTTGTTTGTACCATTTTCAACAGTACAGGTTCCAGGGCTGGATCCAGTTCCTCTCCCACATTCTCCATCAGACACGGTTTCCCAAAGCGGATGGCATTCTCCAGACTTCGCAGGAAATCGCGGTCAGTTATCTTGAAAATATCTAATCCTTGATCTCTTTCCTAAAGTGAACGAGGGGTAAATCAAATTATGACCGTTGAGAAGTAGATGCTCTACCTGTTGCTCTCAAATGATTTTGGCCTCACATGACAAAGTGGAGAATTGTAGTGCATGGTATCAATTAGACTTACGTCATACAAACACTCTGAAGATCTCTGCCTATCCTCTCAGAGGATAGCTGAGTGCCTATCAGAGCCTGGAAATTAACGCAAGAGGAATTCATTGAATTCAATTTTGCCCCTTGTCATGCGAGGTTATGAATTTTCAACTGCCACCTTATTTGTACATATCATAATCACTATACAAAAGCAAAATATTGCTGATGCTGGAAATCTGATAGCAGAAAATACTGGAAATGCCCACTGAATCAGGCGGTATCTGTGGTGAGGAAAACTGTGTTTAGTAGGTGGAAAGAGAGATGTGAACACTTCTGTACTCTACACATCCCTACTTCACCTCCTAGTCGCGAATGACTTCAACTACTCCTCCCACTCCTTGGACAACGTGTCCATCCTAGGCCTCCTCCAGTGCCACAACGATGCCACCCGAAGGCTGGAGGAGCAGCACCTCATATTCCGCTTGGGGAACCTTGCAGCCCAATGGTCTCAATGTGGACTTCACAAGCTTCAAAATCTCTCCACCCCGACATCATCCCAAGACCAGCCCAGCTCATCCCCGCCTCTTTGACCTGTCCGTCTTCCCTCCTACCTACTCGCCCCTCCCTCCCAACTGACCAACCTCCATCCCAACTCCCTGCCTACACTCATCTTTACTGGCTCCATCCCCACCTCCTTAACCTCTCCGTCTTCTCTTCACCTGTCTGCTCCTCTATCCACCTTCCATCATCGCCTCCCCCTCTCTCTATTTATCTCAGAGTCCCCCTCCCCTCCCTCATTTCTGAAGAAGGGTTCAGACCCGAAACGTCAGCTTTCCTGCTCCTCTGATGCTGCCTGGCCTGCTGTGTTCATCCAACTCTACACCTTGTTATTTGTACTCTTGCTTTTTGCGGGCTCCCACATGACTTAAGTTAAAATTAAAATTTAAAATGCTGGAGATATGCCAGAGAGACACATAGTCATACAGCAGGGGAAGCTTTTCAGTGGTGAAACCCACCATCAGCAGAAAATGCAGCAATGCAGCATGGGCATGCTTTAAAAGAGATCCAGGATGTGATAACCACTACAAGACCCATGGAGAAACACTAATTAATTTGCTCATGGAGCTCGTTGACTGGCAGAGGCCTGCCCAGCTGGAACTCATCGGCTGAGCCCTCTTGTGGCGCAGTGGCAGTGTCCCTACTCCTGAAGTGAGGTGTGTAATAACATCTCTGAACAGGTTAATTAGGAAAAATAGGTTCAAGTCCCACCTGCTCCAGAGGTGTGTCATCACACCTCTGAACAGGTTGATTAGAAAATATCCAAATCAGAACCAGGAATGGGTCTGCAGAACAGTGTGTCCTGGGTTAGGACTAGACTGTGTACGATATGACTAGTGGCTCTATTTTGGTGTTCAACAATAAACAATGTTCTTTTCCAGTTGGATTTCCTGAGTTATAAACAGGGAGGTGCTCCATCACACCACAACTTTCCTGCCCAATTCCATTGCCATTAGCTTAAGACTTATTGACAGCACAAAAGTGGCATAGGTGTTCTTCAAATTCAACTTTCACTTGAAAGTGCTTCACATTACATTGGTTTCACTTTATTCATGTATACATTCTCATTATTTAGACAGACTAGCTTAATGAGAGTACTAAAATACTGGCATGCCTCCTGATTGACGAGCATCAATAGCTACAGGGGAGTTAAAACGGTTTCTACCACAATAAAAAAAACTATGTTATTGCTTTGAATTCATTTTTAAAAATTTATTCAAGGGATATGGGCATCACTGACTAGGCCAGCATTTATTGCCCATCCCTAATTGCCCAGAGGGCAGTTAAGAGTCACCCGGATTGCTGCGGGTTTGGGAGTTACATGTAGGCCAGACCAGGTATTTCCTTCCCTAAAGGACGTTAGTGAACCAGATGGGTTTTTCCTGACAATTGACAAGTGTCATGATCATCATTAGACTCTTAATTCCAGATTTTTTATTGAATTCAAATTCCACCATCTGCCATGGCAGGATTTGAACACATGTTCCCAGAATTTTACTTGGATCTCTGGATTAATAGTCCAGCGAAAATGCGACAAGGCCATCACGTCCCCCAAGTTCATGTTAGTGTTCAGGGCTGTACACTTTATGGGGCATTTCTGACTTTGTAGGCTCAGTTGGTCCTCCCTTCTTGTAAGGGACATGGTCCAAAATCACTCAGAGCGGGGATAGTTGTAATGTTGTAGGTGAATGCAGAGTTCTGAAAGATGGACTTACATGTGGACAGTACTGAGAACACCCCTTAGGCTCTTCATTTTCCTACCTCACCAACACTCGTCAGGCCTAGGACAACACCACCCCCTCCCCTTCATTCCTTCATGCGCCTGACCCCACTCTCTTTCTTTCCTTGGATCCTCTCCCACTTCTCAAAGACACTGTCCTCACATCACAATTTTCACATCACTGACTTCTTCTTGATGGTTCCGAGTCTTTGCGCAGACTGCCATTCTCTTGTTCCCTTCCTAAGGGATGCTGCTGACCTTGGACACAAATGTACAAAGTTGACAATTGCATGATACCTTTAAGTGACTGTAGATTGGGTTCCACAAGATTCTTATGTGCTGCTGGCTTTATCATGAAGTTAGGATTAGTTAAAGAAGTTTTAATACAATGAGTATTCACGTTAATGCAAATATACTGACGAGTAGGAATTTGCCAATGAACAATGTGATGGCCAACCTTCCACAAACCTGCCTCCGAGTTAATCTCTAAATTTGAACATGATATCACGAAAAAGTGGAATCTCAGCTCCTGCCTAATTAAGTCACCCTGTCCACCACTCTTAGAAGCCCATAAAATTTCCTCAGATGTTCATGGCCTGTGACTTTTCATCAAAAGTTAAAATAAAATGTTTTAACAATAACTCTGTTTCGTTGCCCACAGATGCTGCCAGACCATAGATAGGTTTAGGTGATAAATAGGATGCACTTTTCTAATACTTCCTTCTCAATTTGCTCATGGTGGCATTGGCCCACAGTGGGTTCAGTTCCACAGATACCAGCTTCCCTTTGGTACTGTACATCAGTAAAGTTGCCATTTTTCACTTGTGAGTTCGGGCAGTTTGTTGTGGCTTGCTCAAAATAAATTCCAACAGAGAATGCTAAATTATGAACAAAAGGAGGGCAGTTAGTAAATTGTTTACTCCTCAGTTGATGAGGATCATAAAACCATTACTAGCACCTCAACTGGGACACAAAAGACCAAAAACTGAATCATGTGCCTTTCTATATTTGCACAAAGCTATATATTACTGACTGAGACACTATTAAGTACATCAAACTTTGAAAACAGGATATTCCAAGCTTGTACAACTGTCAGTGAGCAAGCATACTGCCCTTAATTGCCCAGAATGTATAGCCAGCAGGGCTTGCTTCCAGTGTCACAATGACCTCAGGTGCAAATCATACTGTAATTTGTTTCATATGTTACACTCCTTATATGGTGCCAGGCTAACTACTCTTCATTACAGTGTGTGAAGAGCCAAGTTTTTCTGTCAGGCAATGTCTCGCATGGTTTTATTATTGACACTTACCATATTTTTTATCCATTTATTTGCTTGACCTTGTGGATCAATAAATAAGGGCCACCGTTGAGTGTACTGTGTGATTACTCCATTTTCCACTGACAATGCATCTTTAGGAAGACCTGCAATCTGTGAGACAGAAGATATGGTGGTAAATAGCACTTAAATCAAGAATGTGAGGGCATAATGTTAAAAATGGAGTTTGCCATACAGGAGTGAAATCCAGAAGCAGTTTTGTGGGGATTGTGGAAATCTTGAATTCTGTCCCAAAAGACTGCCAATGCTGGGCAATTGAAATTTTCAAGCATGAAATATTTTTACTAAATTGAAATTGAGGTACAAACCAGCCCTCATCCAACTGATGGCTTAACAAGCTCAAAGTGTTGAATAGCCATCTCCTCTTCCCATGTTAGAACACTTATTACTTCAGGAGCATTTACACATCAAAGCAATTTTGGAAAATGCAAATTGTGGTCCCTATTGTTATATGGGCAAGAAATAAAATTTGTGGGTAGGCTTCAATATTACAAGAAGGTAACAAGAATTCGGAAAAGGAGAGGATGGTGGTAGAACTCTGATCAAAGCTCTTTTAAAACAAAAATTCAACAAATAAAACTTCACTGTAAACAAAGTACTCTCACATAAAACCTTAAAACTTTCTCTCACCTTAGGAGACCAACCTCCAGCTGATTCTTTATCCCATTTACATATTCCTTTGCGTTGCTGGACTCCACAGAGCGATCTGATTACAAAATACCTATTGCTAATGTGGTACCAGAAATATGAATGCAAACCCATAAATGGACAGGAACTTAAATACAATATCCTGGTCAACATTTGGCCCCAACCAACACCAAATACAGATTAATTTATCATCATCACACAGGCCTATGTGGGATCTCACTACGCACAAATTAGTTGATGCATATATCTAGGTAACTTCACCAAGTTGTCTATAAACTTTACTTGGTCGGATTTGCAGTTGATCAAACTGTTGTCTTATTAAAATGAATGAAAATAACTGACCTGCCAGGATCGTATCTTCACAGCATCACCCAATGTTGAAATCAGATTGGATTCCTTTGTGTGCGGAAGACCAAGTGTAACAAACTCTGCCAGCCATTCTTCATTCATTGCTGCACGATATTCTCCCTAAAAGTTAATTTGGGACATCCAAAAAACTAAATAGCAATATGGTAAAAACAAGGTCAACCCAAATGGGCTGGAATAACTAACTTACACTGGGAGTTCTTAAACTGTGTAACTGCACTTCTTCAGTAACTCTTAAAACTTGATGGGTGGTTTATCAACTTTTGATCTGCCAAACCTATTAGAATCTCAAACAAAATGAGTTTGTGTGCTCAAAAATGGAGATTAAAAGCCATTTTAATCCTGAATCCCAATGACCATCTGCTTATATCGTGTACCCATTGTTAAGGCTTTTTTTTTAAACAGTGCATTGTGAAATTGAAAGTTAATGCTGTTTAGATTATACACAAAGTAAATATGAGAAGAGCTCCTATGATGTCCCAATGGTTCAAGATATCACAATGATTGAGCAGTGCTCTGTGCAGTATTCTGGGTTAGAGTGACCCTATGTAACAGACAAGCTTTATTTGAAGTGATGTGAATGGTTTTGTACTACTCACCGTGAAAGGACCCAGGTAAGCCACATACCCTCCTGCGATTAGCACATCCCCCACTACATTATTGATCATGTGGTTCAGGTTCTGGATAGTTTCTTGCCAGCGGATTTTCTCATCAGACAGTCCATTTAATAGCTGTGGAAAACGAATTAGAGGGAAAAGGGTAACTTCAAAAAAAAACATGCTATACTCCAGAATAGCAAACTGTCCTCATGAATAACAAACTACAAAATTTTAAATAACTGGCAATATTTATTTTTATGTTTTTATTCAATTTACTTTAGCAACTGGAGAAAATGATTAAATAAATCTGAACATTGATTTTTTTTTCTGTACTTTTCATTCAGTTGCTAAGATTCATTAGGTTAGAAATGATTATTAGTGATATTGGTGAATGAGTGATTGCTTCACACCTTGATAAGACACTCCTGTGCCTTGACAACAATAATTGTTTAAATTAAGCATTCACCTACCAATATTGTTGGTAGTCATTTTTAGCCTTGTGCATTGATTAATCATGAAGAATTATTTGAAAGTTAATATATTAGCTCAGAAGCAAGGAGGGAGTGGGGGTGAGATAGATCTGGTTTGAGGTTGAAAAATCTGGAAGAATGGGTTTCCCACGTGTCCTCCCAAATTTAAAAATCGAATACGGCTATCAGAGGTTGGTTGGCTGTTGAGCAGATAAATCTTTACTGCTAGGCTGCAGCCAGGCTGCACACAAGACAGACAGAGGCTTCTGAGGTCTTCTTGGTTTGTTTGTTTTTCTTATTTCTTTTACTGTGAATGATAGCTACTCAGGAACTTGCAACTCATACCTCACCTAAGTGTATTTCCTTTTCTTGTTACATTATCACTCCCTTTGGTTTTTGTACATTTAGTCATTTAATCAGTCCCACCCTTTATGCTATTAGAGTCCTTTCTTCTTATTCTTGTTCCCACCCTTCTGCCTTTCACTCACTTAAAATCTAGTAGATTTCTAACTTTCTCAGCTGAGATATAAATTACAAACGGAACTTTTTTTCTGGATTTTCTGTAGGCGTCAGGACTCGACTGTCAGACTCGCATGGGGTCAGAACGCCTGCTGAGTGGTGCACAGTCACTCACCCTGATTTTCCTTAAATTGATTAATTAGTGACTATAGGGCTGCCAACAGCAGGCATTCCAGAACTGAAGAAGCAGGAGCCAATCTTCCAGGTTAAGTAAGGGTCCTCACCCTTACTTAATCTGAAAGACTGGCTCCTGCTAGGACTGACTAATACAAAATAGAGAATCGGGATAAATGGGTCAAGTGTATTGTAGCCAGATTTGCTGATGATGTGAAATTTAGTAGAAAAGCAGGCTGAGTGGAGGGTATAAAAAATGTATGAAGGATACAGATAAGTTAAGCAAGTGAGCAAAAATTTGGAGTGTAATGGGAGAAAAATGAAGTTTGTTGGGAAAAATAGGAATGCTGAATATTATTTAAATATTATTTAAATGTCTGCATATATGATTGACAAAAGTCAACATACAGACACAGCAAGAAATAAGGAAGGCAACACATGTTGGCCTTTCATACAAGGGAAATGGAGTATAAAAGTAGGGAAGTCTTTATATAACTGTTGAAGATGAGACCACATTTAAATTCTTGTCTACTGTTTTGGCCTCTTTATTTTAGGAGTGATATTTTTGCATTAGAGGCAGTTCAGAGAAAGTTCACTAAGGTGATTCTTGGAATTAAGTTGCTTTCTTACAAGGGAAGAATTAGTAGATGGGCCTATACTCATTGAAGAGTGAGAGGTGATCTTGCTGGAATATTTGTGGAAAGCTTGGGAAAATTCTTGCTGAGCATCATGCCGCTTGCAGACTGGCATGCTGGTGAGAGAGCTATACTTCCTTTTGACCAGAAGGACTGATAATAAAATGTCAATCAGGCAGTGCCTAGGCAGAACTCTTGGCTACTGACAGCTGCCAACCAACTGGGGCTAACACCACTTGTACGTGGCAGTACCACGGTACATAATGGATAATGACCTGAATGGGTAGAGTCAACATATATAAATGAAAGGGAAATCATGCTTGAGAAACATGCTGAGTTTTTTTGAGAAAATACTAGGAGAGTGGATAAGCTGGAACCAGTGGATGTAGTATATTTGGATTTTCAAATAGATTCTGATAATGTCCCATACAGGAGCTGAATAACCAAAATTAGAGCAGGTGGACTAGTGGGTGATAGGTTGATATGATTGAGGTTTTGTTAAGGGAAAGAAAATGGAGTTGAAATTTATATAAATGAGTCATACTCAGGGCATGGCAGGGTACTACAAGGATCAATGCTTGAGCACCAACTATTGACAATCTCTATCAATGATTTAGATGTCACTTAAATTTGGGGTGCGTGTGTGTGAGTGAAGAGGATTCGGACCGAGTGAGGCAGTAGGCAAGAATGTGGCAGATGGAATAAGTATGAGGTTTCAACTTTGCAAGTAGGAACGGAGATGTAGAGTTTATCTTAAATGGTGAGAGATTGAAAAGTGTTAATGCTTAAAAGGAATTTGGGATCCTTGTTCATAAGTCACTGAAAACTAACATACAGGTGCGCAAGCAAATAGGAAGGTCAAGTGAAATCAGGGATTTGAGTATAAGGTAAACTAGTCATGCTACTTTTTTGTGGAACCTTGGTGAGACCACAACTATGTATTGTGAGCAGTTTTGGTTCACATACCTTAGGCATGATATACTGACCATAGGGGTAGTGCAGAGAAGGTTCAGCAGACTGAGTTGGTGGTACTGTCTGTGACAAGAGATTAAGGAGGTTGGGCTGGTATTCTCAGAATAAAGGGCAAACCATTTGGGACTTGGATGAGGAGGAATGTCTTTACTCAGATGGTAATGGAACTTTCAGATTTTCTACCTCAGAGATGGTGGAAACTGGGTCAATGAGTATGTTCAAAGATCAGTCGATTTCTAGATACTAATGATATCAAGAGGTAGGAGCTAGGCTGGGAAGTGGCACTGAGACAGATGATCAGCTATGATCTAGAACGACAGAGCAGACTTGAGAGCTTGAGAGGCTGAATGGCTTACTCCTTCTCCTATGCTTCAAAGTTTATCGCAGCTTCAGAAAAGCAAAGTTCAGGGATTGGTCAGCAACTCAATCCATAGGTGAGTAATTTGGGAGTGAGGTGGGGAGTTGTGAGTCACTGGTTTGAAAGAAAGAAAGATGAGAGGGGTCAATAGCAAGGAATGAGGGATGGCTACACCCCTTTTGGATGTCCAGTCCCTTCAACAAATGAGTGTCTTTGCTTGAAGGCTTTAGAAGTGACAAGCTGTCTGCATGGTTTTATTTAGCGTGCATGCCGTAGGGTGACCAGCCCACTTGCAAATGGGTTAATACCAGCAACTGTGGGACGAAATCCTTTGTGGTCATTAATTGGCCGCTTAAGGGCACCAATTGCTTGTCTGGGGAAGGTCACCTATTGGCCTTCCTGCTCAGAACTAACTTCCAGTAGAGGTCGGTGCTGAGTATGGTTCAGGGACAGCATCAAACCACCTAATTAAATGCCCTTCCTGTTTCCAATCTAAACACCAGCCAGAGCCAAAGATTCCACCCGTTTTAACTCTATTCTCCTCTTCACAGATGCTGCCTGACCTTCTGATTATTTCCAGCATTTCCTGTATATATTCCAGATTTTCAGCATCTGCAGTATATGTTTTTATAAAAGTAGGGAAGTCTTGCTACAACTTTACACAGCAGTGGTGAGACCACATCTGGAAGACTGTGGTTAGTTTTGGCTCCTTATTTAATCAGGGCTATATCTGCATTGGAGGCAGTTAAGGGAGATTGACTAGATAGATTTATGGGATGAAGGGGTTATCTTCTGTGGAAAAGTTGAGTTTAGAAGAATGAGTGGTGATCTTACTGAAACATACAAGATTCTGAGGAGGCTTGAAAGGGTAGATCCTGAGAGGAAGTTTGCACTCATGGAGGAATCCAGAACTGTGCCAACAGTTTAAAAATGAGCCATCTCCCATATAAGATACTGCTTGAAAATGAGTCATCTCCCATGCAAGATGAAGATAAGGAGAAATTTCTTATCTTAGTGGATCAATAGTCTTTGGATTTCTCTTTTCTAAAAACTGATGTAGGCTGGGTCATTGAATATATTCAAGTTGAGTTAGAATTTTGATATATAGGGGTGTCAAGGGTTATGGGAGGAAGGCAGCAAAAGTGGAGTTAAGACCATTAACAGAATCCACTGCAATAATACTGATTGAGGTGTCAAATAACCTTCTGCTGCTCCTAGTTCTTTTGGTCCTATTTAGTTCTGGTAAAAAAACAAAAGGAGTGTAATTTTGGCTAACAGTAATTTTATAATAATTCAAGCAGAAAAAAAGGTCCAAGAATTTCCTTGAATTCTGTAGAGAACAACAATACCATGAGGTAGAGGCCTTGCGAGGTGTTTATAGAGGTGGATGTAGGTGGTCTTTATAGTTGTGAGATAGAGGATGGAAGTTGAGCTGAGGATGATATGGGACATTGAATTTGAGTGTGATCAGGGTCCACTTGATACAGTGCCTGAGAAGAGAAATAAAATTGAAAGTTTGTCCATGGAGCCAAAGGCAATAGCTTTGATCTTTGAAACGTTTAACAATGTTGGGAAACGGTCTGACACCAGTAAGAGGAGATGTTGGAAGAGATGATGAGCAAGAACTGGATGTCAAGAATGTACATAAGGAATCTTTTGCCATGTCTTTGGATAATGTCACCCTGCAGATATGTCTTGAAGACTGCAAAAGAAATAACATAGGTCCGGGAAGGCAGGCTATGCCTAGAGATGCTTTGCAATGATTGGATATGATGATTTTTACTGTTCAGTATTTAATACCACAGATGCAATCCGGTCTCCACAAATCAAATGTTGTAAGATGGCTGCAAAGAGACCTTAACTGGTCAGGAAACAGCTTAAAAGGATCCATTGGCATCATGGAAGATCAATGCCAAGTAAAGTCCATGGTGAGAATAGTTTCTGGTGAATGTTTTCTCTTACCATTCTTGCCATAGGTCATTATCATTATTTATCATTTACTGCTTGGTGCTGAACAATTAGAATGTCGCAGTTAGTTAAGTTTACATTCTCAAGAATTTGAAGAACCGTTTAAGCACTCAGTTTACTAACAGCAGGTACAAAATAGAAATGCGGTGCTTATTACCTTATCAGCTCTGATTAATCTCTGCTCACACTGTTCACATTTATTTTCTAGCTCTTCTTTCTTTGTTATACAGTCTAGGTATTTTGCTTCAAGAGCAGATATTCCAAGTTCCACATCCTCCAGACGGCTCTTTGCTTCCTCTAGAATCTTCTGAGTTATATCCAGATCTTCCTGAGCTTCACGGAGAGCTTGCTGTGTAAAAAGAAATAAATTAATTATTTGTTAATCTATTACTAGTAAATACTGTGCTTTAGAATTGCACAAATATTTCATTAAAATATACAGCTCATGTATTGTTGAAATATTGCAATGTATCTGGACTAAATCCCACATATGCTACATGGATAATAATAATAAAAATAAACACAAGTCAGTACTCTTACACAAATTGACTTTTCATTTTGTTACGTCACTTTAGTGTAAAGATTATTTAAGACACAAATTATTGTTCAGTTATAATTAGAAGTGCAAATCAGTCCCCTTATCAAGAAGATTCATTACTGAGGCAGAAGTGTAAATACACACTAATGCATTCAGGACATTCACAGCATTATCATTCACTGGTAAGTCAGTAAGTCAACACACTGCTCAATCTGTTACAAAAACAGAAATTGCTAGAAAATCTCAGCAGGTCTGGCAGCATCTGTGGAAAGTAATCAGAGTTAATGTTTTGGGTCCACTGCCCTTCTTCAGAACTGATGGTAGCTAGGAAAATGATGGTTTTTAGGCAGAAGATAGGGTGGGGGGAGGGGCTAAGGAGTAAACTATAGATGGAGATAGAGCACGAGAAGTGAGAAGAACAGACAAAGCAGTGGATAACAGTCAGCCTATACCCTGAAGAAGGGTAATACCCAAAATATTGGCTTCTCCTTTCTTCCAGATGCTGCCTGGCCTGCTGTGTTCTTCCAGCCCCGTTTGTCTATCTTGGATTCCAGCATCTGCAGTATTTTTTTGTCTCTAGCCGTGGAGAATGAATGGATGCTAATGGGGGCTATTAGTGGCTAACAATGGGTAGTGTGTAATAGCAGACCATGTGATAACAAGGCCTAGTGTGTGGGGCAAAAACAAGTTCTGAGGAAGGGTCACCGGACCTGAAATGTTAACTCTGTTTATTCCTTCACTGATGCTGCCAGACCTGCTGAGTTTTTCCAGCAACTTTGTTTTTGTTCCTAGTGTGTGGGGGTTGGGGTAAGGTCAAGGGAGAAGGGCCTCAAGCCCTAAAATTGTTGAACTTGATATTGAATCTAGAAAGCTATAGAGTTCCCAAGCAGAAAATGAGTTGCTGTTCTTCCAGGTTGTGCAGAGCTTTGTTGGAACTCTGCAGCAATCCTGAGACAGAGATGTTGGCCAGGGACCAAGGTGGTATGTTGAAGTGGCAGGCAACTGGAAGCTTCGGTCTTTTTTGCAGACAGAACGTAGGTGTTCTGCAAAGCAGTCACTCAGTCTATGCTTCGTTTCCCCAGTGTAGACGAGACCATGCTGTGAGTAGCAAACGCAGTAGAGTAGATCGTGTGAAGTGCAGGTAAAGTGCTGCTTCACCTGGAAGGTGTGTTTGAGCCCTTGGATACTGAGGAGGGGCAGGCATTACTCCTTCTGTGGTTGCAGGGGAAGGTGTCATGTGGCTGTGGGGGTGATGTTGGGAATGAAGGAGTGGACCAGGGTGTGCTGGAGGGAATGATCCTTGCAGAAGACTCAATATATTATCAAGCCATATGGCCCACCAAAGTATTGGATTCAATTCATGGTTTATGCTGTTAGCAGATTTCAACTGGAACAAAATTTGGTGTTCTACAACAATCCTCAGTTTGCCAAGATTTGGCCAGGCAGATGTAAGAACTCCTCCTTGCGATGATTATCAAATGGGAATTGGATGTAGATGAGATCAAACTTGTCTGTGAAGCTTACCATTTTCAAATAAGCTACCAACTTTAACTCTTTATCCTCATGTATTTAGATGAGGTACCATTTAACAAATGCCACATGTGAAGCAAACCAATAAGTGACTAGTTATCTTCAAGAGTCAAGGAAAGAAGTTGAAGGGGACAAGAATACAAAATGTTTATGTATTATCAATCTATCATTAAGTCTGCCAGAAAAATTTGGAGCACAGCTTTGAAAGTCATGTATTAACAAGTATAAGTACATACCCTCTTAGGTTCCACAGCTTTGGCGATGAAATGGTACTTGTGCATGGCCCGAACCCACTGGCAAATGGAAGTACAGGCTTTTGAAACCTTGGCAATGGCAGCAGGCATGAAGTCTTCATTGTCAATGTATGGTTGGATTGATTTGATTATAGAATCAGGAATGTTGTCCTGGTGAGATACAAGGATTCCTAACAGTTACAGACTATATGAAGAAACAAAAGCCTGGAAATTCATTTGGGTTCTCCAGATCTCCTAGACAAACAATGCCTACAGCTATCTGTGCCTTTTCTGGGTTTTGGAGTGAGGAAGTGATTGTTTAGTAATGGTAGGTAACCATAAGAACGCCAAAGAATCTGAGGGCTGGAGACATATTTAGAAGTTACAGCACACAATTTGGCCCAACTGGTCTGTACTACCATTTATGATTGATACAAGTCTCCCTTCAATTTTACTTCAAGTCATGCTATCAACGAAACCTTCTATTGCTTTCTCCAATTTGTTTAACTATTCCATAAATGCATTTATGTTTTTGTTTCAATTGCTGCTTTCCATAGCAAGTTCCACATTCTAACCACTGCACAGCTATTGAACTTTCTCCTGAATTTCACACTGAATTGATCAATGACTATCTTATATTTAGAATAAGAAGAATGCAGCTTTGATAGCTCAGTGTTGTCCATGAATTGGAAAGAAGAGATGTAAAACTGCTGGATTGACAAAATCTTTTAATGTTCTCATTCAGTTGTTCAGTATTCAATTCCAAATGCCAAAAATAGTGAGGACTTGTTTGTAAGTCATCTCCTATACCCCTAGGGAGTTTACTGTATGGACACACAATAACTACTTGCATTTGTATAGCATCTCTAATGTAAAAGGTGAAGTCACTATAGTCTTATGAACTATTGAGCTGCCCTCTCATTAGAAAGAGAGGCAAGGGGAGGGGTTGAGAAAGAGGACCCTTTGTGATAACCTCAGGTGGTATGGGAATTGAACCTACACTTTTGGCATCACAATTCATTGTAAACCACCTGGCCAGCCAACAGAGCTAACCTATCTAACATAGGAGCTACTTGAATGGATTAGCACATGCTGATCATCAGCATCATTTCCCCCTATAAAGTTGAGTCCAAACTCACACTTTTTGCGAGAGAACTTGTGAAACTGCAAAGGACTGTCCATAATAATTGTTTTAATACCAGACTATAACTCAGTCCTGAACACAATACAGGTGAGTTTTACCTTTATTGTTCACTTGATTTTTTGTATTATGTGTACATGATTCTATCTTTATTCCAAATAAAATACTTAACTATTACCAATTAGTTCTTGTCAAACTTTCCTAGAACTTCATACAAGGAGAGAGAAAAACTTGTTAGGGTTAATTTAAGCCAGGAGCACAACTGTACTGGGTCCTATAGACTGTAGTGAGCCTTAGATGACATCATTTATGTACACTGCATTATGGAATATTACAAAAATGATGGCAAGGTTTGGGGAGTGAATTCTGGAGCTTAGGAGCAGAAGGCAGCTGAAGGCAGAGCTGCAGTATTCCTTAATTAGAATCAGAAAATGGAAGCAATTAATAATTGGGAAGATACAAAAGATCAGAATTGGAAGCTATGATATGCTGGAGGGTTGTAAGGCTAGAAGAGGTGGCAGTGTTGAGGGTATGGCTGGTCAGAGGGTTGTGTGGCGGTAAGAGGTGAAAGGCCATGGACGGATCTGAAAACAAGGATGAGAATTTTAAATTCACATATGAACAGTCAGTACTGTGCGACTATATATCAGCAAGAATCATGGCCTTTGGCAAGAGGGCAGAAAAATAAAATTGAAATAAGACTATAAACTGGAAACTGCTGTAGTTAGCAGGCAAGCAACTAGTGCAACATTGCTCAATCATAGAAACCCTACAGTATGGAAGAAGGCAATTCGGCCCATCAAATCCAGACCAATCATCTGAAGAGGATCTCACCCAGACCCACCTACCTAATCCCTGTAACTCTGCATTTGCCTGTGGCTAATCCACCTAGCTTTCACATCTTTGGACTGTGGGAGGAAACCTGTAGGAAACCCATGCAGAAACAGGGATTTTGATTTATTCAGAATGAAGAAAATACCATGAAGGAAAAGCAGCAGACAACTGCAGTTTCAAAAAAAGATCTGCTTTTAATTTATATTCATATGTTTCTCTATCTTTTCCACATCCCCACATCACATGTTGCATTGCTAATCCTCACAGATTGTTCTGTACAAACTCGGTCATCTGAGGCTGGAATCAAACCTGGGTCCCTGGCAGTGTGAGGCAGCAGTGCAAAGTGCCTCCTAGGGGAGGCAAAGGCCTAGTGGTATTATCACTGGACTGTTAATCCAGACACCCAGATAATGTTCTGGGGACCTGGTTTCGAATCGCGCCATGGCAGATGGTGGAATTTGAATTCAATAAATATCTGGAATTAAGAGTCTAATGATGCCCATGAATCTGTTGTCAATTGTTGGAAAAACCCATCTGGTTCACTAATATCCTTTAGGAAAGGAAATTGTCATCCTTACCTGGTCTGGCCTACATGTGACTCCAGGCCCACAGCAATGTGGTTGACTCTTAACTGCCCTCTGGGCAATTAGGGATGGGCAATAAATGTTGCCTAGCCAGTGACGCCCTCATCCCATGAAGGAATAAAGGAAACATTGAGCCACCATGCGTCCCCTACTGCTAGTTTCTGCTAGTGTCTGTTAGTTTAAATTATGTGGCAGCCCATTTAAACCAAACAGGTTAACACCTCCATTAAAATTACATAGGCTAATCATAAGAACTTGCTGCTAACATTAGCAGTGATTCCCAATCTTTGGTTTTCACCAAGCTGATAATTTTAAACAATTGGTTAAGTTAGGAGTACTGAGCAATTATTATGAATCACTGTACCATCCAATAAAATAAATTTATTCAGAATGAGGAAAATACCATGAAGGAAAAGCACCAGACAACTGCAGTTTCAAAAAAGATCTGCTGTCATTTTGTATTCATATGTTTCTCTATCTTTTCCACAACCACACATCACATGTTGCATTGCTAATCCTCACAGGTTGTTCTGTTGTCTACAGGAATTACAAATTAATGTTTGGCCATGACTAAATATATGAACAATTCACAAATGTGTGGAAAGTAATTTTGTTTCATTTCACTCAACTGTTGGCCTTTTAAATAAACACGGAACTGAAAGTTGGGTGGTAACCTATGAAGCTGCCTGTAGGTTGGAAGCAGTAGTTAATAGAAACATAGAAACTAGGAGCAGGTGTACACCATTTGGCCCTTTGAGCCGGCTTCACCATTCAATATGATCATGGTTGATCTGGTATTGCAGTTACTGCATGGCGCAACTGTCAGTAAAACTGGTTGTTCATTTCCTAAAGAAGAAAATCAGCCAAAAACAAGCTGCCTGAAGAGAAGCAGCAGTTCCTGCTCTCTTCAAGCACAGATTATCTCTTTCTCGTGCTCAAGGTTCCAACTCCTACAATTATATCTTCCATTCTAGACAAACCAGGATTGGAGGAGCAGAAACAGCAGGAAAGAGGAAACTTTTGATTGCTGGAGCTGAAACAGTTACTCTAGCTGGTCTAGCTGCCAGCATTTAGGAGACTTTCAGAGATAACAAAGTGTAGAGCTGGATGAACACAGCAGGCCAGGCAGCATCAGAGGAGCAGGAAAGCTGACGTTTCGGGTCTGGACCCTTCTTCAGAAGTGGGGCAGGGGAAGGGAACTCTGAAATAAATAGAGAAGTTGGGGGAGGTGATGATGGAAGGTGAATAAAGGAGCAGATAAGTGGAGAGAAGACGGACAGGTCAAGGAGGCAGGGATGGAGCCAGTAAATGTGTGTAGGTAGGGAGTTGGGATGGGGGTTGGTCAGTTGTGGGAAGACGGACAGGTCAAGCAGGTGGGGATGAGGCTAGTAGGTAGGAAGTGGGGGTGGGGGTTGGTCAGTGAGGTGGGAGGAGCGGTTAGGTGGGAGAAAAGATGGACGGATCAAGGAGGTGGGAACGAGCTGGGCTGGTTTTGGGATGAGGTCGGGAGTGAGGAGATTTTGAAGCTTGTGAAGTCCACATTGAGACCATTGGGTTGCAGGGCTCCTAAGTGAAATATGAGGTGCTGTTCCAGCAGCCTTTGGGCGGCATCGTTGTGGCACTGGAGGAGGCCTAGGATGGATGTGTCGTCTGAGGAGTGGGAGGGGGTGTTGAAGTGGTTCGCGACTGGGAGGTGCAGTCGTTTGTTATGAACCGACCTTAGGTGTTCCACAAAGTGGTCTCTAAGCCTCCGCTTGGTTTCCCCGATGTAGAGGAGGCGTTTCAGCTGCATTTTCACAATTGCTTTTCAGCATCTTCTACCCAAGAGGTAGAAGTGAAAAATGAAAGAAGACAGTCTTCAGCAGTCATGAAACTGGATCATTCTAAGGAAACCATCACTGCTAATCTATGCTGCTGGTGGAATCAGTGAGAAAATTTGCTTAATGTTTCAGTTGCTCAGACTTGCACCAGGCCAGACACACCTTCGTCTGCCCAAGATCATCTTGGTTACCAAGGAACTGGACAAGTCAAGGAGGTGATGGAATACTCTCCACCTATCTGGAAGAATTCAGCTCCAACAACACTCAAGAAGCTTGACACTATCCAGGGCAAAGCAGCCCACTTGGCACCACATCCACAAACCTTTACTCACTCCATCACTGGCACACAGTAACAGCACTGTGTACCATCTACAAAATGCACTGCAGAAATTCATCCAGGCTCCTTAGGCAGCACCTTCCAAACCCAGGACCATCACCATCCGACAGCACCATGTATACAGGGACACTACCGCCTGCAAGTTCCCTTCCAAGCCAGTCACCATCCTGTCTTGAAAATATATTGCTGGTCCTCCAGTGTAATTGGGTCATAATCCTGGAACTCTTTCTCTAATAGTGGTTCAATAAAACAGCTGACCATCATCTACTCAAGGGAGAAGTTGGGACTGTTTTCTTTGGAGAAGACAACATTTAGAAGAGATTTGATAAAGATACACAAAAAATTAGGAAATGTTGTTTCCATTCGTGGAAGGATTGAGAACAAGAGGGGACAGATTTTAATATATTTGGCAAAAGATGCAAAAGTGACATGAAGAAGAATATTTTCATGCAGTGAGTAGTTAGGATCTGGAATGCACTGCCTGGGAATGTGGTGGAGGCAGGTTCCATCATGACATTTGAGGGTTTCGGTTTATTGTCTTAAAATGAAGGATGTGCATGGCTACTGAGAGAAGGCTGGGGAAAGGGATAAGGTAAATTGTTCCTATGGACAGCCAGCACAGACACAATGGGCCAAATGGCCCACCTTTATGTTCTGTAATAACGTGGTGAATTTGAGACAGAAGTCTTCCTTTAAATAGTTATATAACTCATGTAAAAATATTCTTTGGACATTTTTTCTGATTTTACAACATTTAATCACAGTATTGTTGAGTCTTATTAGATCCTGGGGCTGTGATGTAATTCTGGCATTTGAAGACACAGTTTGTTCCATGCTCTTTTCCTTAAGGTGTGCAACTCCATGACAAAAACATGAAAAAGTAAGGATACATAGATGGATCACTGGACAAAATGGAGATATACTTACAATTACAATGGCAGGGATTGATTTCCCAAACATCACAACAATCAACACAGGTATTTTATTCCTCAAAGGCATCTGTTGTTTCCACTGAGTTCAATGTCCAAGATTCAGTACTTCTGGTCTGTGCTGAATTACCTGAACACTACATTGGTATGATCAGTTTGAATACACCTAAATTGGGCTAATTTTAATCTTAATGGCTCAAAGTTTGTATCCTTTCTATTTTCCTGTATTATTTCCTGTTGGCTCATTCTGTTTTCCTGGTTACAGTTAAGTTACATTCAAGATAAAAAGTAAAAAGAGTCAACAAACAATACCTTATCATATTTGAACAAACTCTCCAAGAACTTGGCTGGGTCTTGCAAAAGTCCTTTTCCAGGTTCCCAATAGTCATCTACTTTAGTGCCTGGTTTTTCTCCTGCGACTTTCTTTGGCTTAATTCCCTTCATAATACAGACTGCTTCAATCACCAACTTCACGCCGACAGGAGGGCGTTGCATACCTCGCACCTGTTATTACAGTAGAAGTAACATTACCTTCACATGCCAAATCTTTTGAAAACACATTGTCATTCTGTTTCCAAAAGAGAAATACTAAAAATACTGTACTGGGAATCTAAAGTGTCATGTTGGACCTGAAAAGCAGGAGGGACTTCCACTTGAGAGTGAGTTAAGTTTTCCTGATTGGGTTCTTCTCAGTTCATTATGAATGTATGCACATGTATATTACCAAATTTTATGGGCAGGAAGATCTGAAGCCTACTGGAATCTTCTGTACTCCAATGTCCAGGTGCCATATTTAAATGCACCCAGACAGCACTTCGCTCTCTGCAACCCAGGAGCATCACAACCTTTGCACATCATCCGACTTGCCCCTGGAGATGTCAGAGACCAGGCAAAAAGTGGCACCATCCCCTAGTTATGCCCCCCTAGATTTTCTCCTAAGGAGATCCATTAGAGAAGGGAAGTTCCTTTTCCTCAGGAAGTTAACAAAAGGCTATCTTAAATTATGAAGGCAGCCTGCACAAACATGTCTGTAGAAGACAGTGCCTGTGGGTGGCTCAAGAGAACCTGCCTTCAGTAACACAACAGGATGAATGATCTGCCATACTCTCCCAGGTTATATACACCATTATTTACTCAATGCTTAGTGCTCCTATGAGTGACAATTAACATTGTAAGTTTGCTATTGCTAACAGCTGAATTAGAGAAGGTTGGGTACCAGGTATTTCCAAGAGACAGCTCAAGTGCAATCAATGTCTGTCAATTGTTTGCAGCTACAAACATAGCACTATTCACACACCCTCAACCTCTGCCAGGATTCACACTTAAATCATTACAGAAGCTACAACACTTAGCAGGCTTGTAAACCATCAGCACAATGACCTTTCAGCACAACCAGAAGAACATACTCTGTACATATGATAGTTTTTCACTAAAACCTTGCATGGAAAAAGACACACCTACAGAAAATGACCTTTTGAGTTGAGTTCCCTTTGAGTTCAGGTCCTCTTGCTTGCCATGGTCAGGTTTGTTGGTGTCAGCCAGTGTAGTTGCCTTGCTTGTGCAGTCTTGTTAGCCTGGTCAGGATTCACCCTGAACTCATGCTGCATGTGCTTCATATCGACAAGCTGGGCTATATATGACTGAAATTTATCATGAACTGATTAACATGGAGAAGTCTTCATCCTTAACTCTAAGCTTTTGTGCAAAGAAACTGGAAGGCACTGAGTAACTGAAGATTTTGTACTCAATGGAGTTGGAGAAAGCAATCTACCCCGCCAGTCCCATGCCTTATATCTCTATCCAATTTGTGAACAGACATGTTTCTCCCTTTTGGCTAACATAATTGTGCCCCTGAACTTAATTCCAGCTATCTGGGATGTTAATAAGTATGACATGCTAATAAATGTAAAACAAAGGTTGGGAAACCTGACCCACCTGAAAAATTCTGAGAATGTAATAAAGAAGTTTAACCCACCATCAGGAAACTGTCTTTTTGCTCACTGCCCAGTTAAATTTCTTTGCCCACTCTTCTATCTGCTCTGGGTGAGTCTGAAAAATTCTGTTTCTCTCCAGTGATGCTGCTTGTCCTGTTGAGCATTTCCAGCATTTTCTCTTCAATTTTAATTGGTGCTTTCATCAAGATGAAGGATGTCAGTGTTGGGAAATGGAATGTTTTGAAATTTCAGTGTTGATATTATGAACAGCAGTTAAATGCAAAATAGAGTTGACCCATTCCACATTAATAATTTACTTCAACTGCAGCTTAAAGCCCAACTCTTCTAAAATCACATTTTTCCAGTCTGCACACTGGCTGTCTTGAGAATACGTTGAATAAGACTGCATTTAATGGTTGTTTCATAACAGGATCTATGCCTGCACAAAACTGAGATGACTTGGAAATCGCTGTTCCTCCAGTGTCACTGGGTCAAAATCCTGGATCTCCTTCCCAAACTGCATTTGTTGGAGTATTTTCAACAAACAGACAGGGATGACTTTCATTCCATCTGTCCAGACTGGAATTAAATCCAAGATCTATGTAATAAAACATTAACATCTAAACCACGTGTCATTCGAATGCTGAGCAATGAATAACTTGAATGATATGAATAAATGCCACAAATTGAGTAATTGCTATGAACCATAGCAATAAGACTTCTCATACCTTATCAGTAAATATATTTAATAAAATAAATACATACTCAAAAGGGTGTTCCAAATATCAGTGATTCTATCATGATTGCATTGACTGTTGTTTTTCTGTTATTGTAAAATTAATGTGAGAAACTGTGCTTTATGATGAACATGATTCTTCATGTCCACCAAAAGATCTTACAATACACTAAAAGTTGAATACACTGTGTCAAACAGATAAGAAACTTGGTTAGAATTTGCAAATGTGCAACTGCAGGGAGACACATTAATAATTAGAGCTGAGTAATTTTAGCAGGCTAAATCTCCAGAAGAGGATGACAGAGAAAGGCATACTCAAAAGATACATAAGAAGGTAAAAGTTGTATTGTGTGCTGCTTTCACATAGACATTTTTGTATCTTTTTCATGCAGTAAATCTAAATGTGTCTATTTAGGCTTTAATAATACCATAAAACATTAAAACTTATGAGAAAAGCACCTAACCTTTCCATGTTAGAAATGTAAGCAGCAACATTCTTCACTACAAATCTCCCACAATCTTAGGTCTCAGATTTGTTGTTCATGGCATACATACTACTTCAATTTGATGAGGGTTGAGGAAGAGTTTGTCAAATTTAATGGATAACGGTAAGAAATCGTATATTGTAGATACATTACATAGAATCACAGAGATATACAGCACGGAAACAGACCCTTCAGTCCAACTCATCTATGCTGACCAGATATCCTGAATAAATCTAGTCCCATTTGGCCCATACCCCTCTAAACCCTTCCTATTCATGTACCCATCCAGATGCCTTTTAAATGTTGTAATTGTAGCAGCCTCCAGTACTTCCTCTGGCAGCTCATTGTATACACACACTACCCTCTGCGTGAAAAACTTACCCCTTAGGTCCCTTTCAAATCTTTCCTCTCTCACCTTAAAGCTCTTTTGGTTTCCTATGCCCTCTTTTGGACTCCCCCACCCCGAGGAAAAGATCTTGTCTATTTACCCTATCCATGCCCCTCATGATTTTACAAACCTCCACAAGGTCACCCCTCAGCCTCTAATGCTCCAGGGAAAAAAGCCCCAGTCTCTTCAGCATCTCCCTATAGCTCAAACACTCCAACCCTGGCAACATTCTTGTAAATCTTTTCTGAACCCTTTCAAGTTTCACAACATCCTTCCTATAGCAGGGAGACCAGAATTACATGCAGTATTCCAATAGTGGCCTAATCGGATCTTCATTGTTTAAAAAAGCATCATTCTTCACAATTTGCAAAACAGAATCAAGTTACCAGGAGGAAGAATTGCAAGCAGCACTGACATTAATGTCATGATATCAATCCTATGGCCTCTTCTCATAGCTCAACATTAAATAATAAGCCTTTGCTCAAGAGGAGTGAAGCCATACACACCAAAGTAAAACAATGAATGTTGACAATACTGAGATCCATAACTCTTTGGCCTTTCATCAAAGGGTACAAGGTTAGGCAAAATGAATGGTGATGAATGAAGAAAATATTGCCAGTCATGCGCTATCCTTCTTCCTAGTATGAGACTCATACCTGGCCTGCTTTCTTGGGAAGACAGTATGAATTCTAATTGGTTAATCTTACAACTGCTTTTGAATGTTAACATCTAGGGCAGAATTGTAATGAACGTTATCTGCTTTCAAAATCAGTACAGAAAAGACCTTTCGGCCCATCAAGTCTGTACTGCAAAAGCTACACTAAATCTACACCGTTCAACCTTCTAGCACCAGGTTATTTCATTTCAAGTGCTCATCTAAGTAGTTTTTAAGGGTTGTGAGGGTTCCTGCCTTAACGATTATCCTAGGCAAAACATTCCAGATTCCCATCGCTTTCTTTGTGAAATATTTTTTCCTCAAATCCTCTCTAAACCATCTACCTTTCACTTAAAATTATGCCACTTATTATTGATCTTCGAATAAGAGGAGTAACTGTTTTGTATTCACTCTATCCATGCCTCTTGCAATCTCATACCACTCTAACAGGTCTTCCCTAAAACCTTCTCTACTTCAAAGAAAACAACCCAAGCTTATCCAGCCTCTCTACATAGCTAAAGTGCTCCATCCCAGGCAACATCTTGGTGAATCTCCTTTGCATCCCCTCCAGTGCAATCACATCCTTCCTATAGTGCGGACAGCAGAACTGCATACAGTACTTCAGCTGTGGCCTAACCATAGTCCTATAAAGCTCGAAACTAACTTCCCTGCTCTCATAATTTATCATTACTTTTGAAAAACTATCAACATAAGATATGCAATTTGCACAATACATCCAGAAATTGTCACTGTACAACGAATCCAATATGGTCTACAAATTCAAAGGGTAATTCTTGCTGAGCTAGCTGTCAGTAATTGCTGTGTACTTTGCTACATGATCATCAATACCCTACTCAGAAAGCATGGAGCATTCATCTTTATTACGAGTGTGACATTATCAATTGGAATTTCACCATTTCAGGATCATTCATTTCATGATAATCTCACCAATTTTTATGTTCTGTCTCTGTGCTGAAGATGGTATTTTGGTTTTGAAAACCTCGGAAAGCCATTCCCTTTTGAACAGGATTTGTGCTCAGTATTTTATTTTTGAAGACACGTATGCTTTTCTTTTGAACATATTCTAAACTTATCAAGAAAACAAAGCTTTGAAATATGAAAGAGAAATGTAACTTGTTACTTGTGACATATGTTAATTCCTTCTGGAATAGCCGCCTTTTTCCCTAACCTCATGCCTGATCCTCCTTGTCACTGCTGAGAAGACTGTAAACTCCCCGTATTCTGCAACCCTGTTCCTACAGCTTTTTATTAAGAATCCCTGACTGGAGATGTTGTGATCGGTCTTTGTTCCCTTTCCAGAGCCTGCTTTGATGATCACCAGTTTTTACAATTTGTCTGGAGCTGGAAGCTGTGGCCAAATAATGAGTTCAGGAGGTCTGGGCTTTGTTCTGGCACAAGGAGGATCCAAGGATTCATGGGTTGTCTGTACATATCCATCAGGAATGGGTTGCTTTGACATCTGGGGATTTGGATGTTGCTGTCCAGTGTGCAGGCAATCATGGGGTATATGTGCATTTTGCTTTCCTGGTGCGTTGCATATGCACATAGCTTACAGGGAATATTGGTCTGAGATGTAGAATATCAAGTCCTGGGGACTTATACTTCAGTCCCATTAATTTCTGCAGCATATCCTTCTTACTGATACTGATTTCCTTTAATTTCCCATTCTTATTTCAAATTCCTTTGACTCTACCTGTAATGAACTCACATTTGTCTTAGTTAATGTTTCTTTTGTACATACCCATAGAAGCTTTCATAGTTCCTTTTCAAGCTTTTGACTAGTTTACTTTCATATTCTACTGCTCTCTTTTTATATCAGTTTCTGTGCTCTGTGCCAAAATCTTCACAATCCTCAGGTTTATTTCTATTTTTGGTAACTTCCATCCCATCTAATTCATCCAAGCACCAATTTCTAGCCAGCTTTCCCACCCCCTACCCTGTGCCACTCCTGCTAGTGATACCCTCTGCCCAGCTTCTCCACCCTCTTGGCCAAGACACAGTGGCTTATTCATTAGCCGCTGAATGCATGCAGCACTAAACTCCCACTTGTTTATCGCCTTTATATATCTACCAAAGTTCCAAAGCTTTTGTTTCTATGCACTTTCAAATAGATTTCAATTGGCAACTTGATTGCCTTAATTTTTTTCTCACTGCAGAGGCCACGCTCTCCACCAATACTGATGGCTGCCCTTTGGAAATCTGGATCTGACACAAAGGTGTCGGACTTCATCAGCCTTCCTAATCCTCTGATGCTGCTTGGCCTGCTGTGTTCATCCAGCTCTACACCTTGTTATCCCAGACTTCTATTCTTACATCTTTTGTCTCAATACTCCACATTATCTCACTCAGGCTGCCTTTGAGCCTATCCATAAAGGGCTCAGATAATTCAGTCTTTGGTAATAATATTAGGTGCAACCTCATGGAGTGCACAAGGAGGAGATCAGAAAACTGGGGGAGCAGCTGGTCCGATGCAAATTGATCATAGGCCACTCTCATGTGCCAACTTTGAAAAGGTACACACTTCTCAGGTTAGGGTAGGTTTAATTCTTCTCAGCAGGATTGGAAATCACGAAACTTCATCTCTGGATGTTAACAAGACTATTAATTAGCCCTTTCTCATTTTGTTATACCAGATGTAAAATAGCAGATTCTCTAGTTGGGTTCTCAACACACTGTTCTACAAAAAAAAACTCATACGCATGCCACGAATTTGTAGATGCAGAAAGGATTTTTCTCTTGCTTGGGCAGTCTACAACCAAGGGATACAGTCTCAGAATAAGGGGCCAGCCATTTCCAACTGTGATGAGGGGAAATCTCTACTTAGAATTGAATCTTTGGAATTCTCTATCCAAGAGGGCTGCGAAAACTCAGTCATTTCTAGAAACATTTCTAGATATGAATGACATCAAGGAATATGGGGATAGCATGGGAAAATAGTATCGATATCATTGATTAGACATGATCTAGAATGGTGGAGCAGACCTGAAATGTTGAATGGCTTACTCCTGCTCCTATGTTCCTATGTTAATATTAACTATATATTGATTGTGTGCAGGCATTGGGCATTAAATAGGGATTCACATGTGCAATTTGAAGTAGACATATGAAACTGTGGTTATTGCATTATGATCTTGTTTGTAATGTAAATAAATGTCTGTAAAAACGTATAAAGATTGGCTCCGTTTCTATCCTTCATCAACTGGCTTTTCCGATTGCAACAAATAACTTCACAAGACCAGATACATGATTCCTAAAAGCTACATAAAATACATAGGGCATATTGGAAGTAACTGGAAGAAAAAGTGCTAAGAGGTTCACCTCTGTCACATCATTTTTGTTCAGGGACTTCAGGCTGGCTAAAGCCGCATCCAAAGCAGGCAATGCCTCATCTAAGTCTTTTTGAGCATCATCAGCAATTGACTGGGCTATATTTGCCTTTGCTGAAGCCTTTGCCTCCTCTTCACTGACGGCCTTTCGTGTTTCTTCTGCAATAGCAGTATCAACCTAGAACACAAGAGGACTATCAGCAACAACACACAAGCAAACTTTTACATGGTTCAGAATTTCAGTAAGTATAGGCATTAGCTGCAACTTGACATTTCTTTCAAAAGAAGTCAATAAAGTTCTCAACAAACTAACAATGGTGTGCAATCTAAGCAACAAATCTCATTAAACTACTATTTTGTACAATGCTGAAAATTAACTAATCATCATACAGACACATTGATATGAATACTGTTTTAATTTGAAGACAACAGCACTGACAGCACAATTTTGGTACAGACATCTGCTATTGTTGAACTATTGAGATTCAGTTGGCATTTTCATTGATTATCATCCAAGTGCATTACATTGAGGAGTTTAGTTGGGCTTGGTTCCTTTAAGAATCTGGAATTCTTTTGCAGTGAATCTATGAATCTCATTGGAAACTCCTTCCTCTTTGTTACATGTTAAGCAACTCAGGATCACCACTGCTGCATTAAAATCCTAGAACTTCCTTCCTAACAACGCTGTGAGCGTACCTACAATACATAAACTGCAGTGGTTCAAGAAGGTAGTTCAGCACACTTTCTCAAAGACAATTGGGATAGAGTCACAGAATCCCTACAATGTGGAAAGAGGCCAATCAGCCCACCAAGTCTCCACAAACCTTCTGAAAGCGACCCATTTATACCCAGCCCACTGTCTAAGAATAACGGGTAAGCCACTCAGGACTGAGATGAAGAAGAATTTCTTCATTCAGAGAGTTGTGAAACTGTGGAATTCTCTACCACATGCAGCTGTTGGGGCCAGTACATTAGATATAATCAAGAGAAAGCTGGATGTGGCCCTTGTAGCTAAAGGGATCAAGGGGTTTGGGGAGAGGGCAGGAATGGGATACTGAGATTACATGATCAGCCATGATTGTATTGAATGGTGTTGCAGGCTTGAAGGGCCGAGTGGCCTATTCCTGCACCCTTTTTTTATGTTTCTGTCCCTGTAACCCCAAACTTACCATGGCTAATCCACCTAGCCTGCATATCCCTGCACTCTACAGACAACCTAGCATGGCCAGTCCACCTAACCTGCACACCTTTGGACTTTGGGAAGAAACCGGAGCACTGGACAGAAACTCACACAGATACAGGGAGAACACGCAAAGTCCACACAGACAGTCACCTAAGGCTGGAATTGAACCCAGGTCCCTGGCACTGTGAGGCAGCAGTGCATAACACTGAGCCACCATATCATCCTTGCCCAGCCTTGCCAGCAATGCCTACATTCTGTGAAAGAATAGAAAATGTATAATACTCCTGTTGCCATCTTTCCATTAGTCTTAAGGTGTCTGTGGCCCTTTTAGCCAGGCATGAATACATTTAAATAAGAATCCTGTGACCTGCATTGAATCTCCAAAGCCAGTTTAAGTGTGTAGTGAGCGGAATGTCTACGCAGGATGCTGATTAGTAAATGTAAAGTTTGGTATACGGTAAGCAGAGGTCCTTTGAGTTAAGGTAAAAGCTTATTTTTGAGGGACTAGGCTGCTGCTCCATATTTTTCCTCCAATTCCATGATCACAGCAATCCCTAGATTACCTTGTTGCTAGTTTGTGTGGCCACTTCTCTGCCTGATAATCTGCAAGCTCAAAGTCAGAGAGTTGCACTGGAGTATCCAATTGGGGCAGAGAATATCTTGACACTAGGTTAATGAGGCTTGATCTCTGAAAAGGGTTGAGCATCTCAACATCTCCACATCTGCCTCAGCTCATTACCTCCAGATTAGATCCTTTCAATGTTTTCCTGGACAACATCAGAACTTTCGCACTCCTTCAACTTAATTTCATCCAAAACTCTGCTGCTGGTACTCTGACATGTAGCAAATTCTGTTTGTCCATAACCTATTTACTTGCTGACCTCCCTTGCCCCTAGTCCACTAACGTCAAGAGTTTAAAATCCTCATTTTTGTAATGTAATCTCTTCATAGCCTTGCTCTCTGCAATCCTCCAAGGAATTTGTCCTCCGATTCTGACTCTTCGCATCGAGGTTTTAATCTCTCAACAGTGGTAGCCACGAATTCATCTGCCAAAGCGTAAACGATTCCATTTTTAAACATATTCACGTTTCTCTCCTCATTTACAAATATCCTTAAGGCATATTCATTTGATTATTTGGCTTTGATCACTATTATAGAGTTTTCTTATGTGGCCCAGTTTGAGACATATTACTTTGTTAAAAGTGGTACTTAAATGAAAGTATTGCTGAAAATGCCAAATTTGAAGCAATATATAAATTATACTGCAGGAGATTAGGGTGCTGATTAGTTGGCACATTGAATCTGATTGGCTGAGGCACTGCTATGGAGAAGGCAACGGGAGAACCATTAGGTTCACAAAGCTCAGATAATTAAAATAAAAGCGCGAAGCTTAAATAAGGGAAAGGGGGGTATGGAGGGGAGAAGCAGTATCAGATCCTGAGGGAATGTGGATGTCGATACTGGGGACAGGTGGGAGTGTCGGGTTCTGTGTGTATCAGTGTTAGGTTCAGGGATGTAAGGAGTTGGCGAGATGTAGTTGAGTGGTAGTGTATGGTAACTTACAGAGTCAGGTTAACAATTACATCACATCTTTAATTGTCTAACCTTTTCTGGGTAATTAGCTACTTAATTGCAGTTAACCCTCCAAATGCTCCATTTGAAACAAATACTTGTGGAGTGTTCCAAGTGCAGAGGAATTGTGCAACAGAACCTTTAATTTCCCTGAGCAATTCCCACGAAGTCTGCTATGTCTGGGCTTCCACAGGGTCCCAATTTACAACTCCCACCAACACTGTAGAAACCACTATCGGATCATCAGAAAATCCAGGCCAATATTTCCTGATATGGATAGGTTTGTATCAGAGATAGTAGGAACTGCAGATGCTGGAGAATCCGAGACAACAAGGTGCAGAGCTGGATGAACACAGCAGGCCAAGCAGCATTGACATGGTCGAGCAGTTTCAAGGCCGAAGAGATTACGAGAGAGTTGCAGTGGGAGAGAGATCCCCTGAGGTTTGTCCGGAGGGAGGAGGGTAACTTCTTCAGGCTAGGCATCCTTAGAAGAGGCTTCGCAGTGGGGTTAAAATTGAATCAGAGATAGTAGGAACTGCAGATGCTGGAGAATCCGAGACAACAAGGTGCCGAGCTGGATTGGCCTGCTGTGTTCATCCAGCTCTGCACCTTGTTGTCTTGGATAGGTTTGTATTTTGTTTATAGTGATTGCTATGACACTATATACATATTGGGGGTTAGTTAACTCAGTTGGCTGAATGGCTGGTTTCTGATGCAGAGTGATATCAACAGTGCAGCTTTAATTCCAGACTCGCTGAGGTTACCATGGATGTCCTGCCTTCTCAACCTTGGCTCTTGTCTGAGGTTTGGTGGTTAGAACCACCACCAGCTTTTTCTATCTAATGAGACAGTGGGACTTTGGTCACTTTATATAACATATATATTTTTATCAGAGGAAAATCATTATCAAACCAAAGAGATACAAGAAAATGGAAACTTCCATTTTCCTCCCAATTTTGGTCCTACTGTGGGACCAACTGTATCTTTTATGTTCTTATTCCTGATATTAAGTTATTTAACTGTTAACCATGTTAATTTCATTGCAGGCTATACAGATGATATTCACTCTGCTGATGGTAGGCACAGTACTTACACTGCATCAAACAGTAACCAAACTATTCATTTAACTCTATTATACTGGTTTATTGCAATGTCCAAACAGAGTTTTGAGCTGACTGTTATTCAAACAGAGGGCTCCCTGCTAAGGGTGTGGAATATGTCTGACACTACCCATTGGCAATCAATGGTCTTGTCAATATTATGCATTATTATGCTGACTGCAAAAGCAGTACTGTCAGGCTATGAGCAAAATTGGTAATAGGAACTGTAACACCACCAGTCAGATTAAAAATTAAACAAAACTGCAAATGTTAGGAAAAAAATTCTGGAAATACAGAACAAGCAAAAAGACTTTATACAATCAAGATTATAAATCAATTGTTGATTAAGCTAAAGATCACATCAATTGAAAATGACTTTGTGGAGAGCAGTTGGTCTATATGTTTCCTCAGCTGGTTTCAATTACTTGCAGAGGTTGAAGGTAATTTTCTAGGTATTCTTCCTTTATTGGCCCTGGGTTTATTCTAGTGCTTATTCCTTATCCTAGGGGATTATTACATGGCTACAGGGAAATGTTTCATTATAATCCTTCAGCCATAACGCTGTGGGGCAAAATCAATAGAACAATGGGCCTTTAGCAGCCTATCAATTTTGCATTCACCCATATTAACCTTTTTAGAAATAAAACCCCATGTCAGCATAGGATACTTTTCTCTTGCAATACAGTAAATTTCTGATCCAACTTTACAGCATATCCCAACATATTAAATTTACTGTACCTTTATTTTTTCCATTGTTGTTACAGTATCTTGGGCTGCTTCTTCTAGAAGGGGTCTCATGGATTCCAACTCTTCCTGCATTTTAGCCACATCCTCTGCAGTGCGCAGAAGCTAAAGCAGAAAAGCAAGGAAAGATTCAGTAAACTTCCACTGAATGGCATTTAAACCTAGAAATGTGTCAGCATGAGCTGTCACTGATCTATGTTGAATGCTTTAGTGTTGAAATGAGCAATTTTACTGAACAATGAAGTAGCCACAAATCTCGAGTATTTCTGAAAAAATGTACATTTTGTTGAAGTTTTTCATCTTGTAGTCATCAAGCCATTTTGCGAGAATACAAATTCAATGGGTAAACCACCATTTACACTGAATGCATAACAATGCCTCTACCAATCAGAATCCACCTGGCAAGTAATCAGCAATCTCCTCTCATGCAGTGTAAGTATTGGTTTCCCCATTGAATTTACATTTGTGAAATGTTCTACGAGTGCAAGACAAATGCTTTGATCAAATGTGATGTTTTCAAGCAATACTCAAGTTCTGTACAACCAAATTGACGTGGGTGCGATGGTCTTCAGTTCATAGGGCACTGGCACCAGTACTGCAGTGGAAGGTAGTGTGGGTCAGGTTCCTTGCGAATCACAGGGCTTTAAACCAATTAGAAGGGAGGAGAGTTTGGGAGAGGAGAAATGTAGGCTTACAAAGCAACAGGATATGGCGTTATTGCAGGGAAGCCATTTGGTTAATGAATCCAGAGTGGGAAAGGAAGGGACAGAGCGTACAAAATAGAAAAATAGCAGTGAATAAGATCAAAAGTCAAAATAGTGGTAAAAACGTAAAATTAATGCATTTTGAATGCATGAAGCATTTGACAGAATAAATTAGCTAACAGCACAAAAAAGTTAATGTGTATAATCTTATAATCATTACAGAGACATAGTTACAAGGATCAGTAAGCTTTGCACAATCAGGTTGAAGACATCACATCTAGAATGAGAAACAGCCTAGTGAGCATATACTTCGGGGACTTTGGAGGCAGTATGGCAATTTGGTGCAGAAGGGAAGAGGTGCTTTTTGGTAACTAGTTTATAAGGTCTTTTTAACAGGATCAGGGCCCCGGCACAAAACAAAGAGTGACATCACAGGAAAACTGTACGTTTATTGATTGGTAATAGCGGCTAATTTGACCATCTATTATAGGTTGCTTTCAGAGTGAAGGTAAATATGAGAAACATTTACAGATTAAAACTAAAAGACCAGTAAGAAATGTTTCAAAAACAAAATAAGAACTAAGTAAATAAAATGGAGATGCAGGGTAAGGTGATATGATGGTCGATGTAGGAGCTGTGGGAATTGTGGGAATATGAATAGCTAGGGGCTAAATTAGAAAGCAGAACCAAAAAGGTAAAAAAATTTCCAGATTACTACTCAAATCACAAACTAATTGGCAAAGAATCTACAAGATTAAAGAAGTAAACATGTGGCTCAAAGATTGGTGTGAGAGAAACGGGTTCAAATTCGTGAGACTGAAAGAGCTGCAGATGTTGTAAATCAAGAGTCACAAAAATTGAATCAGAGATAGTAGGAACTGCAGATGCTGGAAAATCTGAGATAACAAGGTGTAGAGCTGGATGAACACAGCAGGCCAAGCAGCATTTCTGATGAAGGGTCTAGGCCCGAAATGTCAGCCTTCCTGCTCCTATGATGCTGCTTGGCCTGCTGTGTTCATCCAGCTCTACACCTTGTTGTCACAAAAATTGACTCTGCTTTCTCTCTGCAGATGCTGCCAGGCCTGCTGAGCCTTTCCAGCAATTTCTGTTTTTATTTGAATCCATGGGACATTGGCACCAGTACTAGGGAAGGAGGAAGCTATTCAAATGGGATAGGCTCCACCTGAATCATGCTGGAACCAGAGTCTTGGCGAAGCACGGTGGGTAGAACTTTAAGTTAAATATTTTGCGGAGGTTCTGTTGCACAGAAAATGATAAAATCTAATGAAAGAATTAAGATTACAGGTTAATGATGGCGTTGGTTATCACTAGAAAATAAAATGAAGGGACAGAATGGGTGAATGTAATATTGTACCAAAGAACCATAAAAATGTAGGGAAACACAATAATAGAACAAACTTAAAGGCTTATTATCTTAATGCTCGAAGCATTTGGAATGCGTTAAATAAACCGACGGTGCAAATTGAAGTAAATAAATATGATCTTATAGCTATTACGGAAAATGGTTACAAGGAGATCAAAACTGCGAACTTGACATCCCAGGTATATTTGACATTGTGGAGACACAGGAGGGATGGAAAAGGTGTGGTGGGGTAGCACTGTTAATAAGAAATGAAATGAGGACAGTTGTGAGGGATGACCTAGGCTTGGATGTTGTAGAGTGTATTTGGGCAGAAATAAAACAAGCAAGGGAAAGAAGACATTGGTAGAAGTATTGTACAGAACCCCAAAGAGTAGCTACTCTGTAGGACTGGCTATATATCAACAAATTATAGGACAATACAAAAAGAATACAGCAATAATTATGGGTGACTTTAATCTTCATTTTGATTGGGTTAGTTCAATTAGAAAAGGTAACTATGACAACTAATTCATAGAGTGACATTAAACAAAAAACATGAAACTGCAGATGCTGGAGATTAGAAATAAAAACAGAAATTGCTGGGAAACTCAGTAGTTCTGGAAGCAGCTGTGGAGAAAAAGGAGAGTTAACATTTTGGGTTCAGTTCTGAAGAAGAGGCACTGCTTTCTGTCCACAGAGTTTGCTGAGTTTTCCAGCAAGTTCTGCTTTTGTTGTGTTAATTCATAGAGTGCATTAGGGCTAGTTTCCTACAGCAATATTCCATGGAGCTAACCAGGAATCAGGCTATTTTGGATCTGGTAATGGATAATGGGGCAGGTTTAATAAATTACCTCTGAGTAAAAGATCCCCTGCGAAGTAGTGATCACAACATGATAGAATTTAATATTCAGATCACATGAGAAACATGGAAACAACTGTGTTTAACTTAAATAAAGGAAATTACAATGAAACAAGGATAGAGTCAGTCAAAGTGAAGTGAGCAGATAGATTAGCAGGAATGACAGTAAGCAAACAGTAGCAGGCATTTAAGGAAGTAATTCACTCTCAGCAAAAATAAGAAGGAAGGATTCTAAAAGAGGGATAAAGCAACCATGGCTATTCAAGGAAGTTAAGGAAAGTATTAAGTTGAAAGAAAATTCATATAAGGATGCAAAAGTCAGTGATAGCCGTAAAGATTGGGATAAATTGAGAATGAGCAAAAAAACAATAATGAAGACAGAGAAAATAAACTATAGGGCAAACTACTGAGGAATATAAAAAATGACAATAAGAGCTTCTTTAAATATATAAAAAGGAAGAGAAAGGTCAAAGTGGACACAGACTCTTTAGAAAATGAATCTGGGGAGATTTTTTTGAGGAACAAAGAATTGGCAGAGGAGTTAAAGAGATATTTTGCATTAGTCTTTACAGTAGAAGATACTTTGAACATACCATTACTATGAAAGAATGCGGGGAAGGAATTAAGTACCATCACCATCACTAGAGCAGTAGTACAGTGTATTGGACAAACTAATGGGGCTAAAGGCAGATGAGCCACAGCCCTGATGGCTTGCATCATAGGATCCTAAAAGAGGTAGCTACAGAGATTATGGATGCATCAGTTGTAATTTTCCAAAAATCATTGGAGAGGTACCAGAGAACTAGAAACAGCTAATGTGACACCCCTATTCAAAAAGAGAGGGAGGCAAAAAGCAGGTAACTATAGGCCAATTGGCCTAATATTTATTATTAGAAAAATATTGGAATCAATTATTAAGGAAGTAATAGCAGAAATTTGAAATTCATAATCTAATCAAGCAGAGTCAGCATAGCTTTATGAAAGGGGAAACTGTGTCTGACTAACTTATTAGAGTTTTTTGAGGAAATCACAATCAGAGTGGATAGAGGGGAACCAGTAGATATGTTGTATTTGGACTTCCAGAAGACATTTGACATGGACTTCACAAAAAGGTAAGTCATAAGTTCAGAGCCCACAGTTTTGGAGGTAGTATGTTGGCATGCATAGAGAATTGGTTCATGGGCAAGAAACAGCGTGTGGGGATAAGGTGTTCTTTTTCAGGTTGCCGTCCTAGGACTACAGGGGTCCACAGGGATCAGTGCTGAGACTGCAATTGTTTACAATATATATTAATGACTTAAAACAGGTGATTAGGTAGGTTGCGAGAGGGATACGAACAGTTTACAGAGAGATATTGATAGGGTAAATGAATGGGCAAAAAGTTGGCAAGTCAAGTGTAATGTGGGAAAGTGTCAACTTGTGTATTTTGGAAAGGAGAACAAAAGAACAGAATATTTAAATGGAGAAAGGCTGCAGAGAGCTGCATGGAAAGGGACTTGAGGTACTTGTGCATGAAACACAGAAAGCTAGCAGATAGTGCCATTCAAGGTTGAAATAGACTGACTGGGGAAAAGGCAGGAAAGTGAATTTGAGGATTATCAGATCACCCATGATCTCATTCAATGGTGGAGCAGAATTGATGGGCTGAATGGCCTACTTCTTTTCCTATGTCTTACAATCTTGCACTGTTTGTGACCAGATTTTTTGTCTTATACATCATGGAACTAATAATTTACCTGGTTTAAAGCTAGAGGCCCACACCAGCTGGGCCATTGGACAGGGGTCTCAGGCCAATGTGGTATACTGCATCCGCTGTACCCGGTGTGGCTTCCTCTACATCGGGGAAACCAAGCGGAGACTCGGGGACCGCTTTGCAGAACACCTACGCTCGGTTCGCAACAAACAACTGCACCTCCCAGTCGCGAACCATTTCAACTCCCCCTCCCATTCCTCAGACGACATGTCCATCCTGGGCCTCCTGCAGTGCCACAACGATGCCACCCGAAGGTTGCAGGAACAGCAACTCATATTCCGCTTGGGAACCCTGCAGCCCAATGGTATCAATGTGGATTTCACAAGTTTCAAAATCTCCCCTCCCCCTACCGCATCCCAAAACCAGTCCAACTCTTCCCTGCCTCCCTAACCTGTTCTTCCTCCCACCTATCCCCTCCTCCCACCTCAAGCCGCACCTCCATCTCCTACCGACCAACCTCATCCCGCCCCCTTGACCTGTCCGTCCTCCCTGGACTGACCTATCCCCTTCCTAACTCCCTACCTACACTCACGTTTCCTGGCCCCATCCCCGCCTCTTCGACCTGTTTGTTTCCTCTCCACCTATCCTCTCCTCTATCCCTCTTCTATCCGCCTCCCACTCTCTCCCTATTTATTTCAAAACCCCCTTCCTCTCCCCCTTTTCTGATGAAGGGTCTAGGCCCGAAACGTCAGCCTCTCTGCTCCTATGATGCTGCTTGGCCTGCTGTGTTCATCCAGCCCTGCACCTTGTTGTCCCTTATCAGGGTTTCTGTTGTGTCTGGTCTTACACGTCTTCATGCTGGAGTGCAACATCTGAATTAAAAGCTTCACTTGCAGTTGGGGTCCATGGAAGATATACTAGCATGCATTTCTGGGTACCCTCCTGTGTGGCATCCTGCAAGCAAGCATGCTTACTACCAACCTGCTGTGAAGAGCTAACTTAGCAGAAATGATGAAACAAACCTAGAGACTTGCTGTTCTTTGGGACTCTAAAATTACCAAAACCAACCAGCAGAGAGTACCACCTTGTCCAGGCCACCTTTCATCCTGTTTCTGTCAGTTCTTAGCATTTGTATCTTTATATCGATCAGCACAGAGAAGAGGCTAAGCAAGTCCAGATAGCTCTTGGGTGTGATGTAGTTGTATCTGGAAAGCTCTGCCTGATACTGCAGGGATTTCTTTGCGACTGTTTGGTGAATATAGACACACATTTTGACCTTCAGGGAAGAAATGAAGAAAGCTCAGTTTTGCATGCAGATTGACAAAAGAAACTGTAGACCATTATTTTGAAGAGCCTAGCAATTGAAATCTCACCAGTGCAGTCATGATGCCTGGCCTGGATTCGAGCTCTGGCAGCTCCCCTAGGTAAGTATTCGCAACAGACATGAGTGCTTCAGTTGGCCATTCATTAAACCAATCAATGGTACAGCATGTCACAAGAGATGGGAACTGGCGCAGACGAGCCCTGAATATTTCTCCAATTGGACTGAGGACATGAAAACATAGCAGGTTTTGATGAGAATTACTCACAAAAATATCACAAGTAACATTTAGCTATGCAGCATTTTAGTTAATTACACAATCATGGAGTGTGATTTAACCAAATTGTAGATTTGATAGGCTACTTTGAAAACATTCTTGTTTTCTGGCTTAGCTCAATGTCAATACTTATAGAGGTAAAATTCAATCACAAGTTAATACTGCTTGACGGAGAAACATTCCTAGATGCACCTACACCAAGGGGATTGCAATGGTTCACTGTCACCAAAGGCAGCTAATCTCACATCCCATGAAAGAATAAAAACAATAGAAAAGCAACAGAGAAACCCTCAACTCATTGAAAAAAAGTAATGGATTTGCACCTGAAAAGCTGTAATTTGCAAGGCTACAGGTGCTGGTAAGTGGTATTTGAATGGGCAGTTAGTTTATTCAGCCAGTCCAGATACGTGTGCTGAATTGCCTTTGTCTGTGCTGTATCTTTTCTAAGGTTTTCTGGTTCTATGGTGCTTTGGGGAGTTACTCTCATCTTACATTTGGAATTTGGGTCTTTGGTCTATGTTTGGTCGAAGGATATAATTAGTTCTGGAGGTGATTCACCTCAGGAAAACTGAGCATAGGTGGTGAAATTGACTGTTTGGTTTGAATTTGCCCTGCATTTTATGGACATTTTGAACTTTGTCAATTAGATGCAAGTGTTGTACTTATACTGGAACAGTTTGACTTTGGATATGGCTAGTTCCTTTGCAGTCTTGGCTGTATCCAGTGCAGTCAGTCATTCCTTGATATCATATGGAGTGGCATTTGTCATGTCAGGGACCTAAAGAAGAGGTAAAAATGAATCACCTATTGAGCACTTCTGGCTGAAGATGGTTGCAAATGCTTTAATTTTGTATTTTGCACTAACTTGCTGCGTTCTGCCATCATTAAGGAGGATATTCATGGAGTCTCTTCCTGCCCTTAGTTGTTCAATTGTCAACCACCACTCACAACTGGATGTTGCCAGACTGCAGAGTTCTGACCTGATTTTTTTTTAACTTTGGGATCACTTAGCTCTGTCTATAGTGAACTGCTTTTGCTGTTTAACAAACATATACTCATGTTTTGTAGCTCCATGAGGTCCACACCTACTTCTTATGTGCACCTAGCACTGATCCAGGAATGTTCTCCTAGGCAAGTTAGTGAAACCTGTGTTGGTTTCCTGGTTTGATGGCAATAAGGGAGTAAGGGATATGCAAGGCAATAAAATTACTGATTGTGGTGGAGAACAATTCTGTTGCTTCAAGTGCCTCACAATGCCTCATTGATGTGCAATTTTGAGCTGCTAGGTCTGTTTTGAATCAATCCCATTTAGACAAACACAATGGATTGAGACTTTAGTGTGAAGGTGGGACTTCACTTTCATAAAGACTTTCTGGTGGTCACTTCTACTAAGACAGCCATGGACAAATTCATCTGTGACAGGTAGACGAGTGAGGACAAAACCATGTAGTTTTCTTCTCTCATTTTGGTTTCACGCCACTTATCACAGGCTCACTTTGGCAGATAATGTTCTTCAGGACTTGGCCAGTTCAGCCAGTAATGTTCTGCCAAGAAACTCTTGGCAAGGGGTATTGAAGTTCCCCACACAGAGTATACTTGTTATCCTCAGTGCTTTTGTTATCCTCAGTGCATTTGTTATCCTCAGTGCTTTTTTCATGTGGTATTCAACCTCAAGGAATTCTGAATCATCAGTTGAGGGAGACAGTTGGTGGTAATCAGCAGGAAGTTTCCTTGTTTGACCTGATATCCCTTTATGGGATTCAATACCAATGTTGAGGACCCTGAAGAGCATCCCCTCCAAACTCTTATAACACTGTGCTGCCTACTTAATTGGGTTTAATGTGTAAGTGGATGATTTTCCTTAAGAGGACATTAGTGTACCAGGCAGGATTTTCTGCTCCTATGATGCTGCTTGGCCTGCTGTGTTCATCCAGCCCTGCACCTTGTTGTCTAGGATTTTACTACAATCTGGTTTCATAGTTACCAAAGTCAACCTAGCTTTTTATAGCTAGTTAATCAATTGTATTGGGTTCAAATTCCTTTAGCAGCCATAGTGGAATTTGAACTCATATTTCTGCAGCATATGTCCAAGTCTCTGGATTACTATAATCTTACCAGTATGCAACTATTCCATAGTGCAAACAATCCTAGGCATTGTTGATTGTTAGAGAATAGACATTGGCCCTGACACTGCGTACAAGGTGATCCCGAGCTCAAGGGGTCCTCAGCTCTGGCCAGTGCCAATCAACATGGTTGGAATACCCTGAATTATTTTGGGGCCCAATGGAATTAAAGCAGACAGCTGCAAGGATTGCCTTCTTAACCTTGAACAAGTCAGTTTTATTTTCTAAAAGTTCAGTTCATGCACTGCCACCCTAAAATTTCTTCAGCAATTATTCTATTTGAATGTCAGATGTAATTTCATTGCTGTAATATTATTTTGTATATTATACTTCTTTGCTAAACTAAATATTAAAAAGTTTTGTCTAAACACTTTGAACTTATGCCTGTAATATTGTTGAATGAACACAATGCATTTGTTTGAAACCAGCAGTTTTAATGAAAGCAGCACTCTGTATTTTAGAATTTCATTGCAGAATCTTTCCCCTCATCATATATTTCACACAATGGCATCATCAAACACCCTCTCAAACATCTGCTCAGTTTGATTTCTCGGAACAAAAATAATAACAAATTACTGTTCATTCTGTAATTTTTCATATGATCATTTAGTGCTGATGTTACGCTGTTTAATTTTAAAGCCTTTATTTTTGCTGTCATTTTTCTTTATTCACCATCCTATTTGCTCTCGTAAATTCAGTTTTCTATTTTTACGCTTGTATTTTATAAATTATTATTGTTTGTATTTTGCTGTTCCTCTATTTTATTTAACATATAGTTTTAAATATTAATTTTATTGTCTGTTTTTAGACTTGTCTCTCACTTTCCTTTTGACAAGGACCCAAACAATCATAAAATGAAGTCCTTGATTAGCTGAGAGCTTGGTGAAAAGGCTGGTTTTACTGGTTTACAACCAGAAAACTCTCAGAGCATTAACCCTAGGCTTAGTTGCATCACTGAAGTGAAAAGCTTGATTTCTTTTGTTCTTTTTCTGCATGATATTAGACACTAAAGTTGCTTGCTGAGCTCATTAATTAGCTAATTGAGGAGGATCCCTTTAAATAAATTACATCAGTAGGTCCCAAAAAGATGTCATGGCCCGTTTACCACACCAAACACTATTGTTCAGCTGAGACAGTTACTTCTTCTCTGCAAAGCAGGTCAATAACTATCTACTGATCAAAATCTATCTACATTTCTTTGAAGAAACAGCTTGATATCTGCTGGGAAAGTGAATGTATAGAGCTTGACATAATAATGAAAAGAAGAATACAAAAGGTTAATCAGGAGGAATGAACTTGGTTGTCACTCAATGCAGGCATTTTGAAACTTAGTGATGGGAACAATCTGGTTTGGAATTTATAAGCAGGAAAACTTACCTCATGCACAGCACAGTATGAACATTATTGCGTACTCGTTTTGTGTATGCAGCCATCATATTGGCCTTGGTTGGCTGCTGCCCTAGGTCCTGAACAACTGGTTTCATTGCATTGAAGATTTCCTCTTGCTCATCAAAGCTGTATAAATTTGGAACATCTCCTGAATTCAAGATGTTGTTTACATCCTCTAAAAATGATTCATCTTTGATCTGAGGAAAAACAAATGACAAAAGTTGACTTTGTTACCTGTCAAAAGTTGTTTTAAAATCATATTAATAGTTATGACTTTTAAATCCACTTGACTTGAGTTACTATTGAGAAATGAGTTGCTAATATAATTGTATGAATGCTTAAAATTCTCAAATTCAGTACTTGTGCTTTCTATTTTATCAATGATTCTCTGGAGGAATTCAGCAAAGCTCTAGATACGTTCCTAAGATAAAGTTGCATAGATCACTGAAAGTTGCCACGCAGGTTGATAGCATTGTTAAGAAGGCGTACGGTATGTTAGGTTTTATTGGTAGAGGGATTGAGTTTCGGAGCCATGAGGTCATGTTGCAGCTGTACTTGGAGTATTGCGTACAGTTCTGGTCACGTATTATAGGAAGGATGTGGAAGCATTGGAAAGGGTGCAGAGGAGATTTACCAGGATGTTGCCTGGTATGGAGGGAAGGTCTTATGAGGAAAGGCTGAGGGACTTGAGGCTGTTTTCGTTAGAGAGGAGAAGGTTAAGAGATGACTTAATAGAGACATACAAGATGATCAGAGGATTAGATAGGGTGGACAGTGGGAGCCTTTTTCCTCGGATGGTGATGGCTAGCGTGAGGGGACATAGCTTTAAATTGAGGGGTGATAGATATAGGACAGATGTCAGAGGTAGGTTCTTTACTCAGAGAGTAGTAAGGGCGTGGAATGCCCTGCCTGCAAAAGTAGTAGACTCGCCAACTTTAAGGGCATTTAAATGGTCATTGGATAAACATATGGATGATAATGGAATAGTTTAGGTTAGATGGGCTTCAGATTGGTTTCACAGGTCGGCGCAACATCGAGGGCTGAAGGGCCTGTACTGCGCTGTAATGTTCTATGTTCTATGTTCTAAAATACTTTCTACATTTTTGGATAAATTTGGAACCACAAGGTAAGAAGCTGTACAAAGGTAATTTAGTCTTTAACAGATACTAAGCTAGAAATGACTGTTTGCAATTTTTGCTTACCAACACACTAATGTAACTTGTTTCACTGGTGTGTTGAAATACAGACACAAGAGTAAAATCTTCTAGTCAATAACTTTGATTTCGATTAATTATTTAATTAGCCAATCATTCAAGGAGAACTGCTGTTGGGACAATTTTCTCTAATCACATATACTTTGTGTATAATTATATTTATTATAAATAGTCTTTTGTAGCACTGAACCTCATTATTGCTGAAAAAAAGACATTTTATCGAAAACTTTCATCTTGAATTCGTTAGGACAATACCAAAGTGAAGGGAAGGCAACATTTATGCTGTATGAGACAACAGTGCAGATTGTTTGGCAAGTGGGCTCTGATTACTACAGACGCTGCAACGTAGAATGCACCAGTTAGATGATGATGATGATGACCGCAGTCAACTGCCAAGCTTTGTTTAAATTTTAAACAAGGCAGATTGACCCTGATTGGTCAAGGCATTAGCCTGAGAAAGGAACACGAGAAAGGATGTCACTTCTTTTGTTGCTTTGGCCTCCACAGCCCTCTCCAGCAATGAATTCCACAGATTAACCATCCTCTGACTGAAGAAATTCCTTCTCATCTCAGTTCTAAAGAGTCATTCCTTCAATCTAAGGCTGTACCCTTGGGTCCTAGTCTTTCCAATTAGTGGAAACATCTTCTCCACATGGACTTTATCCAGGTCTCTCAGTATTCTATAAGTTTCAGTCAGATCCTCTTGATCCTTCTAAACTCCATTGAGTACAGAACCAGAGTCCTCATCCATTCCTCATGTGACAAGCCCTTTATCCACAGGATCATTCTTGTAAACCTCCATCTAACACCAGCACATTCTTCCTTCGATACAGGGCCAAAAACTGCTCACAATATTCCAAATGCTTTCTGACCACTACATTATACAGCCTTATTAATGCATCTCTGCACTTGTATTCTAGCCCTCTTGAAATGAATGTTAATATTGCATTTGTCTTCCTAACTGCCAGCTGAACCTGCATGTTAACTTTAAGAGAATCATGAACTAGGTCTCTGAAGGCCCTTCGTGTTCAGATTTCCAAAGCCTTTCCCCATTTAGAAAATAGTCTACGTCTCTACTCTTCCTACCAAAGTGTGTAACCTCACACTTTCCCACTTTGTAATCCATCTGCCACTCTTTGCCCACTCTCCTAGCCTGTTCAAGTCTTTCTGTAGCCTCCCCACTTCCTCAACGCGACTTGGCGCTTCAGCTATCTTTGTTTCATCTTAAAACTTAGCAACAATGCCCCGTCCTTCGTTCCGATCATTAATATACAACTTGAATAGTTGTGGTCCCAAGATGGACCCCTATTGGAATTCCAATCGTCATCGGCTGCCATCCTGAAAAAGACCTACGCTCTGTCTTCTACCAGTCAGCCAATTCTCTATCAATGCCAGTACCTTGCCCCTAACACCATGGGCTCTTATTTAGTTAGAGATGGGCAATGAGAAGGGCATGAGTCATGAAGATAACAGGAAGAAGCATTAAGTAGATGGAACAGGTGAAGGAGGAATTGAGGAGTAGGAGAGAGGAGGCAGCAATGGTGGGTAGCAGACAATGAGGGAGGCAAGCAGCAAGGGCAGGAAGAGAAAACAAACAGGGCAGTCCAGTGGTGGAAGGGAGTAAGTATGTGTGGTGAGTACACCCTACGAAATTGCAGGGTCAGTAAATACAGCTGTTGTAGAGAGGTACCTGCGTGTCTACAAAAAGAAAGGTGAGCTGTTGGTACTGTATTCCCGCTTTCATCAGGATCCCTTTGATATCTTCTCTCCATTCTACTGTCCCGTAATTTTTAGCAAGTTCAATTTGAAAACACTCAAATTCAGCCCTGTGAGAAAAAAAATGGATACTTTTAAAAATTACTGAATAGAAGGATTTTTACATTTCTCAGGTTGGCAAATGCACAATTTTGCTTTCAATTAGATTCAAAGGGTTTAACCTTCAGATAGGTTCAGTGAGAGTACATATATAATAATAAATGAGCTGCATAAATACCCTGAGGGAATAGTAGGCTAAGGAGGCTGTGAAATAAATATCTGGCTGATTGTAGACTTAATACTGGCTAGCACCATCCATAAAGATGTCCCAGTATAATCCAAGTTATATCACATGTATAAACTCTGGTTTCTAGGTAGACCTAGATTTTCAAAAGCCCCTTATGTAACATTTGAACTAACATACTTCTGCCTCAGAAAAATTCCATACATTTTCAAGAAAATTAAAGGAGCATCATTAACGTCGTGCTATCCCAAACACCTCATTATAACTACAATGCTAGCAGTATAATAGGATCTTTTCATTACAGACCTAGCTCTGTCACTATGGTGTTTTTGTCTCACTCTGCAGGAGAAAAAAATCCAATAGCTCAATAGTCCATGGAAGGGAATACAGTAAAATAAAAAATGATAAACAGTAAAAGAGAATATTTAAAAAGTATCTTTAGGCTACATTGAGGGCATATGCTGGTTCTAATTACATAACAGTGAAACCTGCAGTCAACTAGGAGCACAAATGTATATTCATGAGACTCTCATTTACTCATTTATTGTTGAGATTTGAACCAAGTCAATGGAGATGAGTTATCAATAAACATCTACCTCTAAGGTAGCAGTGTTGAATGTACAGGTATAAATGCAAGTCTGTTTGTTTTTATAAAGGATTAAGTACTTGAAGGGTTTAAATATTTTCAATGGGCTTTCATGAGTAGGAATGCTTTTGAATGTAATGCAGTTTATAGTACATATTTAATTATTAAATATTTATACTACTTTATTGTATTTCATCTTTTGCCTTAATGGAAATGACAAATTTAGGAAAGTACAAAAGGAAGATTATGGTAAAGTGGAAGTCAGACAAAAGCAATGATTGTGTTAGGCAAAAGGAAAAGATAACGAGATAATAAATAAACAAAAGATGGTTCTAGAGGAGGTACAAGCGAAATCACTGAATCATCACATACAGCTGATGACAGAAGAAAAGTTATTGCCCACCATCTCTTTGTGGCCTCCTATCTCTTAGTATACCAACCCAGCACGGCTTGCTTCTTTCCAAGATCCAGTTGTTCCCTGTATAAACACATCCAGTCAAATACTCACCCAATTGTCCCTCAATTAACATGTAATCATCACCTGTTCCTTTGTCTTAGGCATTCCTGCCAGATCCTACTAGAGCACAACACAATGTTCACTTGATTTCTGCTTTTATCCCTCCCCTATTCACCCAGCATCGTAACATTCTTGTGTTCCATCTCTCTAGTTTTTACATTCAACGTATTATCATTTTGAGTACGTTGATGCCAAAATCAAATATATCTTATGGTATCCTCTCCTTTCAGCATTCCAAAGGGGCTAGTACAACCACAACATCCTGGTCCACTTCTCTACCATTCCAATAGTCCCTTCTCTTTTCACAGCACTTATCTATGCAAGTATGCAATTATCCCTTTAAATCCTCCATTCTCACTATCCAGAAACCTAAACACTTCTTCTAGGTGAAAAAGCTATTCAATTTAGTACATTGTACTTGTTATATGCTTGCTCTATGCTATGGATGCCGAACATAGATTGGATTACTAGTTAGCAGCATATCCCCATTCAGTTTCCAGTTATGACTCTGAGCTTCTAATCGCTAATCATTATAATTTTTTGCCTCACTCGCACTTTAACCTCTCCTTACTCAGCCTCCTACACCATGATGCTTAATATAAATTTAAGCAACAGTATGTTATGTTTCGACTTGCTGAGATATTTGTATCATTGACAGCCACGGATGAGGTGCTGGAAGTCTGGAGGTTAGTTCATGCGGTGCCATTGTTTAAGAAAAGTGGGAAAGAAAAGCCAGGGAACTATAGACCGGTGAGTCTTACGTCAGTGGTGGGTAAATTGTTTGAAGGGAATCTGAGTGACAAGATTTACATGCATTTGGAAAGGCAAGGACTGAATATGGGTTGTGAACATGGCTTTGTGCATACAAATTATGTCTCACTAACTTGATTGAGTTTTTTGAAGAGGTGACAAAGAAGACTGATGAAGGCAGAATGGTAGACATTGTCTGTATGCAAGCATTTGTCCAGGTTCTGCAATGGTTGACTGGTTAGTAAGGTTAGATCACATGGGATGCAGGGTGATCTCGCTAATTGGATACAAAATTCACTTGAAGGTAGGAAACAGAGGGGAGTGCTAGAGGATTGCTTTTCGGGCTTGAGGCCTATAACCAGCGGTGTGCCACAAAGATCAGTGCTGGGTCTACTGCTTTTTGTCATTTATATAAATGATTTGGATGTGAATGTGAGGTATAGCGAGTAAGCTTGCAGATGACATCAAAATAGTTGGTGCAGTGGACAGTGAAGAAGGTTATCTTAGAGTACAATGGGACCTTGATCAGATGGGCCAATGACCCAGGAGTGGCAAATGGAGTTTAATTTAGATAAATGTGAGGTGTTGCACTTTGGTAAGGCAAATCAGGGCAGGACTTATACAGTTTATAGTAGGGAAATGGGAAGTGTTGCCGAAGAAAGAGACCTAGGAGTGCAAGTGCATAGTTCCTTGAAAGTAGAGTCGCAGTCACACAGGGTGGTGACAAAGGTGTTTGGCTCGCTTGATTTCATTGGTCAGAATAGTATAGGAGTATAGGAGTTGGGACATCATATTGTAGCTGTACAATACATTGGTGTGGCCACTTTTAGGATACTGAGTACAATTCTAGTCACTCTACTATAGGAAGGATGTTGTTAAACTTGAGAGGGTGCAGAAAAGATTTACAAGGATATTGCTGAGACTGGAGGGTTTGAATTATAGACTGAATAGGCTGGGGCTTTTTACCGTGGGTGTTGGAGGCTGAGGGGTGCTTTGATAGAGATTTATAAAATCAAGAGGGACATGGGTAGGTTGAATAGCCAAGGTCTTTTTCCTAGGGCGGAAGTGTCCAAAACTAGAGGGCATAGGTTTAAGGTGAGAGTGTAAAAATTTAAAAAGGACCTGAGGGGTAATTTTTTCATGCAGAGGGTGGTGCATGTATGGAACAAGCTGCCAGAGGAAGTGGTGGAGGCAGGAACAATGATCACATTTAAAAGGTATCTGGATGGGTATATGAATAGGAAGAGGTTAGAGGGATATGGGCCAAATGCCGGCAAATGGGACTAGGTCAGATTGGGATATCTGGTCGGCATGGACGACTTGGACCAAACAGTCTGTTTCCATGCTGCATGATTCTATGATTCTATGACTCTATCACTTGGCACTTCACACACTTCTGGACTCAGTACAAGGTTCAAAAATTTCAGATTGGAATCAGTGCCCTCATTTTCTCAAATGGCAGCTTTTGGTAATGGTTCTGCTATTCCCTTTTACAACTCCTCTTGACTCATCATTCCCTTTTAGTTATTTAATCTCTCCTGCCTTCCATCCCATCATTGACATTCCCTTTTTCTCTGTTCCTATCTTGCTCCTTTTCCAGTCTCAATGCTAGCTTAAAAGCTACATTTATAACTTACTCCAATTTTGACAAAAGGTCTGAAATGTCAATTTTGCTCTGGAATTTTCAAGGGTACAGAAAAGATCTCTAGCTTAGCCAAATTGTGGCAAAGCCCCAGTTGCAGAAATCCTGCCTCCAAACACTTTTAGAAGGGAAGAAATCAAGGGTATGTTGTAGTTTGTAATATCATGGTCCATGGAGGCATCTCCAGATTGTAAAATGTAGCTCTCTTCAGAATGGATTTAATTTTAATTAGTAGGATATACAAGTGATAACTTGTAGATTTTAGACATTTGAGGAAAAGTTGGGGCTTCAGTTGGCTTCAAAACAAGAAGCCTCCCAAAGACTTCCCTCCCTGGATTTAATCAGAGGACTGTGGAGTCTCTACCCCAAACCTTTATAATTGATCACATGGCTCGTGCACCTCCAAACTTACCTCTGGTACTCTGTATTAAATTCCACCCAACTAGTCGCTCCTTTACTTAAGATTCTCAGGTTAAAAATATATCTAACATTTATAATCAACCTGTTTAGAGATGTCACTACATACCACTGGAGCAACTGTGACTTGAACCCAGGCTTCCTGGCTCAGAAGTAGGGACACTACCATTGTGCCATAAGAGACTTTGCAAAGAAACAGGCTTTGATTTAATGATTCATCTGGAAGTCAGGCTCTCCAGCAGAGCAACAACATGGCAGTATCAGCCTGAATTCTGTGTTCAAATCTCTGGAGCAGCACAGTGTTTAGCACCTCCTGCCTCACAGCACCAGGGACCTGCGTTTGATTCTCGCCTTGGGCGACTGTCTGTGTGGAGTTTGCATGTTCTCCTGATGATTGTGTGGATTTTCACCAAGTGCTCCGGTTTCCTCCCACAGTCCAAAAATGTGCAGGTTAGGTGGGGTAGCCATGCTAAATTGCCCATAGTGTCCAGGGATGTGCAGGCTAGGTGGGATGGTAAATGTGGGATTATGGGGGATAGAGTGGGGTGGGTAGGCCTGGGTTGGATGCTCTTAGGAGGGTCAGTGCAGATTTGATGGGTCAAATGGCCTCTCCTTGCACTATAGGGATTCTGAATGGGACATGAATCTACTGTCTTGAGGCTACAGTTAACTGAATTAATAACTGAGCCACAACTAGAAACCATTTCAAATTTGTAGTTTCGTAGAATGCCACTGTTCAGTTTGTGTAAAATAACAAACAGTCCAAAAGTATAACTTCGCCTGTTTAAAGAAATTACATAAAAGACTATAGTTTATTGCTAGTGGGTAGATATAACATATTCCTACTTACATATGTGATGCTAATCTTGTTAGGGACTGTCTGCCACTACCCCCAACTCCCAGTAGCAGAGCATTGCCCATTGGTTGCCGAAGAATCCTGCTGATTCTACAAATATGTTGGATGGCATCCATGAAGAGAACAATCTTCAGCTTGCTAGTGCTTGTCTGATTGAAGTCATCCATGTATTCCTCAATAACATGCACCAACTGCGAGGACCAAAGAGAAACTTTGATTATACTGTGTCTTCTTTAGTTTATGAATTAGATAAGAGACATATAGCAATTATACAATTGTCAAAAAAGTTTGTCTTCATGTGGCTAACTTCAGCACTATTGCTTAAATTGCTCTTGCAGTTGAACATATCAACATTGTTGCGTGATTTGCAAATTGAACTGACTGACTTAGGCAGGTCTTTTCTGTGTCCTATGAGCCATGTAATTTTGGAGGGTGTGGAGGCTGGGGGACAGAGGTGATACAACTAAAAAAAACTTAATCGACATCAGTAGAAGATATAGGCCCAAAGATTCATTTCTTCTGCTGCTTGAGAATGTCCTGTTCCCATGTGCTTAGAGAGAAAGAGACAAAGGCACATAATGTCAGATTAGTGGCCCTCTTTCATTCTGTCATAGAATTTTCAAATTAGGTAGAGGGGCTAAGCACTTGGACCCATAACTGGTGCAAATATTATAATAGCCTTGAAATGATGTGAATAGGACCCAACTGCAACTTCGATCCAAAGACCCTGTTAAGTAATCCCACAGATGATCATGTATCAGTCTGAAGATGTCAAGGTCAACTAGGTCCATAAAAGGTAACTGGTGTTCTTTTCTTCAGAGGCTCATTGGGTCCTCAGGTCTGGAGACATTTCAGATGCTGTTTTGGACAACTGCCAGAATGTCTGCTGCAGTAGCTATTCCCTTCAGGCTTAAATCTCTGGCAGGGGTTGGTCCTCACTAGTAACCTAAATGTGCACATCAAAGGAGGCTTTGGTCGGGCACCGTACACTTTGGATGTGCTGCATGCCACATATACCTCAGCGCTGGTAAGAAACAAATCTACGGTTCTTGAGTCAATTTGTAGCTTGGGTCGTGGATGCTGTGGTTGGTTCGCTCACCGAGCTGGTTCATTAGTTTGCAGATGTTTCATTACCCTGTTCGGTAACATCGTCAGTGTAGCCTCCGATGAAGCACTGTTGTGTTTTTCTGCCTGGTAATTAAACTCTGGGGTCCATTAGAGTTGATTACCTCATTTCCGGTTTTTCTTTGCAGTGGTGTATATATCGGGGCTAATTTGACACTTTTACTGATGGCCTTCTTGGTGGAGAACCAGGCCTCTAGAAATTCCCGTGCTTGTCTCTGTTTGACCTGTCCTAGGATCTTGATGTTGTCCCAATCGAACTGGTGGTTCTCCTTGTCTGTGTGAATGGAACACTGGTTGTGCCTTTTTGATGCTAGTTGGTGTTCAGGTATCCTTGTGGCCAGTTTCCTTCCTGTCTGTCTAATGTAATGTTTGTCGCAGTCCTTGCATGGAATCTTCTATATCACGTTGGTTCTGTCCATAGTGGGTAAGGGGTCTTTGGTTTGAGTTAGCAGTTGGTGTAGGGTTGACATAGGTCTGTGCGCCACTCTGATGCCCAATGGTCTTAGGAGTCTTGTGGTCAGTTCGGTAATGCTCTTGATGTATGGTAATGTGACGAGTGTGTCAGGGCGTATTGTATCTTCCTGCTGTTGTTTGTGTGACAGGCATCGTCGGACCCAGCTGTTCGGGTATCTGTTGTCCTTAAATACTTGGTAGAGGTATGCTTCTTCGTTTGGCATAGTTCCGGGTTGCTGCAGTGTATTGTCGCTCGTTTAAATAGTGTTTTCACGCAGCTTTGTTTGTGGGTGTTGGCATGGTTACTGTTGCAATTCAGGACTTGATCCATGTGTGTGGCCTTTCTGTGTACCTTCATCAGAAATTCCCTGTTGGCCCTACGTTCTACCATGACATCCAAGAATGGGAGCTGTTCATTCTTTTCTTCTTCCCTGGTGAATTTGATGCCAGTGAGAGTGTTGTTTATTAGTTGACGTGTCTCCTTTAATTTAGTCCGTTTGATGATGATGAAAGTGTCATCCACATATCGGATCCATAGTTTAGATTGGATCTGTGGAAGGGCCATGCTTTCGAGTCTCTGCATCACTGTTTCTGCTTTTAGTCTGGTGATAGGTGATCCCACGGATGTCCCGTTGATTTGTTCATAGATTTGGCCATTAAAGGTAAAGTGAGTCGTGAGACATAAGTCCAGCAATTTCAGTATGTTGGCTGTGGAGATGGTGTCACTTGGGTCTCATTCTTTAAGTAGTGTTGCTAGTGTTTCTCTTGCCAGTGGTATGTCAATCGAAGTGAATCGGGTGGTAATGTCAAAGGACACCATGGTCTCATCCTCGTCTATTCTTAAGTCTTTGAGGAACTCCTGGGCTGAGTGGATTGAGTGGGGTGACTTGCTGACAAGGTGCTTTAGGCTTCGTTGTAATTCCTTGGCTAACTTGTGTGTTGGTATGCCTGGGAAAGAAACTATGGATCTGAGGGGTTCTTCCAGGTTGTGCATCTTTGGAAGGCTGTAGAATTGGCGGCTGTTTGTCTCTTCAGGTTTCATTTTTAGGTAATCTGCTTTGATTTGTCTGGTCTCGTTAGTGTGTTGATTATTTTAATACCCAGTTGCAGTGTTGGATCTATTTGCACTTTCCAGTATGTATTCGTGTCTGCTAGTAGCATCTGTGCTTTAGTGAGGTAATCCTATTTGGTTAGTATTACTGTCATGTGCCCTTTGTCTGCTGGTAGGATTATGCTGGCCAGAAGAATACATGAACACCAACCAATACTCACTCGTCTCTATTCACACGGATAAGGAGAACCTCCAGTTCGATTGGGACAACATCAAGATCCTAGGACAGGTCAAACAGAGACCAGCATGGGAATTTCTAGAGGCCTGGTTCTCCACCAAGAAGGCCATCAATAAAACACGTCGAAGTAGACCCTATATATGCACCACTGCGAAGAAAAACCGGAAATGAGGTAATCAACTCTAACGGACACCAGAGTTTAAATACCAGGGTGAGAAAACACAACAGCACATCATTGGAGGCTGCACCAATGATGTTACCCAGCGGGGCAATGAAACGTCTGTGAACTAACAAACCAGCTCAGTGAGCGAACCAATCACAAGAAACTAATATCAGGGCTATGTATTTTGTCATGAATCATAAGCTGTGCTGTAACTGATGCATTCTGCTGAGATAATTACTCTTGGTATCATTAACAGAATCTGACATCTTGCCTTTTAGCTAAATCTACCACCTCTCATGGCTGCTTTCCAGTAATATTTAGTGCATGTACTAGTGTTAGAAGGACATGATTGAACTAGGAGTATTGTATCTGATAGTCAGCACTCATCTATGCTCACGTAAATACAACTGATCTATGTAGAATTAATGTCTTTGGGTGCTTCGGTGATCTCAGCACGTAATCCAGCAGATCAACTATATTTATGGGTCCAAACAGTGAGAGATGACAAGATAATTGACTCTGTAAATGTTCAATCACAATCTCACCCACTGGAACTCTTTTTAGTAGAACTGACTGGATAGATTTAAGAATTCAGAACTCTTCTTGCTCCTTCCTAGATGAACAGTGTTGGCTATTTCTCATGGCCCACTATCATCTTGCTGATGTCAACTAATGCAACACAATCTGGGCTTGAGATCATGTTTTGTTGGGCTCTGTTCCTCACTGGAAGATTCAGTTTATGAGTGGTATTATCAGAACTATGCCTGAAAAGGCCAATCCAAAAGACAACAGTTATGAAGTTGGTTTGTAAGAAAATCACCACAATTTAGAACTGACAAAATTGGAGCTTGAGTCTAATTTTCCTCATGTAGCTAAATAGCAGTCCTAATCTTATGGCACATATCTTATTTGATAGGGATAATGCAGAACTTCGCTTCTTGTTCCTAGGCAGAGTTCATTTGTGTTCTACCAACTGACAACGAAGTATTAACTACAGCAATAGTTTAAGCACAGAGTACAAACTCACCTTCTCCATGTTGTCAATAAATTGGTAGATCCTGGTTTCTGATCCAATTGCCATAAAGTCCCCATAAAGAACAGGCAGTTGTGGGGCAACTTCTTCAAAACTTGTGCCCAATTCTGAAAGCATACTGTGTGTCAGATATTCGAACCAGTTGCGGTCAGTGTCATTTACCAGTCTGTCTTTGAACACACGGCAGCTCTCATGGTACCACAGTCTCAGCAACAGAACTTTTGTCTAAAATAAAAAATGAACGAATAAGAAGACAGTACAAAACACAGAGCATGTGTCCCAGTCACACAGTGAGCTTCAAGGAATTAATGATCTCCTTAGGAAAATTAATGAGGGCCTTTTCATTTTGTGTATTTCATGTGCTGTGATCATTGGTAAAAGGAGTTAGGTCATGTAATGTGTTTTGCACATGTAAGACATATTTAAAAACTTGAGTTTAGGGGTTCACTCAGACATGAGGTATCAAGCATTTTATGAACTCCAATCATAGTAGATCTATCTATCTCCTGATGTCAAGCCCACCTTTAAGTGCGAGCCTAATTTGATCACAGAGGCTGAGAAGATTATTTAGAACATAGAACAGTACAGCACAGTACAGGCCCTTCAGCCCACGATGTTGTGCCGAACTTTTACCCTAATCCTAAGGTCTATCTAACCTCCACCCCTACCTTATACTATCATCCATATGTTTATCTAACAGCCGCTTAAATGCCCCTAATGAGGCCAACTCCACTACCCTCTCCAGCAATGCATTCCACGCCCCTACTACTCTGAGTAAAGAACCTACCTCTGACGTCTCCCCTGTATCTACCTCCACTCACTTTAAAACTATCCCCCCTCGTAATAGCTACCTCCACCCTAGGAAAAAGTCTCTGGCTGTCCACTCTATCTATACCTCTGATCATTTTGTACACCTCTATCAAGTCACCTCTCATCCTTCCTCGTTCTAAAGAGAAAAGCCCTAGCTCTCTCAACCTTTCCTCGTAAGACCTTCCCTCCATTCCAGGCAACATCCTGGTAAATCTCCTCTGCACCTTTTCCAACGCTTCCACATCTTTCCTGTAATGAGGTGACCAGAACTGGACACAACGCTCCAGTGGCCAAACCTGGCTTTTGCATAGCTGGAGCATAACTTCACGGCACTTGAGCTCAATCCCTCTATTAATGAAAGCTAACACACCATACGCCTTCTTAACAAATCTATCCACCTGGGTGGCAGCATTCAGGGAACTGTGAACATGAACCCCAAGATCCCTCTGCTCCTCCACACTGCCAAGAATCTTTCCGTTAACCCTGTATTCTGCTTTCAAGTTTGTCCTTCCAAAATGAGTCACCTCACACTTTTCAGGGTTAAATTCCATCTGCCACTTCTCAGCCCAGCTCTGCATCCTGTCAATGTACCTTTGTAACCTAGAACAGCCCTCCGCACTGTCCACAACGTGACCCACCTTTGTATCGTCCGCGAACTTGCTAATCCACCCTTCCACTCCTTCATCCAAATCACTTGCAAAAATCACAAATAGAAGATGACCCAGAACAGATCCTTGTGGTACACCACTTGTAACTGAGCACCATGTTGAATATTTTCCATCCACTACCACCCTTTGTCTTCTAAGGGTCAGCCAATTCTGAATCCAATCTGCCACATTTCCCCCTATCCCATACCTCCTTACCTTCTGCATGAGCCTACCGTGGGGAACCTTATCGAACGCCTTACTTAAATCCATGTATACCACATCCACTGCTCTACCTTCATCCACGTGTTTGGTCACCTCTTCAAAGAATTCAATAAGGTTTGTGAGGCATGATCTACCCCTCACAAATCCATTCTGACTATCACGAATCAAACTGTGCCTTTCCAAGTGATCATAAATCCTATCTCTTAGAGCCCTTTCCAATAATTTGCCCACCACTGATGTAAGACTAACTGGCCTGTAATTTCTGGGGTTATCCCTATTCCCTTTTTTGAACAAGGGAATGACGTTTGCCTCTCTCCAATCTTCCGGCACTATACCCATGGACAGTGAGGATGAAAAAATCATTGCCAAAGGCCCTGCGATCTCTTCCCTAGCTTCCCACAGAATCCTTGGATAAATCCCATCAGGCCCGGGGGACTTATCTATCTTCAACTTCCTCAAAATTCCTAGCACATCTTCCTTACTAACATCGACCTTCTCTAGCCTACTGGCCTGTTTCACACTGTCCTCCTCTACAACTAGGTCCCTCTCAGTTGTGAATACCGAAGAAAAGTATTCATTAAAGACCTCTCCTATCTCTTTAGGCTCCATGCACAAATTCCCTTTACAATCCTTGATCAGCCCTACCCTTTCTCTGGTCGTTCTCTTATTCCTCACGTACGTGTAAAAAGCCTTGAAGTTTTCCTTGATCCTATCTGCCAAGGTTTTCTCATGGCACCTTATAGCTCTTCTAAGCTCTTTCTTCAGCTCCTTCCTGGATAACTTGTATCCCTCTCGAGGCTTTTCCGTTCCTTGTTTCCTAAATCTTACATAAGCATCCTTCTTCCTCTTAACCAGTCGTTCGACCTCTCTTGAGAACCAAGGCTCCCTCACTCGACCGCATCTTCCCTGCCTGCTAGGGACAAACATATCGAGCACACGCAGTATGCATTCCTTAAACAATCTCCACATTTCAATAGTGCTCTTCCCTGACAGCATCTGTTCCCAATTTATGTTACCCAGTTCTTGCCTAACAGAATTATAATTACCCTTTCCCCAATTATAAACCTTACCCTGCTGTATGTACCTATCCTTTTCCGTGACTATTGTAAAAGTAACAGAGTTATGATCACTACTGCAAAAATGCTCTCCTACCAACAGGTCCAACACTTCGCCCAATTCATTGCCAAGCACCAAATCCAAAGTGGCCTCTCCTCATGTTGGTCTATCTACATACTGTGTCAGGAATCCTTCCTGAACGCCCTGGACAAAATCCGCTCCATCTAAACTATTACAACTAAAATGTTTCCAATCAATATTTGGAAAGTTGAAGTCACCCATGACTACAACCCTGTGACTTCTGCACCTTTCCAGTATCTGCCTCCCAATCCGCTCCTTTACTTCTCTGCAACTGTTTAAATTTAATTTAAATAATACTGGTGAGCATCCCTGTCATGATGAGCACATCTCAGGCTCCTGCCAGGTGGTTTGCCTTTGAAAGGCCTGATTTCCTAAGTGGTTCTCACTTATATCAGGCAAGAGACTGGTGCATTACTTCTACCACCTAACCCCACCTCCCAACCATGTACTGGCTATTTGGCATTAACCCAGGTAAGCTTCCAGAAAATTCTCGGTTCAAGCAACTCCCCTTCCTGGTGACACTCCTTCTAGAGTCAGAGGCCATGCTTAGGAAGGATGAAAGTTTCAACAATTATTCTGAAGGTAGGGAACAGATTTGCATTGTGTGATACATGAAGTGCTGTTTCTAAAATCTCAATTGTATACTCAAGAACAATTTTAGTGGTAGCAATGAGCTTCATTGCACTTGCACTATACATCTGCTCTACTCTATATTGTCATTCAAATAAAATGGCACAGGAAGGAGTGCATCATGAGAGCTATCAGGGAAGGAGGCTTTGAAGTCTATGATTCTGTGTTAGTGGACGGTATAAAATCCTTTTGGATTACATACCGTTGCCTAAAGAAGTTAAAAATCTAGTAAGAGAAGTTATTTTGGCTCACCTGTAAATGAAGACTCCAGCCTTATCATTGATGCCTTCACCAGCAATACCTGCTAATTTTCGTGAGATGACTGGATCATTGAGCAATTTGCAAATGGTGCATGATAGAACACTGGATGCTTAAGTTGTCTACTACTTGAATTGAATTAATTGGAGTAGACCTTTGAGTCCATTCTTTAACAGTAATCAGGTGGATCAGCAACTGATGGGCTACATCCTATGGTTCCAAAAGAAGTAAGTGCAGAGGTTGTGGAGACTGGTAATGATTTTCCCAAATTCCCTAGATTCTGGAACCGTCTCAGTGGATTAGAATTAAGAAAATGCATCACTGTTGTTTAGGAAGGAAAGATAGAAATAACAGGGTAATATAGAGCACTTAGCCCAACATCAGTGGACAGAAAAATGTTGAAGTTGTGACAATGCACTTAGAAATGTACATAATATGATCAAACAACGTGAAATGGTTTTACCAAAGGAAAACTTAGAGTTTAGAAAGTCTGTGAAAGTGATGGCAAAGCAATTGGATTTTGTAAATATCTAACTGGGTTCACAAATATCCTCTAGACATGGTAAACAGCTGTCCTATCAAAATTGCCCTACAGATAACTCCAATTCCACACGGGTAAGTTTTAATCTGAACTGTATTTCGAAATGACCTAGCAAGGCATGAAATGTTTTAAAGGGATTGCAGTGGTTGAAGAAGAAACATCAGTATCACCTTCTCAAGCAACTTGGACAATAAACGTGGGCTTTGCTAATAAGGCCCACATTCCAAGAAAGAATGATAAAAAAGACATTAGCTGTTCATAAAACAAAAGTTATTTGAAACACCTGAGTCAGTCAAGTGCAGCAGGTGAGAAACAGTTGATTTTTAGGCAGAGCCATAGCTCAAACATACCTGGGTATTATTAGATTCAGCCATGAGTATACCCTGGAAGACCTTTGATAGATCACGCAGATTGAAGGTGTAGTGTGACTTGGCAGGAGTTGGGAGTAACTGTGATGTTATGGTGGAGTATACTTTGATTGTTGCAGCAACAAGTGGTTCTTTCATAAGTTTCACCTCTTCAGCATCATCTATGAAAAGTAAATCAGCTATACTTTAATAAAATTCCACACCAAACTTAAACCTACATTGAAAATTGTTTAAACAATAGCAAGGCTGGGAACCGCTGTCTCCCTCATAAGGAAAATGATGGCTGGCAGAAGAGTAAGTGATAGGGACTTCCAAACCAGGAATTCCTGGTTGTGATGCTGATGGAGAAACATCTCGCCTGTTCAAAACGTTCATAACCCAAACTGTTCAATCTTTTCCACTGGCTGTGATCTATTAGCTCTTGTCCAATTCTTGTTATTTTTCATACCTTTTTCAGCATTTCTTAAGCTCTTTATATGATAGAGAGACCAGAACTATATCAATACCCTGATTGCAGACCGACCATAGTCCTACGAGTTTAAAATAACACAAATACTTTTGAATCCAATATCCTAAAAATAAATCTCAGTCATTTAGTAGCATTTTTAATTGCTTTACAAATCGGATTTTAATAATTTATTCACCTATACTAGATCTCCTTGCAAAAACAGCAGGCTAGTGGCAGGTATCTCTTACAAGGGGCTGGCAAAGCCACAATGGAATAAATGGCCTCTAATAGTGCGATAAAATTAATTGTATTTCCGTTCTCTCATATGTCTACCCTCCCACCACTATTCTTGAATCCAAAAATTAGATTAAATGTACTATCAGCAAAGTCACCATAGTGCGACCAGACCATAGGCCTGCTCTCTTATTAGACAGAGACAACTGGTGGTGGTTTAACCTGATGGTTATCATGCTTCAGGCAAGGGGAGAAGTTGAAAAAGAGAGTCCTTCATGGAAACCTCAGCTGGTGGAGGAACTGAACCCATGCTGTTGGCGTCACTCTGCATCACGTACCAGCCATTCAGCCAACTGAGCTAACCAACCCCTTTTTTATTAGCATATATGTGGTGAATGGTGCAAGTGAAATCATTTGTATCTAAGGAACTCACACAGCCAACTATCCAAGATGGTAGAAAATATCTTCAGTTTGCTTTTGTCATCCATTTCAATAAAGGACAGATAATTGAAATGTCGTGTGTATCGAGCAGTGATTGGGTTTCTTCCACCACCTGGTGGCCCCATGGCACAAACAAAGTTGATATCCAATAGCTGCCTGAAGGCTCCTGCAACAAGAGATCATGTGCACAGCGTAAACAAAAACTGGATCCAAAATCACATCCAAATGGATTCAAACCGGTTTAAAGCTTGCAAAACTACTATTTGATCAAAATTCTACTTATTTAATTTGTACAGCAGTTGCTGAAAATCCCAACTATGCTAAGAACTAAACTAGCAACTTTTAAGAATATCAGCAGGGCTCACAATGTGGCTCACTTTTTCTTGCAAGGAATGAAATATCTTCATTTGCAGGGATCTGTCCTCTGCAGGAAACATGAACATGCCCAAGCATTATAATTTTTATACCTAAACAAAAACCTGGGGAAGATTTGGTTCCCAGATGCATTCTCGATGGAAACACTTCAACCAACCAACGTTAACTTATCAATTAATCTACATCAATTTCTTATGTACAGGAAAATCTTGTTCCCTTTGAAATTTGGCATTCTTGCGTTTGCCCTGGTGAGTGCAAGACAAAAAGCTTTGACACCAACGCACTTTTGTCAGCAATATTCTCAAGTTCTCTACTATCAAGAAACTAATTCCTAAATGTTGTATACAGACATAGTGCCAAGATTTCCTCCTCCATGCTCATTGTGTGCAATTTATGACATCTGAATTTTAATTTGCAGAAAATACTGGTGGGTAAGATTAGAGAGAATCTTAAGGTACTCCATAAGTGTATCAAGGGGAAGAGGATAACCAGGGAAAATGTAGGGCCATTAGGGACAATGGGGCAATCTGTGCATGGAGTTGGAGGATATTGGTAGGGTATTGAAAGAGTATTTCATATCTGCCTATTTACCTCCTGCCTCCTCACCATCCCAGTTACCAGATATACTTTCCAGGTGAAGTAGCAATTAACCTGTACTTCATTCAATCCAGTCTACTGTATTTGCTAAATAAAAACCAAAAGAACTGTGGATGCTGAAAATCAGAAATGAACACAGAAATTGCTGGAAAAGCTCAGCTTCTGGCAGAATTTGTGAAAAGACATCAGAGTTAACATTTCAGATCGGGTGACCCTTCCTCAAAACTGATGGTAGCTAGAAAAATGTCAATATTTATGCAGAAGGTAGGGTGGAGGGAGGGGGTAAGGAGTAAACAAGGGTGACTGGAGATAAAGATCAAAGAGAGAGAAGAACAATTGGGCAAACAAAGGAACGGATAACAATCTAGCTAGGAGGGTGGATAGCTGTTCATGGAGACTGTTAGTGGCTAACAACAGGTGTGTGGTGGAGGGGACTAGGACATAGGAGGTTTCAAGCCCTAAAGTCATTGAACTCGATATTGAGTCCAGAAGTCCACATACCAGGCCCTGTTATCACATAGTCTGCTGTGACATACAACCCACTGCCAGCCAATAACAGTCTCCATTAACAGCTATTCATCCTTCAAAGCCAGATCATTATCCACTCCTTTGTCCAACTGTTCTCCTCTCTCCTTGGGTTCTATCTCCAATCACTTATCGATTACTCCTTACCCCCTCTACCCACCCTATCTTCTGTATAAAAACTGACATTTTCCTAGCTACCAACAGTTCTGACGAAGGGTCACCGGACCCAAAACATTAACTCTGATTTCACGGATGCTGCCAGACCTGCTGAGTTTTTCCAGCAATTTCTGTGTTTGTTTCTACTGTATTTGCTGTTCACAATATGGTCTCCTCTACAGTGGGGGGAATGAAATGAAGACTGGGTGACCGCATTGGAGAACATCTATGTTCTGTCTGAGCTTCCAGATGCCTGTCACTTCAACACGCTAACATATTCCCTGTCCCAACATTTCTATCACAGGCCCGCTGCAGTGTTCCAGTGAGCCTCAGCGGAAGCTTGAAGAACAGCATCTCATTTTCTGCTTGGGGATCCAGCAGCCTCTAGGACTCAAAATTGAGTTCAATAACCTTAGAGCAGGATTCCATCCTTCCATGTTTTTTACCAACCCTACACCCAGTCCTCTTATTGACCTAGGTTGCTTTTAGCACGGTCACCCATTTTCATGCACTTCTAGGCCAATAATCACATTATATGGATTGCATTCAGTTCAGCTTTCCCATTTTCTCCTACTCTTAGCTCTTGTTATTACTTATTAAGCTGTTCTTTTGTCCTGGCCTGTTATCCATAATCTCTTTGTTTACCTACCCTGTCATATTTCTCTCTCTGGGCTCCATGTCCACATATCCGCCTACCTCTACCCTTCACTCACTTCCCCAACTTTGATTTTAGCAAAAATAACATTTTTTCCTAACTGCTAACAGCTCTGATGAAGAGTCACCGGACTTGAAATGTTAACTCTACTTTCTTCCCATAGATTGTGCAAGACCTGCTGGGTTTCTCCAGTGCGCAGCTTTCAAGTCGGATGACCCAGACCTACACAGAAAATCCAGAAATGACCTCCGCAAAGCCATCAGAGTCAGTACTGGACTACGTTAGATGCCCAAACCAACCATATGGACACCTGCCACCTGTGACAAGGCCTAAACAACATAATGGGATACAAAATGAAGCAGAGAGCAAGATAGCAGACAAAGACACATCCCTCCCTGATGCACTCCATGCTTTCTATGCTCGGTTCGAGCAGGACACCAGCAGCGCTGTGACACCTGCCCAAACAGCCCCAGACACACCTGTTCCCTCTGTCACTGCTGTAGACATCAGATCGGTCTTTCTGAGAGTCAACCCAAGGAAAGTGATGGGCCCAAATGGAGTCCCCGGTCGTGCATTTAGATCATGTGCAGACCAGCTGGCGGAGGTATTCATTGACATCTTCAGCCTCTCCCTCCTACAAGCCGAAGTCCCCACCTCCTTCAAGAAGACCACCATCATCCCAGTTCCTAAGAAAGCACTGCAATGTGCCTTAATGACTACTGCCCAGTGACTCTTAACTCTATAATCATGAAGTGCTTCAAGAGGTTGGTCTTGGCCCACATTATTAACTCTAGTCTCCAGCCTGCCTCGATCCCCTACAATTTGCCTACCAGTGTAACAGGTCCACAGCAGATGCATTTCCCTAGCCCTGCACTCATCCCTGGAACATCTGGACAACAAGGACACCTTTGTCAGACTCCTGCTCATTGACTACAGCTCTGCCTTCAACACCATTATCCCCTCCAGACTGATCTCAAAACTCCAAGACCTAGGTCTCGGTTCTGCTCTCTGCAACTGGATCTTCAGCTTTCTGACCCACAGACCACAATCAGTGAAGATAGACAACTGCACCTCCTCCATGGTAACTCTCAACACTGCAGCACCCTAAAGATGCTTTCTTAGCCCCCTATTATACTCCTTGTACACCCATGACTGTGTTGCCAAATTCCAAATGAATGGCATCTACAAGTTTGCTGACAACACCATTGTGGTAGGACGGATATCAAACAATGAAGAGTCAGAATACAGAAAGGAGATAGAGGGCTTGGTGACATGGTGCAATGATAACAACTCCTCTCTCAATGTGGCAATACTAAAGCACTAGTCAGTGGCTTTAGAAAGAAAAGAGGAGAATACACCCCCTCCTGCATCAACAGAGCAGAGGTTGAGTCAAGTTCCTAGGAGTGATGATAACCAACAACTTTTCTTGGCATTCCCACGTAGATGTGATAGTCAAGGAGGCACAACAACATCTCTTCTTTGTCAGGCTGCTCAGGAAATATAGCATGTCCATAAGGATCCTCACCAACTTTTACAGACATTTAGTCACACCATCTGACACTTTTGATCACCTGCAAAGACTCGTTATTCAGTCTGTCAACACTCCAGTCATACCATTTGTACTATCTTTTGATCTCTCCACCTTTAAATTCTGTGCCTGTGTGCTTCTCTCCACTTCACCTGATGAAGGAGCAGTGCTCAGAAAGCTTGTGATTTCAAATAAATCTATTGGACTATAACCTGGTGTCTTGTGACTGCTGAACTTTTACATACTGTCTGGGTGCATAACGGCCTCGTACAGAAACTGCTCTGCCCAGGACCGTAAGAAACTACAGAAGGCTGTGTGGACACCCCAGACTGTCATGGAAGCCAATCTCCCATCCATGAACTCCATTTACACATCTCGTTGTTGTGGAAAGGCTGCTAACATCATCAAAGATCCATCCCACCCTGGTAATGGTTTCCTACCACCTCTTCCGTCAGGCAGAAGATACAGAAGCTTGAACACATGCACCAGCAGGTTCAAAATCAGCTTCTTTCTTGCCATTATTAGACTGGTGAATGGAATCTCCAACTTCAAATAATGCTGATCTTGTTAATGTTAATCATGCCCAGCTCACGTCCTGTGTGGTGTAAACTCTGTCCAAGTTTTTCTTTTCACCCTATGATCTATATGTCCTTGTTTACTATGATCTGCCTGTATTGCTCGCAAACAAAGCCTTTCACTGTACTTAGTTACACAATAAATCAAATCAATCAATTTTCTGACTTTGTTTCAGGTCTCCAGCATCCATAGTTCTTTGTTTTATTGTATTTGAGTACTCCACAATCTGTTTTCACTTAGGATGAGGAGGATATAGGTAGACAATTCAGAAAGAAGGATTGCGGGGTTTTGAGCATATTAACATAGGGAGTGAGGAGGTATTGGGGTTTTTGGCAGTTTAGAAATGGCAAATCCCAAATCTGGATGAGTTATATCCCAGGCTGCCACGGTACCCATGAGAGGAATTTACAGGGGCTCTGACCTAAATTTTTAATTCCTCTCCAGCCATAGGGGAGGTGTCAAAGGAGAGGAGAACAACTAATGGTGTTCCACTTTTCAAGAGGGTAGCAGAGATAAGCCAGTGAATTACAGATCAGTGAGTCTCACATCAGTGGTAGGGAAACTGTTGGAGAAAATTCTGAAGGAGAGAATTAATTTCCACTTGGAGAGGCAAGGTCTGATCAGGGACAGTCAGCATGGCTTTGTCAGAGGAAGGTCATACCTAACAAATTTGATTGAATTTTTTGACGAGGTGACCAGGTATGTAGATGAGGCTAGTGCTTTTGATGGAGTTAATGGATTTCAGCAAAGCCATATGGGAGACTGATAAAGAAGGTAAAAGCTCATGGGATTCAGGGTGACTTGACAAGTTGGATCCAAAAATAATGGTGGGAGACAGAGACTGCTTGTGCAACTGCAGGGCAGTATCCAGCAAGGTACTGGATCAGTACTGGGTCCCCTATTATTTGTGATATATATATATATATATAAACAATAAAAAAGAAAATGTGTAGGAGGTGATAGGTACATTTGCGAAAGATACAAAGATTGGTCGGGTGATTGACAGTGAGGAAGAAGGTCTTAGGTTATAGGAGGATATAGACGGATTGGTCAGATGGGCAGATCAATAGCAGATGAAATTTAACCCTGATAAAAGTGAGGTGATGCACTTTGGAAGAAGCACCAAGACAAGGGAGTACTCAATGCAAGGGAGGACACTAGGAAGCTCAGAGGAACAGAGGGATCTTTGAGTGCTTGTTGACAGATCCCTGAATGCAGCAGGGCAGGTTAATAGGATTGTTAAGAAGGCATATGGGACACCTGGCTTTATCAGTCATTGCATAGATTATTACAACAGGGAAATTATATTGGAGCTGTACAAAACTTTAGTTAGGCCATAGCAGAGTACTCTGTGCAGTTCTGGTCACCACACTATAGGAGTGCAGAATATATTCACCAGGATGTGCCTGAGATAGAGCAGTTTAGCTGTGAATAGAGGTTGGATAAGCTTGAGTTGTTTTCTTTAGAGCAGAGAAGGCTGAAGTGGGACCTGATGGAGAAGCATGGACAGGGTGTATAGAAAGCAGCTTTTCTCTTTGATTGAAGGGTCAATAACAAAGGGGCATCATTTTAAGTGAAAGGCAAGATGTTTAGAGGGGATTTGAGGCAAATGTTTTAACCCAGACAATGGTAAGAATCAGGAACGCACCGCCTGGGAGCATGGTTGAGGCAGAAAACCTCACAACCCTTAAAAACTACTTAGATGAGCATTTGAAATGTCATAACATTCAAGGCAATGTTCCAAGTGCTGGGAAGTGGGCACAGTGTAAATTTAGAAACAATGTTTGATGGTGCAGACTTGGTGGGCCGAAGGACTCTTCAGTACAGTATGATTCTATGGTCACAAGTGAGGATTTGAAAAGTCTTGGTCAGTGAAATTTTACATGGTATAGAATAGATAGACAAACAATTACTTTTAAGAACCATATCTTAAAATGCACAGGCATACCTATCATTTTCCTGTCATACCAGCCATGATGATCCATCCATTGACGCAAAATTTCAATGGGAGGTTGGGCTCCGTATGTCTCAAGAGCTGGCATATTCAGGTCATCAATGAAAAATATAAAATACTTTCCAAGTGGTGGCCCATACACACCTTTGCGTCTGATAACAGAAATCATTTGCAATCAGGAACAGAAATACTTCAGAACAGGTAAAAAAAAATCCATATTGTGAAATAAGCCTAAAGTCAAAGGAAAAGAGGCAAGGTCCCAATTCATTATCACCTGTTTTGCACTATCATTAAAGAACAACTTCAAGCAAAATATCCAAACATTCAGCAATCATCTGGTTAGTGTTGTAACTCAGCCAATATCTCCATATTATAGAAAGGCTAGGCTTGAAATTTAACGATGCTGAACCCTTTTACAGGCATGGTATCAATGCAATGTTGTTTAACATAGTGGTGTAATGAAATTACACATATAACTTCTGGAGTTTGTATTTCAAAATGTGGCATGTGGGTGTTGGTTAGCTTTGTGAAGAGTTTTCTTTAAAATATAGGTCAAAGGGTCTTTCTGGAACTTCAGTTTTGTTGTTAAAGAAAACCTGCAGTTTTGCGTGAGTATGTCTCAGTGATAACCATCACATTAACTAACCAACTAAATAAAAAAAAAATTAATCTATCAAGCCGTCTTTAATTCTGGGAACTGTCTTGTTATGTAGTACCATCAGCTGGTATGTGCACCTCTGTCCTGGAAGTGCACAGCCTGGCTTAATGGTAGAGGCATCAAAATAGTCCCTGACTAAAGAAGTTGTTAGGTATAGAGTCAGAGTAATAAAGCACAGAAACAGACCCTTCGGTCCAACATGTCCATGTCGACCAGGTATCCCAAACTTAAGTAGTTCCATTTGCCTGCATTTAGTCTATATCCTTCTATACCTGTCCAAATGTCTTTTAAATGATGTAATTGTACCTGCCTCTACCACTTCCTCTAGCAGCTCATTCTATACACACATCACCTTCTTGTGAAAAAGGTGCCCCTCAGGCCCCTTTTAAATCTTTCCCTTCTCACCTTAAACCTATGCCCTCTACTTTGGACTCCCAACCCTTGGAAAAAGACTTTAGCTATTCACCTTATCCATTCACTTCAAGATTTTATAAATATCTATAAGGTCACCCCTCAGCCTCCAACACTCCAGGCAAAATAGTCCCAACCTATCCTGATAACTCAAACCTTCCAGTCCCTGGCAACATCCTTGTAAATTTTATCCTGCACCCTTTCTAGTTTGACAACATCCTTCCTGTAGCAAGCAATTAGAATTGTACACAGTAGTCTGCAATATCAGTCGCAACTCCTATACTCAATGCTCTGACCAAGGAAGGCAAGCTTGCCAAACGCCTTCTTCACTACTCTCCCTAGCTGGATGCCATTTTCAAGGAACTATGAACCTGCACCCCTAGGTTTCTCTGTTCAACAACACTTCCCAGGGCCCTACCATTAACTGTGTAAGTCCCGCCCTGATTTGCCTTACCAAAATACAACACCTTGCATTATATGCCTGTTTGAGGACCCCTTTGTAAATTGGGCAATGTTCTGGAAAACAAGGTCTATGTTTCGCCTAACTGACAGGCCTTAAAAAGGCCACTGCAGGCTTCCAAAGAGGTAAATTTAAGAAAGTCACTTAACTTAATATGGAGCTGAGAAGTTAGAGTGCTCCTCCTGGCTTCACATTATATAGAACATAGAACATAGATCAGTACAGCACAGTATAGGCCCTTCGGCCCACGATGTTGTGCCAAACATTACTCTAAACCTAAGGTCTATCTAACCTCCACCCCCACCTTACACTGTCATCCATATGCCTATCTAATAGCCGCTTAAATGCCCCTAATGAGGCCGACTCCACAAATGCATTCCACGCCCCTATCACTCTCTGAGTAAAGAACCTACCTCTGACGTCTCCTCTATATGTACCTCCACTCACTTTAAAACTATGCCCCCTCGTAATAGCTACCTCCACCCTAGGAAAAAGTCTCTGGCTGTCCACTCTAGCTCTACTCTGATCATTTTGTACACCTCTGTCAAGTCACCTCTCATCCTTCGTCATTCTAAATAGAAAAGCCCTAGCTCTCTCAACCTTTCCTCGTAAGACCTTCCCTCCGTTCCAGGCAACATCCTGATAAATCTCCTCTGCACCTTTTCCAACGCTTCCACATCTTTCCTGTAATGAGGCGACCAGAACTGGACACAATACTCCAGATGTGGCCGAACCAGGCTTTTGTATAGCTGGAGCATAACTTCACGGCTCTTGAGCTCAATCCCTCTATTAATGAAATCTAACACACCATATGCCTTCTTAACAACTCTATCCACCTGGGTGGCAGCTTTCAGGGAACTGTAGATATGAACCCCGAGATCCCTCTGCTCCTCCACATTGCCAAGAATCTTTCCGTTAACCCTGTATTCTGCTTTCAAATTTGTCCTTTCAAAATGAATCACCTCACATTTTTCAGGGTTAAACTCCATCTGCCACTTCTCAGCCTAGATCTGCATCCTATCAATATCCCTTTGTAACCTAGAACAGCCGTCTGCACTATCCACAACTCGACCCACCTTCGTATTGTGCGCGAATTTACTAATCCACCCTTCCACTTCTACATCCGAATCATTTACAAAAATCACAAATAGAAGATTACATGTCAGAACTATTGTCGATCACTGATCACCACCGGCCCTCAAACTCAACTGCTACCTGGTTGCACTCCTTCTCAGCACAATCATTAATTCTCCCCTTGATCACTTCCTTCCTCTTTTGTTTAACCCCTCATTCAAGATCAAACTGAGGACTACTGCCTAAGATGTAGTAGCCCAAATTCAAATCCTTTTCACCAGCGAACTCAATGATCTAGTAGGTACCCACAGCTTACCAGTCTGACCTACATGAAATCTGAGGTCCAATATCAAGTGGACTTACATTCAGAGATTCGTACAGTACAGAAAGGGTCCTTCAGTCCATCAAGTCTGCATTGACATTACTACCACTATAAGTGCACTAATCCCAATTTCCTGCACTTGTCCCATATCCTTGAATGTTATGATACTTGAAGTACTCATCCAAATATTTTTTAAAGTTTGTAAGGTTTCCAGCCTCCACTACCTTCCCAGGCAGTGCATTCCAGATTTCCACCACCTGCTGAGCGAAAAGGTTTTTTCCCCAAATCCCCTCTGAATCTCATGTCCCTTACCCTAAAACTATGCCCCCTTGTGAGTGACTCCTCAACAAGGGAAAGAGCTGTTCTCTAGTCACCCTGTCCATACCCCTCATAATCTTACGCACACCTCAATCATGTCTCTCCTCAGTCTTCTCTGCTCTAAAGAAAACTATCCAATCCTATCTAATCTCTCCTTATAGCTCAATTCCTCCATCCCAGCCAACATCCTGGTGAACCTCCTCTGTACCCCCTCTAGTGCTATCACATCCTTTCTGTATTGAGGTGATCAGAACTACACACAGTACTCCAGTTGTGGCCTGACCAATGCTCTGTACAAGTCCAACATTACCTCCTCGCTGTTATATTCTATGTCATGACTGATGAAAGCAAGTGCCCCTTATGCCGTCTTAACTATAGTATTCACGTGCTCTGCTGACTTGAGGGATCTGTGAATACTTACGCCAAGATCCCTCTGTTCCTCTAAGTAACCAGTGTCCTGCCATTCATTAAATACTCCCTCATCTTGTTTCTTCTTCCAAAATCTATGTCCTTGCACTTATCAGGGTTAAATACCATCTGCCACTGGTCTGCCCAACTGATCAACACATCTATATCATCCTGTAACCTCTTCTTCGCTATTTATCACTCTACCAATCTTGGTGTCATCTGTAAATTTGCTTAAAACTCCCCCACATTTTCATCTATATCATTTACATATATAACGAACAATAAGGGTCCCAGTACTGATCCATTGGTACACTGCTGGACTCCAGCCTCCAGTCACTCAAACAGCCTTCTACCACTATCCTTTGTGTCTTATTTCTAAGCCAGTTTCTGATCCACCTTGTCAAGTTTCTCTGAATTCCACTGGCTTTAACCCTCTCAATCTGCCATGTGGGACCTTGTCAAAAGCTTTGGTAAGATCCATATAAACTGACCTTCCCTTATCCACACACTTGAGCACATTTTCAAAAAATTTTAACAAACTTGTCAGGCATGATCGCCCTCTGACAAAGCCATGCTGACTATCCCTAATTAACCCATGCCTTTCCAAGTGGGTATTAATTTGTTCCTTTAGAAGTTTCTCCAACCATTTCCCTACCACTGACATGAGAGACACCAGTCTGTAATTTCCTAGTTTATATCTACCACCCCACCTGTGGCCACAGAGGAATTACAAATTTGTGTCAGAGCCCCTGCAATATCCTGCCTCGCCTCCCACTGCAGCCTGGGATGTAATTCATAGGGCCAAGATCTTTGTTTTTAAGCATGACAAAGCTTCCAATACCTCCGCATTTCCTATGTGCAAACTCCTCACAGTTCCTTTTCCTGAATTCTGCATCTATATTCTCCTTCTCCAGAGTGAAGACCAAAGAGAAGTATTCATTCAACATTCTTTCAAAATCCTGTTACTTCATACACAGGTTGTCCTCTTGGTCCCTAATGGGCCCTACTCATTCCCATGGGCCCTAACTCTTCCCTTTAATGAATTTATAAAATATCTTAGGTTTCCCCTAATCCTGTTCAAAAGTCCTTTTTCATGCCCCCTTTTTGTTCTTCTAATTGCTTTCTTGGGTTTCTTCTTGCACTTCCTGTATTCCTCTAGGGCCGCAGCTGAACTGCTCCCTTTGGACTTGCTAAAAGCCCTACTCTTCTCCTTTATCCAGTCCTGAATTGTCCAAGACATCTATGGTTCTCTGAACTTATTGCTCCTACATTTCCCTCTAAAGGGTACATGTTGGGCCTGTACTCTCCCCAGCACCATTTTGAATGCCCCCCATTGCTCCGCTGTAGAATCACCCACAAGGTGCTGTTCTCAGTCTACTGTGGCCAGATCCTGATTTATTTTAATAAATTTGCCTTCCTCCAATCCAAAGCTGTCTTTTGCAGGCCACCTTTCTCCTTGTCCACAAAATATCTGAATCATACCATGTTGTGGCTGTTATCGCATAAATGTTCCTCTGCTGCCAGGTTGAACACTTGTCTGTTTTCTCCCCAGAACCAGATCCAGCATTGTGCTGTCCCTTGTTGGGCTTTCTATGCATTGATACAAAAAAAACTCCCCGGACACATTTCAAGAAAATTTTCCCTCTAAACCCTTAACACTTGACTATTCCAATTTATGTTGGGAAAGTTGAAATCCTCTAGTATAATTACCCGATTATTATTCTTACACACCTCTGTGACCTGTTTACATATTTACTCCTCTATTTCCCGCTGACTCTTTGCGGGGCTAAGGTACATTCCCAGTAAAGTACCTGGCCTCTTAACGTTCCTAAGTTTTACCGACAAAGCCTCATTTGAGGACCCTTCCAAGATATCATCTCTTCTTATTGCAGTAATTGACGCCTTAATTAATAGTACTACACCATCGCCCTGTTTACACCCTCCTCTGTCTCACCTGAAGATCCTATACCCCAGAATGTTGAGTTCCCAGTCCTGCCCTTCCCTCAATCATGTTTCTGTGATGGCAACAATATCATACTTTCATGTGTCAATCCACGTTAATAACTCATCAGTCTTATCTATTAAACTTGTGGCATTAAAGGCCATCCATTCTTGCCTTACTCTCTTGACACTCAACATAGCTAAACTCACTGTGACTTGCTTCCTTTACTGTAGCATGTTGTGTCTCTGTTTCATCGATATTCTGTGTCCCCTCCCCTGGCAGATTTGTTTAAACTTCTCCCAACAGCACTAACAAACCTTTTTGCAAGGATGTTAGTCCCAATGTGGTTCAGATGCAGACCATTCTGTTTGTACATAAACCACCTTCCCCAAAAATGGTCCCAGTGATCTAGGATTCTAAAACCCTCCCTCTTGCACCGACTCTTGAGCCATACATTCATCGGTCCTATTGTCCTATTTCTAAATTCACTAGCACATGGCACTGTGAGTAATCCAGAGATTACAACCATTGAGGTCCTACTTTTTAATCTACCGCCTAGCTCCTTAAGGCAAAACTTCATTCCTCATTTTGCCAATATCATTGGTACCAACATGTACCACGATCTCTAATTCATCACCCCCCCCACCTTTCAGGCTGGCCTGCAGCCGTACAATGACATGCCTGACCCTGGCATCACACCATCCTGCAGTCACATCTTCGGCCACAGAAGCAGCTGTTTGTTCCTCTGACTAAAGAATCCCCTTTCACTATTGCTCTTCCTTTCTTCTTCTTCTTCACCCCTTGTAATAGTCAAGCTGCTTGTGGTGGCAGAAGCTTGGCTCCAAGGTACCAGTACCGTCATCAGCTTCCAAAATGGGAAACCGGTTAGTGTGTGGGACCCCAAGGGACTCCTGCACTACCTGAGTGTTCTTTCTGGACTGGTAGTCACTACTCCCTTCTTCCCTCTAGTCCCTTGAGCTGAGTGTGATCACCTTTCCAAAAAGTGCTATTCACGTAACTCTCAGCCTCACAGATGTGCCACAGTGGCTCCAACTGCTGCTCTAGCTCAGAGACCCAGAGCTCCAGCTTCTGCAGCTGGGAGCACTTCCTGCACGTATGGTCATCAAGGACACTGGCAGCATCCAGGGCTCCCCATATATGACAAGCTGCACATTCCACTCAGCTGGCCTCTCTTAACATCTCTTACTCTTACAATTAATGCCTAGAATTGAATTATTAGTCTTATCTTGTTAGACTTCCTACTTATCACTAAGGTTATGAAAAGGATAACGGCAACTAAGTTCCCACCAATCTAAATCTGTAGAATGAAGAAGGGTTAACCAGTAATTGTCAGTAGCTTACATTAGGCTTATCTGTTCTGGGACAGCCAGTGATTTTCTAGTGGCTTCAAGCTATAGACCGGTTGAGATTATCTGGCCAATGTATTGGCAAAGTATTGGTGTCATATATCTACAAGTAATATCGACCTGATTGTGTTAAGACAACTGCCAGCCATTAAGTTGGTACGACCAGAGGAATGCACTCACTGACTTTACCAAGACTGGCAGCAGTGACGCAGAAATGTATTTTGTAGCCTGCCTACTTTAAGTAATCTGATGCCAACTGCACCAGCCAGGAGTTCAAGGCCAATATCACGTTCCTGATACTTGGGATTACCTTAACTGGTCACTTCTGCACCCTCTTATAAGCAAGAATATGCTTCATATGGTTAGGAGACAAGAAGAGAAATAAATCACATTTATTTGAAAGAAAGGTAATAGTTTTGTGTGTTAGATTTACATTGTTCAACTAATATGTACTTCAACATTAGAAAACTTATAAAACAATGAAAAACAATGCATTCACTACCGATATGCTGAAGATGATGAAGTCAAAAACTATTAGAAGGCCTATTGTCTGAGATTTTAAGAAACTGCCACTTGTCTGGTCTATTACTGGGCTATCAGAAGCTGCTGACCTCTACAGTACTGACAGTTGGTTAGCTACTAACTCACCTTTTATCAAGTTTACTGTCAATGAAGTCTTGTGTTTGATTAGCAGATGTACGAGCTGAAAATATCAGAAAATGAGAGATATAATCGGGATGCATCTTTTTAAGGAGCTTGTCGGAGATGGTAAGAGTCTTTCCAGTTCCAGTTGGTCCAATACACAACACCTTATGAGCAAGAGAAAATAGCACAGTATTCAAGTCTGTTGATGAGGAAGACTGATAATATATGCCAGAAATTACTTTGTGTGATATTAATATGGGAATATTTAATGTATTTAACAAGATAGGAACCCAGACCATAATCTCATAAGGATAGTTTCTAGGCTTCATTCTTTTAAAGAAAACTTCGCAGTAACCAGCAACACACTAAGATCTGAATAAACATCTTTTATAAAAAAGTAGACCTAGTGACTAATTTTGTGAATTCACTACTTAATGCCATTCACGGGCCAGTATCGCAGCTCAGTGGTTAGCACTGCTGCCTCACAGCACCAGGGACCTGGGTTTGATTCCAGCCTTGGGTGATTGTCTGTGTGGAGTTTTCACATTCTCCCTGTGTCAGTGTGGGTTTCCTCCCATGGTCCAAAGATATGCAGGTTAGCTGGATTAGCTACGGTAAATGCAGAGTTATAGGGTCAAGGGGGTGGGTCTGGATGGGATGCTCTTCGGAGGGTCAGAGTGGGCTGAATAGCCCTCTTCCACACCAAAGGGATTCTACTATTCCAATTGTTAGCACTCAAACCGATCTTCATACGTTTCTACTATGCGAGGATATTAAAAATCACAAAACCAAAGCAGGAGGATGGAACTAAGTTTCAGGTCAGATGTGACCTAATTAAATCATGGAATATTGCTTGAATGGCTAAATAACCTCCTGTCCTCCTGTAACAGCCGTTGCAACTTTCTACTGGGTATTAACCAAGCAGTATTAGCCTATGTTGACATTTTCATCCTGGATCTGCTACAGTGTTTCAAAGAAGCTCAACACAGTCTGGAGAAACAATAAATAATTCATTTTGCACTTTATAGCCTCTGAGACTCAACACCGATTTCAACATCTTCAGAACATAACCTCTGTCCTCCACTTTGATTACAACTCTCTGTCTCTGGCTATAAGCTTATGTGTCTTGTTGGCTTTTCTCTCAGCATAGTGAATCCATTTTCTCCTTTTCACACCCATTATTTACACTTATTTTACCACTCTACCTCTGTCTTACCACCATTAGCACTCCTTTTGTGTTTGCTCTCAATACCTTTATGATCTGTTCTACTTGCTCCTCTTCCCTCTCTGTCAACAGCATAAAAATTCTGACCCACAGGCTGCAATCAGTGAGGATAGGTAACTGCACTTCCTCCACAATAACACTCAACACTGGAATGCCCTCAGCTCCCTACTGTACTCCCTGAACACCTACGACTGTTGCCAAATTCTAAATGAATACCAAGTTCGCTGATGATACCACTGCGTGGGACGGATAATTAACAACGACAAGTCAAAATACAGACGGGAGATAGAGGGTTTGGTGACATGGTGCAATTAAAACAATCTCTCTCAACGCGGCAAAACTAAAGACCTGATCATCAACTTCAGAAAGCAAGGAGGAGAACACCCCCCCATCTACATCAACGGAACTGAGGTTGAGAGAGTGAACAGCATCAGGTTCCTAGGAGTGACAATAACTGACGACTTGTCCTGGACTTCCCACATAAATGCGACAGTCAAGAAGGCACGACAACGCCTCTTCTTCCTCATGCAGCTCAGGAAATTTGGCATATCCATGAGGTCCCTCACCAACTTCTACAGATGCACCATTGAAAGCATACTGTCCAGGTGCATAAAGGCCTAGTATGGCAACTGCTCTGTCCAGGGCTGTAAGAAACTACAGAAGGTGATGTGCACAGCCCAGACTATAACGGACTCCATTCATGGACTCTATTAACATGGCTCGCTGCCAACATCATCAAAGGCCCATCGCACCCTGGTAATGACCTCCTATAACCTCTTCCATCAGACAGAAGGTACAGAAGCCCAAACACATGCAAGCGCAGGTCCAGGAACAGCTTCTTTCTACCATTATCAGACTGTTGAATGGACTGTAGCCTACAATAACGTAAACTGCAACGTAACCAGTATGCCTCTAAGTCATGTTGATCTGTACATTCTTTGCTAGCTATGATCTGCCTGCACCTCTCGTAAACAAAGCTTTTCACTGACAATAAAATCAAATCAAATCAATCAATCAAATAAAATCAAATCAAAAACCATAATTTTACAGGTCCTATCTGTTCTGAAAAAGTCATATTGGACTTAAAACATTAACTCTATTACTGTCTCCACAAATATGCCAGACCTCCTGGGTTTCACCAGCATTTTCTGTTTTATTCTAGACTGGCTGTTGGTGATGTTTACAGTCAACTGTGAGTTGCACTACTGAGTCGTGGTGCTGGTGTCAATTTTTACAGGATGGTGTGTGTGCCACTAGGTATTACAGGATTTCAGACAAATGTGTGGATTTTTTTTGAAGTCATGCATCAATATGAATACTTCATTAGCTGTTGTCCAGAGGTGTTCCTTGAGAAGGATATTTTCCCTGTGGACTTCAGAAAATTCAATGTATGCTAGCAACGAAGCTGCTCAAGCTGTGTTGGACCCAGAAATAATCTTCACGACTTCCTGGAGGTGGTTATCTACATCACTTGTCTGGCCCCTTCTGAACCTCGTTCAGCGACAGTATTTTGTTGGGTAGAACTGGGTGGGCTGAACAAGGTAGACTGTGTTGGGTGTCCTGCCTTCCACCCACCGCTTTCTGCTTGAGATTCACTCTCATCTTGACCGTGGCTCCTTTGTTCTCATTATGTTGCTCGTTAGTCACTGTATAGTCAAGCATGATGCCTAGGTATTTTGGCACAAGGTCATGTGTAAGCAGTCAGTCACAGAACTAGATTTGAAGAGCTTCCATAGACTTCAAGTGATTTAGGTGGAAGGATGAAACAACAGTCTTGGCAGTGTTTGGTCAAAGTTTCTGTCATGTATTATAGTTGGTGTAAGTTATGTTGTCCCTTTAAGAGGTGAGTCATGTCAACACTGATGAGTCACACTGGTGAGTCATCAGCCTGGTTTGCAGGAAGGGTCACCGGGCCCGAAACGTTAACTCTGATTTTTTCTCACAGATGCTGCCAGACCTGCTGAGCTTTTCTAGCAACTTTGTTTTTATGCCGGGTTCGCAGGCTTGTTCAGATTTGTAGTGAGCTTTTACAGAGTGCACAGCTATGGAATAAATGTCCCTATTAGGTTTCAGCAAATAATGAACTTGAATGCTTTTTGGTTTTGACTGAAACCTATTAACTGTCCAGTACAGAATAATCTCCATTTTCTGAAGAAGGCTAATGGAAATATTAATCCTCGGAGAATGTTTTCTCAATGTTCTGAAGTTCTTCACCCCAGCAGGACAGGGAGTTATTACTATATATGTCGAAGAGAGCTGATGCAATAACTGATATCTGTGAGAGACTGCTTTTAATTATATGTGAGCAGCTGCTTAACCTCCAGGGGGCATGAAAAACCTTTGATTGCTGACCAAGGAGTTGATTAGTGGTAGGGTTTTCACAAAAGAAAATAATTTTTGAGAGTTTTAGCTGCACACATATGCCCCAAGCAGTGTTGTAGGCACATGATAAGTCAAGAAAGACTTACCAGTAAGACTTTCAGGCCTTTTTGAAAACTTGCCTCAATATGTGAGATCAGTCAGGATCTACTTGGAACAGTTGCAGCCTGTGCAAAAACCTGCCTGTTGAGACTGGTATTACTACTTCCCGGTAGGAACTCAGTCTGTTTATCAGGAGATGTTGCAGGACCTTACATTTTCTTCAGAACAGGGAATTGGGATGATAGCTGCATGGGTCATTAAATGGTTCCCCTGGATTGGCAATGGTTACTATCTTGGATTGATGTTAGATGTCTAGAATAGTGCCTCTCCTGTCGATGCTGGTGAACAGCTATGCTAGTGATCTACATTCCTGTGATCCATCATTCTTCAGAAATTCTGGGTATATCTCATTAACTCACTATTTCTATATGCCTTAATAAAAAACAAACCAGCGTAGAGCTAAACATCACAACTGTGCACCAGGCCAAATTTGACATCACTAAATTCCTATGATCAGCTTGCATTATCTAAAGAGTTCTAATCCATCCATTTGTCAGTGAAATCATTTTTTCTGCATTCTGGGAATGATGCATCACTTATCCAATGGAATAGTCCTTTTGTTGTTGTTAGTAAGTTAATCATCACAGTCCCTGGATGTCTCTGCAGGAGTTACGCAGAGCAGTGTCCTGGGTCCAACCATCTACCACTACTAAAACAGGACCTTCCTTCCATGCAGTCATAAGTACAAACTTTTAGTGATGATTGCACAATGCTCAGCATCAATTGTGACTCCTCTGATACTGAAGCTGTTCATATTCATATGCAGCAAGACCTGGAGAACAATCAAATTTAGGCTGATAGATCAAAAGTACTGCTCATGCGACACAAGTGCCAACAATGACAACCTCCTGCAAGAGGGAATCGAATTCTGCTGAGAAATTCAACGGCATTTCCAACGGTGAATTGCCAACTCTCATCATTCTACAGGTTACTATTGATCAGACACTGAACTGAACCAGCCATACAAATGCTGAGGCTGCAAAAGGAGGTCATAGGCTGGCAATTCTGAAGTTAGGAACTCATCTTTTTGCTCCTCAAAGCCTGTCCAAAATCTACAAGGGTCAAGTCAAGTCAGAGCTGATTGGATGAGTGTAGCTGAAGCAATACTTGACACCTTCTAGGACAACACATGTGACAATTTCAACCATTCACTCCCTCCACCATCAAGCACCAGCAATGTGCCCACAGCCTGTGAATGATGAAAAAACATGTTAATATAAAACATCAAAAAACAACTTTGAAGATGATTGGACGAACTGTTGCCAGTATGTTCACCAATATCAATCCTTGATCATACAGATTACTTGAACAATGTCACACTACATATGTAGGAGTTTTTGTGTGTCCAAATTTGCTGTCATATTTCTTCAAATAACCTGCATGGAACAACTTACTGGTTTCTTACTGATTAGAAGTAATGACAACAAATATGACATGCGTATGGTGTCCTGGGTTGGAATGATGATGTCAGAATAATTGGTATCTGGTGCAATTTCTACTTCTGGAGCAGATGCCATCCAGCTGACCCATTTGACCTGTAATATAAATCAGAATAATCAGACAGTAGAAGTATATTAATCACCAAGTTTCCATAGACAGGCCGGATCATACATCGTTGTTAGTAACTCAGTTAACAAAGCAAATTACCTATAATACATTGGTATCCATCTAGTAAAATACACACAAAAAATCTAAATTAATGGAAAAACTCAGCAGGTCTGGCAACATATGTAGAGAGAAAGCAGAGTCAACATTTTGGGTCCAGTGAATTTCATCAGAACTTCTAAAGAGGGTCACTGGAAATGAAACGTTGAGTACGCTTTCTCTCCATAGATGCTGCCAGTCCTGCTGAGTTTCTCCAGCAATTTCTGATTTTGTTTCAGATTTCCAGCATTGGCAATTCTTTATTTTATACGAAATATCTACAAGCGTTCACATAGCTTAATGAGATTTAATATTAAAAGATTAAAATAGAGAGGACAACCTGTTACAGGTCTCTTTTATGTCATTTCTTTTGCTTTAAGTCTTTCTCTGCTATTTCCTTAACTGAGGGGATAGGAGGGAATCTATTCCAAGTCAGTGTTGTAAATCTTGGAGCTGTCAGATTTCAATCACTGTGCTGCATTTGCAAGTCACTTTAATAACAGTCAGCACTTCTGGGAAGAAACCTTACAGTAAAAAGAGATAATGTAGAAATAACATATGAGTGCTTAGTGAAAGTGGTCATTAGTTTTATCTTTGTATAGCTCCTTGTCCTTTTGATGTGCTCAGTTTTCTGTTTATATAAACTGGATGGATTAAATACCAGAAATAAAAGACTCAACAAAAAAATTTACATGAAATTTCACTTAGAAAATGGAGGGTATATTAAAATATCATAAGTAGAATTTTCTGAGCGTGCAGTGCCCACCACTAACAGTAGACCTACTTTCCTTCCAAAGGTACTTTTTTGCCTAGTTGGGATAATCTTCTGGTACCAATAAAGTCAGTGCTGCAAATTCTCTACCATCAAGTGTCTTATACTTACTTAAATCTGTTGTTGCGAACCAAAGGAAGAAGTTTGCCTAACTGATGATGTTAACAACAGATCCTGAGATCATACAAACTTATGAATTAGAAACAGAAGGAGGTGATTCAGCCGCTTAAGTTGCTCTACCATTCAATTAGATCACGGTTGTTCTGTCTGTGTCTTGAATTCCACAATAACATAAGAATTCCTTCTGAAAACAGTTACGTACTATATATTGTGGTTGTTATAATTTTCAGATTGGCAGTTGTTTGATTACATAACTCAGGCTGTTTATATGTAATGATTAGCAAAAAAAAATGACACTACCCGCCATCTTATAGCAGGTGCATTATATACAGAAGAATGGGAACCTGAAAATATTTAAATCTATTATGTCAGATATCCAGAAGTTATGAATGGATTCACAAGTTTTTGCATAGCATACTGGTAACGTAGGAGCATGCTGCTTGCTGCCATCAAAGCAAATTCTTTTTAACAAAAATATGCACTGATGTGTGACAAGTTCTTTGAGCTTTTTGCTTTTATATCCATTTCAATCCACCTAGTAACAGATTTAACAAAATATTAGAAGAAAAATATAAAGTTATCCAAGGAGATCAGTTCAAGCATTGAATTTCCCGATACCACAATCCCAGCAATTTACTTACTTCTCTCTCGACATCCTCATCTTCATGACTGGTGCTACTGAAACCAGCATCATCCAATTGGTAATCATACACCAGCCCGGTTTCGGGGAAAGAAAGTGCAATCTAGTATATAAAGTGTGGTTATAGATTATTAATTTCAACATTTTAATTTATGCAACACAAAAGATAAATCACAAGGTAGTAATTAGCAAATATTTGTGATAATCTTCAGTGCAGTACAGGAGCTCATAGAACATAGAATATAGAACAGTACAGCACAGTACAGGCCCTTCGGCCCACAATGTTGTGCCGACCTATTATCCTACTAAGATCAATGAGCTCCTTCAAAAGTTTATAAGACCATAGATAGGAAGTGCTGATTTGACTGTTCTTTTGTGGCAACATTAGGAAGGCATTTCAAAAAAAAATTTACAATACTTAGTGATCAATTTTGTTCAATTTTTCTTTTGTTTAATCTAGGTGAGTAAAGTAGAAGAATGGTCAATGTTCACCCTGCTGCATTTTGGAAAGGCAAATCAGGGCAGGACTTATACACTTAAGGTCTTGGGGAGTGTTGCTGGACAAAAGACCTTGGTCTGCAAGTTCATTGTTCCTTGAAAGTGGAGTTGCATGTAGACAGGTTAGTGAAGAAGGCGGTTGATATGCTGGCCTTTATTCATCAGTGTATTGCGTATTAGAGTTGGAGGTCAATTTGTACCTGTACAGGAGATTGCTTAGGCTACTTTTGGAATACTGTGTTCAGTTCTGGTCTCCCTGCTATAGGAAGGATGTTGTGAAACTTGAACGGGTTCAGAAAAGATTTCCAAGGATGTTGCCAGAGTTGGAGGACTTAAGCTATAGGGAGAGGATGAATAAGCTGGGGCTATTTTCCCTGGAGCATTGGAGGCTGAGGGATGACCTTAGAAAAGTTTATAAAATCATGAGAGGCATGGATAGGGTGAATAGGTAACATCTTTTCCCCAAGGTAGGGGGGTCAAAAACTAGAGGGCATAGGATTAGGGTGAGAGGGAAATGAGATAAAAGGGACCTATGGGGCAACATTTTCACGCAGAGGATTGTGCGTGTATGCAATGAGCTGCCAGAGGAAGTTCTGCAGGCTGGTACAATTACAAGGCATCTGGATGTGCATATAAATAGGAAGGGGTTAGAGGGATATGGGCCCAATTCTGGCACCTGGGACTAGATTAATTTAGGATAACTGCTCGCATGGACGAGTTGGACTGAAGGATCTGTTTCCATGCTGTACAGCTCTTTGACTCTACTGCACAGCAGAAACAGTGAAGCAGGACAGTTTAAGAACATGATAAACCTTCAAGGTTTTCTATTTTAACCTGCAAGCAGATGAGTTGCTGAATTATAGCAGCTTTGTGCCTCATAATTATTCAAAATGGAGTCCTTTTATGTCAATAGCAACCCAAAGCTGCAGTCTGAGCAGAGATATTGCTGCTGATCAAGAGGTCTTTCAAGCAAGTCTAAAACCTTTCTTTGTGGGGCCAGAAATGGAATGTTTCTCAGTCCCAAAGGCATTCAACCGATCCCACAAACCCACCCTTTCCTTCAAAAGTAAAAAATTGGCCAAGTGCTTCTTTACCCTTGACCTTGTAAATTGTCTATTTTTATGAGAAAGAAAGGGTGCATTAGAGAATGAATGTGTGCAGTTGTGAAAACAAGAACCTAACCTAAGAAATATGTTCATGATAGGCTATTTGGCTCTTTGATATACTCCAATCCTTTTGCTTCAAAAGCTAAAATAGCATTTATCTTCCAAATTACTTCCATTCAGAGAGATGTTAACTTTCTGTAATTGATCCGCCAGTTCACTCAAATCCCTCAGAATACAAATCTTTTTCAGTCTCTCATTATTCACAGGATATCCTTCTTTATTTTTCTTACCAAAGTAGATAACTTTGAGAATAAAATGGCAGGAAACATAGAAACTGACTGTAAAAACTTCAATAAATATGTGAAGAGAAAAAGGTTTGTAAAGACAAACATAGCTCCTTTACAGACAGAAACTGGTGAAATTATAATAGGGAACAAAGAAATGGCAGAAGAATTTCAGCCATTTTGGTTCTGTATTTGGAAAGGACGGCACAAATAACCTCCCAAAATGTTAGGGAAAAGGTACAATGGAAGGAAATCAGTATTAGTGAGAAAATGGTGCTGGATTTAAAGGCTGACACCCTCTTTAGCCTGATAATCTACATCCCAGAGTACTAAAGGAGATAGCTCTGAAAATATTAGATATTGCATTGGTGCTCATCTTGCAAAATTCTATAGAATCTGGAATTGTTCCTACAGATTGGAGGGTGGCAAATGTAACCCCACCATTTCAAAACAGCGGGAGAGGAAAAAACAGAGAATTGCATACCTATTAACCTAATATCATTAGTGGGAAAACTGTTAAGAGTCTATTATAAAGGATATGATAACACAGCATGTGGAAAGCATTAATGAGATTCAACAAAGCCAGCATGGGTTTATGAAAGGCATATATGCTTACAAATCTACTGGAGTTTTTTAGAGGATGTAACTAGTAGAATAGATAAGGGAGAACCAGAGCATATAGTGCACTTAGATTTTCAGAAGACGTTTGATAAGGTCCCTCATGAAAGGTTAGTGGGCAAAATTAAAGAACATGGGACAGAAAGTAAGAAATATTGGCATGGTTTGACAAATTGGTTGACAGGGTGCAGAAAGTGGGAATAAATAGGTTTTTTCTTAGAGGCAGGCAATAGGGTACCACAAGGATCAATACTTGGGCCCCAGCTATTCACATTTTATATATAAATGACCTGGATAACAGAACCAAATGCAACATTTCCAAGTTTGCTGATGATAAAATTGAGCAGTGCAGAGGATGGAAAGGAGGCTTCAAGTTTATTTAGACAAGTTGAGTCAGTGAGCAAACAAATGGCAGATGCATTACAATGTGACTAAATATGAAATTATACACTTCAGTGTGAAAGACAGAATGGATGAGTATTACTTAAATGATGATATATTGGCACACATGGTTGTACAAAGGGATCTGGGTGTTCTTGTGCAACAGTCAAGGAAAGTAGACAGGCAGATGCAACAAGCAATTAAGAAGGCAAATAGTATATTGGTCTTCATTGCAAGAAGATTTGAGTTCACAAATAGGGAATGTTTTATTGCAGTTATACAGGATCTCAGTGAGACCACATCTGGAGTACTGTGTGTAGTTTTGATCTCCCTACCTAAGAAAGGATCTATTTGCCATAGATGGAATGTAGCGGAGATTCACTAGGTTAATAGCAGCGATGGCAGGATTATCCTATGAGGAGAGATTGGTTTGACTGGGTCTGCATTCAACACACTTTAGTAGGAAGAGAGGAACCTGATTGAAATGTATAAAATTTTACCAGTCTGGACAGACTAGATGCAGGAAAAATATTTTCCGTGGTCGGGGTGTCTACAACCAGGGAACAGAGTCTCAGGATACAGGGTAGACTGTTTAGGACTGAATTGAGGAAAAATAACTTCACATCCTGTGCGATTCTCTACCAAAGGAAGCTAAGAAAGCCAATTCACTGAATATATTCAAGGAATAGATAGATAAATGTAAAGGATATGGGGAGAATGTGGGAATATAGCATTGTGATAGAGGATAAGCCATGATTCTACTGAATGGTGAAGCAAGCTTGAAGGGACGAACTATCAACTTCCGCTCCTAGTTTCTAACTTTATGCTCTCCCAGTTTCTTGCTATGTTCCTTCCCACTCATCTAATCTGTCTGTATCCCTCTGCATACTTTCTGTGTTCTTCTCACCACTTAATTGTTCACCTAACTTTATATTATCAGCAAACTTAGCTATGTTATACTCAGCACATATCTAATCATTAATATTGATAGTAAATCATTGTGGTTTAAGTAATTGACTTTACCTCGTAACTCAGTAATTACAATCTGCAATCAAAAATGTTTAGTATGTTCCAACTCTATTTTCTGTCCACTAAGTAATTCTGAAACCACGAAAATATATTATCCTAAATGCATGAGCCCTAATTTTATGTAAAAGCTTCTTGAGTGACACATCAGCAAATGTTTGTTGAAATCCAATTGCTTGACATTCACTGATTCTCCCTTATCCATCCTGCTCGATACATCATCCAAAAAAAATGACAGGATTTGTCAAATGCTATGCCCTTTTAGAAATCCCTGTTCACTCTGCCTAATTAAATTATGACTGGCTAAGATTTCCTAATAATTTATTCAAGAATTTGTGGGAGGTAAGGGTCACCACTAGTGTCCCCACTGACTTCATCTGCGGGAACTGCACCCAACTCCAGCTCCTCGGAAACCGTGTTAGGGAACTGGAGCTGGAGCTGGATGAACTACGGATCATTCGGGAGGCTGAGGGGGTAATTGAGAGGAGTTACGGGGAGGTAGTCACACCTCAGGTACAGGAAAAAAATAGATGGGTCACAGTCAGGGGACGGAAAGGGAACAGGCAGACAGTGCAGGGATCCCCTGTGGCCATTCCCCTCAAAAACAAGTATACTGTTTTGGACACTGTTGGGGGGGACGACTTACCAGGGGTAAGCCATGGGGTACAGGTCTCTGGCACAGAGTCTGTCCCTGTTGCTCAGAAGGGAAGGGGGGAGAGGAGGAGAGCATTAGTCATTGGGGACTCCATAGTTAGGGGGACAGATAGGAGATTCTGTGGGAACAAGAGAGACTCGCGGTTGGTGTGTTGCCTCCCAGGTGCCAGGGTCCGTGATGTCTCGGATCGTGTTTTCAGGATCCTTAAGGGGGAGGGGGAGCAGCCCCAAGTCGTGGTCCACATAGGCACCAACGACATAGGTAGGAAAAGGGATGGGGACGTAAGGCAGAAATTCAAGGAGCTAGGGTGGAAGCTTAGAGCTAGAACAAACAGAGTTGTTATCTCTGGTTTGTTACCCGTGCCACGTGCTAGCGAGGCGAGGAATAGGGAGAGAGAGCAGTTGAACACGTGGCTACAGGGATGGTGCAGGAGGGAGGGATTCAGATACCTGGATAATTGGGGCTCATTCTGGGGTAGGTGGGACCTCTACAAACGGGATGGTCTACACCTGAACCAGAGGTGTACCAATATCCT